AAATGCAAACTGGGACGGGTCAAGGATCAAAGTAGGGAGCTGCTAAAGATAAGGGAGGTTGCAATAGAAGGGGGCTGGGCTGGGGCTAGTGTGTGGAAAAAAACCTGTCGATATCAGGTTTTTGACATAACTGGCTCAAAACTCATCTGCCAAATTGATTCTTTCCTAGACAGAGCTTCCTGTGGAGCTAGTTTACCGTTACGTTTTCTAAAATAGAATGTATTTATGAACAAGTGCTGTTTGTTTTTGTACATCTGCTTCTATCTCCTTGAACCCCCCGTCGGCCTCGGCTGATGGACCCACACACAGAGCCTGGTTGTGCTGGAGGTTTCTTGCCAACGAAGGGAGTTTTTTCCTCTCCACTGTTGCGGCATGCAGCTCCATGTGAGGGATTGCTGTAGAGTCAACAACAAAATAAAAGCAAATGCATCTACAATCACCTCTTGCTCATTCAGAAGTAGTGTGTGATGCAAAGTCAGTGACTGGGATGCAGCTGGTTTCCCCTAGAAACTTGCTACCAATCTTTTTGTATGATCTGATTGAATTGTGTCTGTAAGGTGGATCGAGATGTTTTGAATTGGTACCATTTAAATAAAATGTATCTCAATAAATGGAATTGAGTCAAACTGAACTGAACTTAAATTAATTGAAAAGCCTGAAATCACTAACAGCCCTGGAGCTTTTTTTGTGACCTGAAATTGTTTTCAGGCTCTTCCAAACCCCTCTGATGTTGTCCTACTGCAGCTGGTCTTCCACCTTCCTCTGGTAGATACTTTTCCATTCCTAGTTTTACTTTACTTGTTTCCATATCTAAACGATCTTCTTTTCTCCCTGATAACAGCATTTCAAGCATTTCAACATTTAATGGTTTATCCAGGACTTTTTAATGTAGAAACACATTGTACTTTCATGAGTGGCACATTGTTGTCAACACAGATGTTAATGTAGTCGCTGGTGCAGTTTTGGATTCTGTCAGTGCCTTGGTCCTCATGAGGAGCACCGGATGTTTTCCACATCAAAAAGAATCCCTCAGTCCTTCTCCTCACTGTACATCTCAAAAAGCGTCTCTGTGCGCAAGAGACACACGCAGGCTGGAGATCCACCAGGTTTTGGTTTGATACACCAATGTAGGATAAAGGTGTTTTTGAATTTGATTCTTCTGTGATTGCCTCGTTGTTTTATTAGTATTTTTTATGCAGGACCTGTTTCTCTCTTTTTTTGCTGCTGGCAGGTCCTGGTCAGTCGTGGCACTTAGCCTGACTGGGAAACTCTGACCAATATCCCTGGGATTATAAAAGCTGACTGAAGACTGCCACTGGATCTCTGTCTTCTCACAAGTACACCTGGAGACTTAGGGAGGCTTTCCAACCTTGGTTCCACTGGCACACCCAAAAAAAAAACCATAGAAGAAGCTTTAATAAATATATATTATTTTCTGTAGATTTTTGTCTCAATAGGTTTTTGCCACCACCAATAAGGCAGGTTGTGAAAATACATATTTTTTCTCTTATAGTGTCAAAAGAGGACCTAAAAAAATTTACAGAAACAAACCATTTACTGAGTGGTGTTTTTGATTAAGTCCTTCTCTCAGAAGCAATCAAAAACTGTTTGTGGGATTATTACTTCCACACTGGGTTGCTACTTAGAAAATGGATGCCTCGCAATAAACATTTTGTGGGAGCTCCTGTTATTTAAGGTTTTGTTGACAACTAGGTTTCACGATTGCTGTTAAATTGGCTTATGATGTTATTAGGCATTGGGGTGTGAGGAAGCGACTGACCACGTTTTGCACATTTTTTCCTGTCCATGATGAAAGTGGGACATTGCTGCTTATATTGACGTGTCATACAGTGCTTCCAATACCTGCTATCAGTCAGCCTTTTGAACATTTATTTATTTGTTGTTAGGGCCCTTTGCCCAGTTCTAAATCTGGTGCCATGTACCCATTAAATGCCCATGTCATGTGTAAAAGTGTTCGTTATCCAGCTGCATATCTAGTGAGAAAGACTACTGTGAGAGCAGCTGTGTTTGGTGATGCAATTAATTTTGGTTTTTGACATTCCAAAAAACTATTCAGGCAGGTCAAGGATCGACCTTTTCTTTGCATTCATTTGATTAAGTGTTGAAAAAACATCTTGTTAAGTACTGAAGATTATCTGCTTATCACCCAAAAAGTTAAGGTGTCATAACACCTCCATCAGACTTTGAAGTAATTTTCATCTTCTGGGCACAATTGGAGAAAGACTTGGAAGAGGGTTTACCTTGACTTTTGATGGCATCTCAAGTTGAGTCATGAGAGAGCACTGGTTTCAGTTCCAATCCTATAGTATGTTGGCATAAGGTGTCTAGTCCCCTGGCTCTGATGGCCTATCATTGGAGAGAGGAGTCTTTAACCAATATCAGTGATTTTCTTTATATTTTAGTCTCGGTGTGTTTTTGTCACAGCCAATCAACATGGGCTCTTTAAATGAATTAGTCCAGCAATTTATTGTCTCCGCTACAGCATGCAAATCTCTGGGTGAAGTTAGGGATGCTGACAAGGAGACATGACGAAAATCTAAAGATATCAGAAAGAAGGCATTAAGATCCTGTTGAATTCTGCTGCACAATTAGCAGTAAGAGGGACATACATCATTATAACAATGTGTAAACTCCAAGGGTAGATAACATGGCCTCATGCTGAAAGCTAACAGTTCAATGTCCTTTCAGTGGTGCTTTTATTTGACAGTGATTCCCAAAGTTGCAACATCTGTCATTCACAAACACAATCTAGATCTGCCTTGAGGCAATATTTTGTCATGAATTAGTACAACAAAGTAACCCGAATTGAACACTTAGCCGTGTAAAGAATTTGAAACAGAAAAAAGTATCAGTAATCATACCAGATTTAAACTACTGGCTCAAAAGTATGTAAATAATGCTAACAAGATTTTTATATGTATTGTAAAATATCTGGAAGTAAGTTTAAAGTATTGTAGAATGTACCCAGCACATAATATGGTATTAATTTTTCTGTGAAAGATACATGTTTTAGTTAGATTTTTATAAAAACATGAAAAGCGAGTTGTGCATTTGTTAGAACACCATTCATCCTGTTAGTTCATACTTTGTAAAAACACTATTTACTGTAAGGTCATCTGCATGTCTTCTAGCAAGAGACAAAAATAATGTCTGTCTGCACTAAATAAATAAGGCTCCATCAGATTGGATGTAGGGTGTTTGTTTTTTCAGTTACTGTTCCAGATTTTTTATTGGATTTAGGTCTGGACTACAATTTGGTTGTGGACTTGTTAGAAGGTGAACCTTTTTATAACTGTTTCAATCTTTTGTCACCTGTAAAATGTTGCAGAAATTTTCTCTTCCAAGATTTCTCCATATTACTCCCATCTATCTTTAACTCCCATCTCATTTGAACTCTGACCACCTCTCTGAACATCATGAAGAAAAGCCTCTCTAAATCATCAACATACTGCCATAGTGCTTCAATTGTCTGCATAAATGTATTCTTGACCTTTCTGTTGATTTCAGAATGTTGTTTATTCACAAATGTTCTTTAAAAATTAACCCTTCATGCAATAGCTGGATTGATTCTTAGATTAAAATTGCACACAGCTTGACTGTTGTCTAGTTTGGGGGCTTAAGGTAACAGGTACCAGTGGATTTTAATTTGGGGTGTCAGAGTAAATATGGCACTAAATTAATAGACACCACTAGTTTTAGGTTAGTAAGTGAATTGGATATTTTTGAATTGGATATTCTATTACCTTTGTGTCCCAGTCCTCAAGGGCTATAAGACACTAATATAAACATAAGGACCAGATAGAGTGGGCACAATATACTCATAAATTATTTTTAAATAAACATGTCTGACGCCTCTTCCAGGCTTTACAAACAAAACGTAGCCAGTTTAAACACACTGAAATTGAATAAAACTTTTAGCTTATCGGCATCACTGAACCAGAACATTTCAGGCTGTTTAACAATTAATTAACCAGAAAACACATTTGTCAGATCATCTCATACATTTATGTTAAACTAAAATAAAAATGTATCATTGTCTTTCCACTTTTAAACGATTTTCTACGTTATGTTCATAAATTACCAATAAAATCCACTGAAATGTATGGTTGAATAATTTCCCCAGGCACGTTAACATGTTACTCGCCTGCCACTAGGGAGAGCTCTTAGTTTGGTGAAAGGTTCCAAAGCTCACAGCTAAAACAAATTATGCACATTTGTTTTTATAATGTTATATTCCTCTGTAACTCTAGAACTAGCTATTATGGGGCTGAGAGGAACCCATTAGAATTGTAAAATGAAGGTAAATAAACAACACCCATCGCTCTATCGCATATTATGTGTGCAGCTGAAAGCCAACCCCTGGGGACTTTTACGAAAGTTAACCCCTGCATGTACAGAGTGTGCAGCCTATATATGTCTGCTCGCTTGCAGGGGTGTACTACCTTTACTTGCAATGTAACGCCCGCTGTGTGTGTGTGTCTGTATGTGTGTGTGAGCGTGTGAATGGGGGTTGGGAGTGTAGAGGGGACGGAGAAGAAGAAAAGGCACAGGGGAGCCACCTAAACCACAATTGTTTATGATTTGAACGAGCATGTCTGTCGCGCAAAAGTCATTCCCTGTATGGTTTATTGCAGTTACCAAGGCCAACAGTTGGATTCACTCCTGCCAGCTGTAGCTGGAATATTTTTTTCACGAAATTAGGGATGAACTATTACCAATCCGGTTCCAGTAAGAGTCGACTCCACAATCCGTGGTTTTGTATTCTCCCATGCCATTATTTTATTTACTAAATGCCGATATCCCTCCGCAGGGTCAGAGAGTATTTTGAAGAAATTGTGAAACGATTTACTTCATATCATTTGCTGCCTCGTCTTATCGATAGGTGAACATATTTGCTAAACATTTAAAGTGGATGTTTTTTTCGGCTGTTTAGAAAGATCTGAACATAACCGTCTGCTCGGAAGAGATGGGACTATTTTGTTGGGAGCCTAGGCGGCTGTGCTTCGGTGCCACTTATCATTAGATATGGCCACCGTTATAGAGTACAGCGAAGCGTCATCTTCAACTTGCTTTTATCACCTTCCTCGCTGATATTTCTACTCGGTCCGTATGGCAGACGGAGGGTCATTTTTTGGGAAGCCAATGTTTGTTTTTGCACATTTTTGGAGCCGGTTGTTACTGCGTGGCAGGCTGGTTACGAGAGTCCCTAACTGGCCGCTCGGTCCCGCAGCTTGTCGCAGCTGAAGAAAATAGAAGCAGTTGCCAAGCCAGCGGTCCGTGCCCAACATTTGCTTCAGCCGCAGCCATACTTTTCCCCTGGATTCGCATTTGAAGTTTAGGGAAAGCTGGCTCATAGGGGAGCCTAAAATTCAGTATTTGTGGGCGTTTTCTATGTTGGTGGTGAAATTGCTACTGGCCGTAGACTTGGGTGGCTAACAGCAACTAGCTGTATTATAAACCCGAACTCGACAGCTGTCATTGGAGAAAGGAAAGTGATCCCCCCCCTCCCCGTCGCAAATGAGAAAGCAAGCGAATTGCTTTTCCTTTGGATTTACATCAGCCGCTTTTCCATCAAATGGGCAAAGTTGGGAATACCATTGCAACGCTGGGATACAATGATATGTGCTGTGCGTTTTTGAGAACTGCAGTCTTGTTTCATTGGAGAGAGGCTAGCTAGCTCCATTAGCTTGCTAGCTTGCTGGCAGATAAAAGTACGACGTTTAATCCCCCCAGTATATTGGGACATGAAGAGGATAATTCTCTGTCCATAGGGCTGGAAGGTAAGATGGAGTCAGAACTTTCTATGCTGTCATTCGTGGCTTGGAATGAACCTTTTTAGCTATGAGTCTGAGCCAACATCATCCTCCAGTCTGATGGTGGTGGTGGGGGGGGATTTGTCGCCGCCTCGGCTTTTCATGACTCAGACTATTGAACGGAACATTAAATGGAAAGGTTCGTTGTTGCTATATAAGCCGAAAATTTAGGTTTCTGCTCCTTTTGAATATGAACAACCAGATACAGCGATCCCCATCGTTCAAGGAGAAGCAGAACTAGATATAAGCGTCGATCTGTAATGTAGCATTTTCACTTTTAGTGGGGCATTGTAGTTCTTTGGAACAGTTCCGTTTCATTGAATAGACCGAGCCTTTGTGTGCTGGACAAAAATCCCTGATCATCGCCTTCTTCTCATTTGGAGGCTGATCAAATGGGTTTTATCAAAAAAAGTAACATGCTGCACCTCCAGTCACTTTTAAACATTAGATAATCTTTTATTTTCCCAAGTGTTTTGATGTGTATTATAGTTAGGATGAGTTGGTGAACTACCTGCATCCACTGGTAACCTGTTTGCTCTGTGAGCCTCTTTTCAGAGTTGTCATCTAAGGATATAATGTGATGCATGAAGCTGGCTGTGACATCTACATTTTATTTGAATGTGATCGATGTCATTGTCGCTTTTAGTCGATATGACCGAGGAAAAGCGACAGAGTTCCAACACAACAGGCTAGCTCTAGCTGGAGTTAGCTCCTATGCAGCTGCTTTGTACCCGAGATGTTGGTAACAAAAGCTAACGTTAGCATGCTTTAATTGGCACCACTTCTGCTCACAACTGCTTAGAGCATCTAGGCACTGAATCCTCCACCCAGTCCTTCTCAATATATTCACCCTGAGTGGTGTTTTGTTTAGGATTTTGCTCCAAAATGTCTGCATTTCAACCATATAGCTGAACTGTCTGGTTACAGTAAACCACCTGTTTCTCTACTGAAGATTTACATATCAATATATTTTTTATTAGGTATTGATATAATATCATAGCCATTAACTGGTTATAGCTACATTAGAGTTTGGCCACTGGTTTTCATCATTCTGCAGGTCAATCCAGCTATAAAAGACTAGTGCAGTTGTGTAGAAACATTTTTTTTTTCAACAATTGTCATTATTATGTGGAGACAATTACATTTACGTAGTAATGATGCTCTGGATGAGTTCATAGTCTCTTATACCCATATATTCCCATTTCATCTTTGTTGTCTTCTTTTTCATAGACTTAGACGGATTACATGCTTGCAAGAGCAGCTCTGTAGAAAAAGAAAAAAGGAGTATAATGAAATGGATTTCATCATTTCTGATACAAGTGTTGTACCTTTTTGATTTTTGATTATGGCTTAAACGTAATAAAACCCAAAATACAATTACTCAAAAATCAATAATATGAAGAACAATTGAAGATTTCTTCAATGCTGAAATGTTATGTCGCAGCCATATCTACAATGTCATGTGGAAGACTGTTGATCTGACAGTTCTCTTGTGCACATTCATTGAGACCCTCCTGGGATTGTAAACCAATTAAGTTTTCTGTTCAGATTGCAGTATTTCAGCATATTATCCAAAAGTTCAGTGGAAGGAGGAAGTATGGTAGAAATATAAGTGTACTAGCAACAATGTTAACCAAAGAGGCGATTATAAACCTAAGTGGACTACAGCTGTTGTCTGTTTCAATAGCCAACTCGTTATTTTCAGGACATGGGCTACATCCTAATCTAGAAATTTATGCATTCAGTGTTGCGGGGGGTGGAGACAGAGCTGACCGATGTACTTTTTAGCTTGAAAGAAAATGAGATATTTTCTGTTTCAGTTGGAATTAAAAAAATTCCAGAATATGGAGGGGGAAAAAGCTGAGAAAATGATGTTGCCCGTGGTCCAATGTGAAGTTTTCACACTCAGTGATGATTTAGGGCCCCATGTCATCTGCTGCTGTCGGAGATGTGCTGAAGGCTGCTATTAAATCAGCCAGGGCTTCCTTAAACCGTCAATGGGAGCTAAAGATTGAAGACCTCCATGCTGTGCTCTGATGCTGCAGTAAATAAATGAAAAGGGGCTCACAACATGTATGAAGGTTATACACTGTGTAGTACATGGACATGCTTTTCAAGAAACTGTTTCTTTTTCCAAAAATCTTTTTCTTTTCAGTCTTTTATAATCTTTCCAAATTGGTTATTTTTATTTTTTAGCTTTAAGACCAAAAAAATCAACACTTGAAATACAGTACTCTGAGTACTGTATTGATATTGATATGTATATTACTTCTGGAAGACTTCATAATCCATGATTTCCATTATTTTCAGTTCTGATTCCTGTTTCGCCAGTTGACACATGAAATGGGACATATTCTAACTCCAGGTCCAACCCAAATATCTTCAAGTTTCCCCTTAAGCTAAAGGAGAATATTTATTGTAGTCTGATAATAAAATTTCCTTAAAGGAATAGTACACCCAAAACATGATTAGCCTTCATTTTCTACTCACCCCCATGCTGAACAACACTCTGGAGTACTTTTTTGATATCTCAAATGCATCTGGAGATCTGGGAGGCTTCTTGCTGTCTGCTGACATTCAAATAATGGAGGTCTATTGTGCCCGAGACAGAAAGGTCCATAAAAGTCCACAAAAACGTGTCAATATTCCTCCATACTGCTCGTCCAATGTAATCCAAGTGTCCTGAGTGGGTAGCATCCAGAATTTACTCGAAACGAAGTCATTTAGAATGTTTTTAGAGCATAAACAGTAGTGTATAGGATTTCCTAATAGCGCCCCCATGCGCGCTCACGACGCTACGGAAGCCGGCAGACCAAACCGGAAGAAAGTGCGCATTCAGCGTCTGGTCTGCCGATAATGCAAGCGTAGAAGAAGAAATGTGCTGTTTACCTGTGCAAAGAAAGAAACAACGAAAGAAAAATGTCTGAGGACTTCAGTGTTGAGGAAGAGCATGAGTTCTTTGCCGAGCTGAATGCGCTGGTTTGGTCTGCCGGCTTCCGTAGAATCGCGAGCGCGCATGGGGGCGCTATTAGGAAATCCTATACACTACTGTTTATGCTCTAAAAACATTCTAAATGACTTCGTTTCGAGTAAATTCTGGATGCTACCCACTCAGGACACTTGGATTACATTGGACGAGCAGTATGGAGGAATATTGACACGTTTTTGTGGACTTTTATGGACCTTTCTGTCTCGGGCGCCATGGACCTCCATTATTTGAATGTCAGCAGACAGCAAGAAGCCTCCCAGATCTCCAGATGCATTTGAGATATCAAAAAAGTACTCCAGAGTGTTGTTCAGCATGGAGGTGAGTAGAAAATGAAGGCTAATCATGTTTTGGGTGTACTATTCCTTTAATGGCTACAGAAGAAAATGACCTGAGACCACAGTTGAAAGCAGTATAAAAAAAACCCCGTTTGTAAAGATTGGCATGTAGGCCATAATAAGCATCCAATTGCAACTGCTCCATTTCATTGCCCAGCAAAGTTAGAATACGCAACATTAGGTATAACATGGCAAAAGTTCAATACAAGTGTTTACAACTTGGTATTAGCAGATTAGAGATTCTCATGTTATGATTACCTATGAAAAAGTACCAGTAGTATTATAATTCATTACACACACTGAACTTAAAACAGAATCTGTAAATTCATCTGATTTTTTTTTTAATTTTTTCTTCAAAATAAGACTTCCTTTTGGCTGTGAAAATAATACACATATATTGATTTATATCAACAATAGCTTTACTTAAACGTAAAGTAAGGATTGTGGCTAAATAATAAAACCCTAGGAGGTTTTACTTTCTTTGTACTAACTAGTCAGTAGCCTAGTAATAATAGAAAAAAAAAGGGGGTTATTGCATTTTGTTGCCACTTCTTTGACTCTTACCTTGGCAGGGAACATTGTCTGCTTAATTTGTTCTGTCGATGAGGGTTAACCAGTAGGCCCCCAGTGCACAGCAACAGGGGGGAAGGGGTTGCATTGTGTACTTTCCCTTCTTAAATCCCTAACAGTATAATCAAAATATTTAAGGCAATGCAATCATACCCTTTTAAGACCTCCGTGCATCTTTTATATTAGTAAATAATCAACCTAACACAGTATATAAAAGTTTTCACTGCTCAGCAGCTTTAAACAACAGCAGATTCTAAACAAAATGGTATTTGCCCTGTGGTTGTATAGCAAGTGCTTTACTGTACGTTTAGTTATTCACGCACATTCAAGCAATAGTTGGAAATCTGCATAGTTGCCACAGCTTCCCTGGGGCAGATTGCCGACCATCAGCGGTCACATGGATGTCCCGAACAAATATCGATACAGGAAATCAGTCAGATGTTGAAAAAATCCGAATACTGGAATATATGGATCTAACATCTCTGGTGTAAACAAAATGATAAAAATACTCTGCTTATATCAACTATTGTTTAAATTTTATGTAAGCCATTGCTTTAAGATACATGGGTCAGTTCTCATTGCTGTTCTTTTTGACAATTTTTTCCCGAGTAATATCACTTGATCAATGGTTTTCTAACACCACACGCTATAAAATAAGGAATGAACATATGCATGATTTATGCCGACATTGTCAATATCTGTAACTGTCAACATCCCAAGCTGCAGAATCGGTATCAGAAATTAAAAAGTTGTATCGGGGAAAGGGACATCCCATGTATAAGGCAAAAAACTACCGTAATACTGGATGATATCTACCTAAAATCTTTCATATTGGGATTCTGAATAAAACACTAAAGTTTGTGAAACCTACTTGTCAATATTACATGGGTCAGCTGTTCTCATACCTGTTGTGTTGACTATTTTTCTCTGTTTGAGTAATATCACTTGATGGAACCTTTTCTAACCACATGGACATCATTGCGTAATCTGGTGGAAGTGTCTTGCCCAAGAACACCACCCCCGAGACCGAATGAGTTTGGGTTTGTAGCAGAGACCCTCTGGTTGCAGGGCCAGTCCCTACATTCTTCACCATGGTTGCCCTCCATAAGCATTTAGGTAATCTTGTCAGTCTTTGGTGTATTTTGGGAAACATCTGGGTTAATTCAGCATCGATTGAAGTTGTTGTGTCCTCACCATTGTGAGAAAGGTATTTATAACGGCGCTAGCCTTCAGAATTTGGTCAAAGTGTTGGTTTAGAAACGGGCCCGGTTTTTCTTCAAAGTATCTATTGGGCAATGTTAGCCAAATTTATGAACATGTCTTATTCCTGACTTATGAGCAGTGGTTGCCTTCTGTTTCTTTATATACACTGTTTGAAAAAGAATTCATTCAGAAATGCCACAGATGCATATTTTATTTGATTTATCTCTTGTGTTAACCTTGTGATGCAAAGAGAACAGAAAATAAATCCCAGAGGATGTATTAAACAGTTATATATTAGTGTAATATGTAGCTTTATTACTCAGCCTTAGACTTTGTCTTTTATTTTTATGTAATGTAAAATGGTGTCGAAAGTGTACATTTTTTTGTCAGGCATTTGAAGTTCATTACGGTATAAGAAAGGAGGATAAAAAGATCGGTAGTTTTATCTGTCCCCTTATACTTTTGGTTAACCCTGAAAAGGTCAGACTGTGATCACTGGCTGTAATGGAAAAGGAACAAATAAATACTTGGACAGAACCTTGATCAGAATAAATGAGCCAAAATAATCAGACGTAACTCAGCTTTGTCCTTGGGCATGTAACAGTTAGTAACAAGTTGGTCTATGTCCCTTAGGGCTGGGCGATATGGAAAAAATACTATATCACGATATGGATTATTTTATATCACGATAACGATATATATCACGATATACCACAACTGATGTTGCATTTTATGTTTTCATAGTCCGTCAGATGGACAGGGTTGAAAAAAATCTTTCATCGCCTATTTTTTACCCATCATCTTGTTTCCTAATATGAGAATCCCAACCCCAAACCAAGAACACCAGTTATGCAATTTGCGGCCATGACAGTGAACAGTATAGAATCTTGGCTATTGCGCTGCAGTAATTAATCATTTAATATTCATTTGTTATTGACATTTTATAAAATTCCAAGGCCAGTTTTTTCTCTTGTCTTTCACTTACCTTGTTTTCCACTAGGAGGCGCCTCGCCTATTTAAGAAGAAATGTGTCTGCACTGGTAATACATTAATTAAAATGCCCACATGTTCTACTGGATAGGAGTGTCAGTGTAGTTAAAAATGTGATCCATCATACGACCTGTACCACAATTATGGGTGTTTCAGTTGTTCTCTTTATTTTTCAGCAGTCACAAGAGAAACGTGCTGCACAGTTTAAAAACATGGAACACAACAGTACTATACAACAAACTATAACAAACAGTACACACTAATACACACAGTATGATTTACTCTAAAGGGCAAAAAGTGAATGCTACAGCACCTTTGTGTGTAAACACAACACTCACAGGTGCAGTAGCCTTCACTTTCCCCCCCTTCAGAATAAATTATAATATCAGTGAGGTCCAGTAATGGATGCGTATGCTGTAAAAGCACACAGTTCATTGGTGTAAGCATATTAGTAAAACCAATAATAGTAAAACTAGCGAACGTACAAAAGTGCATAGCAATGTCAGGCTCATACCTTGGGCGAGCATCACTCCGGTGTGGTCCTCAGGAAAGTACACGGTCTGTAGACACCGAGCGCGGAGGGTCCAGTCCGTGATAAGGATGGTGAGACTCATAAGGCTGTGTTGCTCTACTCATCCACATGTCCGTAGTCAACGCATAATGTGTCGCACCACTGCGTACCTCTCTCTCCACTTCAGCCCGACAACTAGCATATAAGCCAGGCAGCTCCGCTTTAACGGTAAAATCTTCTTGGGTGTCCATCATTAATTTTTTTTCAAGCCAGAAAGAAATTTCACGGGCTCTCTCCATCAGTAATGTCGCAAACGTATGGTGCAAAGCCGCGTGACGTAAAGCGGTGTAGTGTCGCAAAACCACGTTCTCTACACATTATCTTTTTATTCTCTTTTTTTTTTCGTTATATACACATGTTTCTCTCGTCCTCACGATATATATCGCCATATCGCCCAGCTCTAATGTCCCTTCATGATCAGAAAACTGAATAAATTGTTTCTAAAGAACAATTTTGAGAAAATACTTTTATCTTCTTTTTTTAACATTATTTTAATAAGACAATTAGTGGTGGATGTCTTAAAAGAATCAGTTCCTCTGGAGGGAGTCTTTTTGCACCCAGAACATTGGTTTTGTAATCATTGCAATCAGAGGGTTTTTATCTTTTTGTTTAACCCACCTTTAGTTAATTCCTCACAACCTTTTGTTTTTGCCCTGACTGTATCTTTGGCAAGAGATTAGATCAGGCCTTAGCCAGTTCTAGCAAAGCTGTTGTGGAGTTTCTCATCCGAAACATGTCTGCTGCAGTTCACTTATTCCCCTCTGCCGTTGTTAGCTTTTAACCAAAGTTTGACAACAGAACTCTTTGTATTTTTACTTTCTTTAGCATCATAACAGCAAACATTTAAGCTCAAATTTGATCAATGCTCAGCATACTGAGTAAAAGATGGAAAGGCTATAGATTCCTCACACGCAGTAGTATTTTTCCTAATGTCCTTACCTTGTGGTACCATAATTTTAATCATGCTATGCACCAGTCCATCCGGTAACAGACACCCTCCCTCCACTAACACAATGCTGTCGTGATGCTTTGAACTTTCGGTCAAAGCATGGTATATGATATGTTTTATTTAAAAAAGTTAATTATATGATTCTTTGGATTAAAATCGTCACATCTATTGGTTTGTAATGAAAGTAAATAGGAGTGTTCTGAAACCTTCATTGTGTATTCTGCTCCTGTTTTTCACTGCTCTAAAATACCACAAAAAATTGTGAAACTTTGCAAATGTGGTAGAGCTAATGGCATGCTGCATCATTGCATTTTAGCCTGTATATTCCAAGTAGGTATGGGCCAGTGTGAAATAATGACAGTGTCATAACCTTAGGCAAAATCTCACGGTATTATGATTAGTTATAAAATGTATGTATTAAAGGAGAGAGGGAAATATGTTGGCTGAGTTCTTGATGCTGATCTTTAAACATAAACTTTATAACATTTATAACATAAACTCTATATTAATTCTTCTTCTTTTTTTTTTTTTTTTTGCCAAATTTTACCTCCATGCTTATTTTTTACTTTTATCTCCATTGAACTGGGTTGGTGAATCTAGCGGTTTTATTTTTGTGCATCTTTAGTAAAGCAATTTGTGACCCCCCTTATCTTTGAGAGGTGTCATAAATACATTTTTACTTTATTACTCCCTTATAGTGATATTTAACCGCATTGGTGAAAGCTGTTTTTCGATTGCAGGTGTCATGTTGAATTGTTTCTCTCCTTTGCAGGCTCTCTTTGTTCTTTCTCCCCTCATACGTATGATTTTTGGCAACTTTATTAATCATACATAAAGAAGTATCAGAAAAGTATGAACACGTGTGCAAAAAGTGCACACCTGCAGATATGAAGGGATTCGGTAGTTTCACCTTTAACCTAAAACTAATCAAATACACATTCGTAGAGGAGAAGTTGTGACCAGCACAATCATAAAGCTCTCTGCCTTAGTAATGTGATATTTGCATTACTAATGCCTGACAAAAAAGTTAGCGATTGCATTTTGAGAGGATTTTTTACCTGAGTGATGTTCCCATAGATTGGCTATCATATTAGCTGTGTTCCTTCCTCTGGCGGCTGCTGTCAGAAAAATCCTAGGGTCTTCTTTCTCCAAGCCGTTCCCGTTGTCTTGAGGTAGCAGATGTATTCCAGTACAGCTGACCTAAATGTGTTTCACCCACTGAAGGGGCCAAAGACAGGGGCAACGTGCTGGTGCTCCCCTCTTTCCTCCATCGCACTACCTGAACCTTTGGAGCCAGCAGCTACAGGGAGACATGGGGGGAGGGGTTATGATACTGCAGCTGCTTACAACGTGAACACACTGTCTGAAATGTAAAAAATTTTTTAAAAAAATGCTTATACTGCTGGAGTGGTATGAATGAAAAACGCAAGATTGATAAAACTGCTGCTTTTTTATACTTGCAACCAATAACCATCCCATACCTAATTCCTAGAACCCCTGTTAGGAATATCCTGATCTGATACTGATATCTAAAACGTTTCAATATCAGCCAAAATAATCGATATTGGCCTGCATCTAAAATCTCCGATATAAGCAAGCTGATAGAAACACTCCACTTTGTCTGCTTCTTTTTAAAGTCTATTCAATTAATTGGTTAATAAGAAATGGGACAGGTTTTCTAATACCTAATGTTGTTGGCTATTATTCTCTAAGTAATATCATTTGATCAAATCTATTTTTAACATTCCACACCACAAAATATGTAACATATATTTCATGTTGATATCGTACCAATATGTGCATCTGAAAATACTCAAACTGTAGTATCGGTATGGTATCTGAAACAAAGAGTTATATTTGGACACTGGTAACGCCCCGACTTACCACTTAAAAGTCCTGTTATATTACCCAGTATCAATGCATGTTGCCTATCTACTTTAGGCCTTTCTCAGAAATAAGAACATCTTCAACATGATCAACTTTCAACACTAAGCAACTTGATGAAATGGAAAAATCCAAGAGACTAGTCACATAGCACAAACAATGGCCAACAATGACAGGATGGGCCTAAACATACAGGGATCTTTACTTTTAAAGCCCAAGCTCTAAAAAAAAATAGATTTAGTCGTAACTTTGATTTTTTTATAATCATAATGACAAAGTTTTCACCACTATTTTTTGACAGCATTATGGTTGAGTCAGGGAGTTTAGGACAGAATGTTGCTTAAGATTAACAATTTCAAATGGTTAGTTTTACTCATCTTCACTGCTCCATCCATCTTTCTTCTGTCTTTTCAGCATCACTGCTTCTTTAGCTTACCCTTATTTCTTACATTCTATTACCTTTTCTATATCAGGAGGTACTGATTGTATCTCCCTTTTCAAAATATCTGAATTACCAAGTTTGTGTAGTGCTAAGCCACCTGGAGCTCGCAGTTGGCTACGTACCAGCGCAGGAATATCACTGCTTTTTATGGGGTAGGAAAAAAAATCTATCTGACCTCCAAACAGAGAAACAGAGCCAGCTGTTAGGGAATCCTCCCCAACCTCCCTATAACAACTGCACCACTTCCTTCAAAGGTTGCCGTCTGTCTGCTGATGGGAACATATGTGTTCACCTGCATATGAGCGCTTGACTTGACATGAATCTGACTATCTGACAGCAGTATGAATTTCATTAGACAAGGCTGAAAGTACAGTAGATGAAACCATGTTGGGACATAAATGGATCCCAATGTGATCTATGTTTATTAACAGAGGCTAATAATTAAAGGACATTTGCAGATATCATTAGAGAGAAAAGCTCTTTTAAATTTATCATGCAAATTATTTTAATTGCGTGATCAACATTATTTATTGGAACAAGCCTATTGAATGATATAACACTTGAATCAAGGACACTTAAATCTCATTTTGGTGTTTTGAAAGTTGGAAAAGGCTTAATCAATTAACCTTAATCAACAATGGTCAACAACAATAGGTCTAAGAACAACTGACCCATGTATTATTAACTAATGCGTTGATAATTAATGAATGTTTCTAGCAGCATGCTTATATCACAGCTTTTTGATGCTGGCATGTATGCCGAAAGTAGTTTTTTGCAGATATTGGACAGATATCAGATCGGGAAATCGCTAATAAATATACTACATTTGGAGTCTTATCTTAATTCCTCTGTAATTTTGAATGAGTAAATAATTGTTTAGATTTTTTCCCAGCTATGCCCAACATTATTTGTGCTCGGCCTTTATCAAGGAAAAAACCTGCTTTGAATTGCACCTCTGAAGTTTCAGAGCAGTGGAGTTCCGCTTACAGACTGGCCTGAATGCTAAGCTAACCAAAGGGTTCTGCTGCAAACAATCAAGGACTAATTCTTCTTTCCCCTCTGGTCACTTAAAAATACTCCCATTCTGCTGACATAGATCCTTAACAGTTCTGTTGCTTGAACTCACACTGTAGCAACATAAATGTCATCGCTACAGCCACTGCTACCACTGCTGCTGCCGCCACTGGCAGCCCTGCCATCGCTACCTGCTGCAGTCGTTACTAAAGCGGTCTCTAGTGCTGATTTAAAGAGCTGATAACTTACCTAAACAAGGAGTCAATTTGATTATGATTCAAAAGACCAATCACATAGCCCCTGCACAACAAAAGGCTCCAACAACCCAAAAGAAAAAAGGGTGACTATTGATTTGCATCCGACTTGGATTGTTTGCAGGAGCATGAACCTCCATGCTCCTTAAATACATCAGAGCTCTAACTGGTGATTGCTCTGGTGAGAGACAACATAATTGAGAAAGACTCCTGGATAGGTGTCCAAATGTCTTCAGAAACTGAGCAAAAGTCCTGTTCCCTTCCAAATGAAGCATGTTTGGGATTGCAATAAAATATTCTTGTCAATGAGACTTCTGCATCTCTCAACAGATACTTTTGACAACTACTTATGAGCAACCTGCTCCAGATGTCACAGGTTTGAAGGGTGCCTTTTAGGGCTGGACAACAAAACGCAATGTTCAAATCATACAGACACTATAGCTAACAGGTGAGATCCTGGCTTTCTCACTCCAGCCCTTTTGGTGCCAGTAATACGCTTAAAGTGGTTTTGCTGCCAAACTGAAGGGAAGAGAAAGGAAAGTTGTAACTTACGAGCAGATCCATATATGTGAGTAGAAGAAAGCACTCTTTCATACAACAGTAACGGTAAAGTCTTGCAAGAATGGTCTCAGCACATGCAAGCTTTCAATATCATAGAAACAAAAGAACCCTGCAGTGAAGCATCTACATGCTCATGGCTTGTGCAAAAAATAATTAAAACTAAAAGTACATTCAAAATCACAAAATTGGTTGAAAGACATTTCAGGTTTGATTGTTGTAAAAATCCTTCAGAATAGTCCAATGTTTTCCTTTTAGCCTTTCTTGGCTGTTTGTTTTGGGTCATTATCCTGGTGCAATAACCATAACCCCAGGCTGGAAGGTCTGAGCTTTCTGACATTAAGCCGCATGTTTCGCTCTAGAATCCCTTGAACTGTGTTGAGATTTCATTGTACCATTTCACTGTAAGGACAGTGCTTGTCTTGATATGCTTCATTTTTCTGTCTGTGAACATAGAGCTAATGTGCCTTGGCAAAAAGTTAAATTTTTGTCTTATCTGGCCATCAGAGATTCTTCCAGAAGCTTTGTGGTTTGTCAACATGTAGTTTGGCAAATTCCAGTCTGGCTTTTTTATGATCTATTTTCAACAATAGTGTCCTCCTTGGTTACATCCAATTTTGCTCCTACAACAAATGGTGCGATCCAGCACTGCAACTAATAATAGTTTTGCTAATCGATTAATCTATTATGTTTTTTGATTGATAACTGGATAGCAGAATTTCCTTAAAGAAATAAAAAAAAAAGTAGAATTAAACCGGGTGAAATTAAAACTTCCACATGAATAATTTTGGATAGAGCATATTGATGGACTACTACTTTTTTTTTTATCTTAAATGCAAAATGTACAAATATTTTTCTTTTTACAATTGGTATAATTACTGCTCTGAGTGTGTCGCTTTTTCAGCTAAAGGCATGTTTTTGAGTCTCTGTACTCCATTTAACGATTACTCGATTTAAAACTTATTTGATGGTGATTTGAATATTTGACTAATTACAAATAATTCAATTGTTTCAGCCCTAGTGCAATCTTACACTGATGTTCCTTGAGCTGTCTTTAGAAGTTTTTCCCGGCTTTTTGTTACCCTACTCTCTGATTTTTCATAAAATTTTCTCCTGCGTTCACATCCATGGAGGTTAGCTACAGTATCCCATGTATCTTAGATTTCTGAGTAATATGTGCAGCTGAGGTCACAGGAACCTTATCTGCCTCTTATTCTGTCAGACATAGACTTTGGTCAGACACAGGTGAAAACATAAGCTCCAACCAGCAGAAACAGAGCACAACTTTTAAAGCCATTGTGGTCATAAGGAGGCTGAGGAGGACTTCCAAATGTTTTTTTTTTTTTTTTTCTCTTTGGAGGTTAGAGTGGTTTTCTTTATCCCTTAACAACATCCTGTCTTTACCTAGCCCCTTGTGTTGTCAAAATAATCTGATGAGAAGAGAATTTAACATAGGTCTTATCAAACACTCAGAGCATCTTTCCAGAACTTCTTTCACCCTTTCTCTTAAGCCGGGCATACACAGTGTGATTTTTTTTTCAATCGTTGCACGCAGCTACAGCTCACATTGCACGACGAAACTGCAGGGTTTTGTCGTACAGTGTGAGTTCACAGCTCATGATGCATGTTTAGCCCGACGCTCTGATGTGATCTGCCTGCTCACACTGTACATCTAAAAAACACGTCGGACTGGACTCCACAGTGAGATGGAGCTAATCTGACTTGTCTATCCGGAAGCCAAACGAGTAAATGAGGAATATGATGCTCTCTAGAGAGAAACATGCTGCCTTGGCAATTCGTGCAATTTTGTGCTGAAAGCCCTGAAAAGAAATGGCAACGACGTATTATGAAAAACACACGGTTGAGCAAACGTACCTGCTACGGTCTGTCAATTTTACAGAAAGAATTCCATTTCACTCGCAACCCCGCCATGCTTCTGTGTTTACATCTGAGAGGAAGAAGAAAAATAAGAATCCTTGTTTGCGAACTGAGCGATTTGCCCACGACGGTCCACCTCACGATTCCTGATCAGGAGGTGGTCGTGAGAGGCTGATCTGCCCTCATTACCCCCTATACACTACACGACTCATGATCAAGCTGAAAGTCGGCCTGATCGAAAAATCCTCGCACGACTAGAAAATCGCCCCGAAAATTGCAAGGTGTAGGCCTGGCGTTATCTATTCTAATTGAATTTCTTTTTGGGATTAATAAATAAGTTTTGAATTGAATCAAGTTCTTACTCTCTTGAAACCTATAGAAATCATAATAATTTCTAAACAAACATCATCCTACCCTGTTTTTTTATTCCTCCACCCGTACTGAAAAAAGAGCGTTACCTCCATCCACAGTAAGAATATTCTCCCCACATATCGCTGCTTTTACTGTTTCTACTAAATCGCTTGGATACATAATTTTCGGTAATCAGAGTGGGAATCCATCGCAGTGGATAAAGCCCACAACACAATTTTTTGCAAATTATTGAATATACCATTATCGTCTAGCACCATACATTAAGTCCCTGACTAAATGTTTCAGGTTATTATGAATGTGGGAACTGAGATGAATGTTTCATAACGGTCCCTAACAGATGTTAACTTTTTCTGTGATTGTAAAGTAACATTTAAGTTTGTAGTTTTGCAAAGCACACAAAGAAAACACCTGGTTCCTTGGCTCTTGGGGTTATGGCACAATTAGCATGTATTTCCCACACAGTGGCAAAATCCAGTCCTGTTCTTTAGATGTATGTAAAGTCCTAAATATTTGAGTGTGTTTTATCAAACTTTCATGTTGCTTTTGTTTTCATGCACACCATCTTTAAATCTGGCTTAGGAAAAGAAAAAAAATTAGTTTTGTTAGTGTTTGTTTCCATCTTCAAATTTTAAACATTGTGTTTTTAAAGCTATTATCATTGCTTGTTTTAGAATGTCATCAGAGGATAAGACTGTGGAGACCTCTGACCAGGGACCCTTGCCGCCATCCAGCAGCGTAGGGGTCGCGTCCACAGGAAGTCCTGCCAATGCAGACAAGCGACCACGTGGCAGGCCGCGCAAGGATGCTGCTGCCGTCCTACCCCAACCACCACCCCTGTCCACTTCTAAAAGCAAGAAAAAGTAGGTTCTGTACTGTCAGTTTTCAAAGATGTAACTTTGTCTTTAAGAAAAAATGTATTTTCTCCCCAAACTGACAGGGCTGCTGTTTGATGTGACAGTAAAAGAGATACTGCAGACTTTTTTTGTGTTATTGGCGGATGGTGGATGTGAACAAATCTACTTAAAGTTGTTAATTCATGGTTTTTTTTGGATGAAAATATGTTCAATCCGATCAATAGATAATGTCAGCTTAAGAACAATTTCTTCCAGTGTTGTAATATTACCGCCGTTGACTTTTTTCGGTGCTGTTTGTAGATATAAACACTTGATAAACTTGTTATCACCTAAATAGCGCCCATTTAGCCATGCTGCATGGAAGAGCAGCATAACTTCTCTGCTGTGTGATGATGATCGAAAAGCACAGGGTATTGCACAAAAGACAAAAATGTAACATGATAGTAAAACACATGGTAGCAACTCGCACAGTAGATTAGGAAGACATTTCTGATTAAATGGACTTGATAGAGTTTAGTTTTAACATTCCTTTGAGAGCAACCAGAACAACCTGTTCAAAAGTACTGGTAATATCATAGTCTCTCCCACCAGATTGTAGGATTAGACTAAAACACAGCGCTACATTACAGTTTAACCCCATTTCATTTAAAACAAAAATAACAGAGTCTGACAGCATTACAGAGCGACATACTTTCAAATCAAAAGCATTTCAAATATTTGTTTTTTTTATTCGGGAAAGTGATATGTTCCTATTATTGATCTTATAAATACGTCTGAAAATAAAGATGTTTTGAAAATAAACATGTTTTTGTTTATTAAATCAGTATTTAATACAGCTTACACAGGAAACAGCTAAAATATGTACTCCTACTTTTGTTAAAAAAATATTTTGCCCTTCAAGTTATGGAAAGAGCCTCTTCATACAAGACGAAACTGCTATTTATCAATTAATCGTTAGTCAAAAAATGTAATTAACTTCAGATTAATTCATTAATCTATACCTTGCTTCCCCAGTTGGTGGTTAAATGTTATACATCGGGGGATTCTCCTAACCAATTATCTTGTAAAAGATGTAATGTGTTTTTTTTTTTTTATATATATATATACAGCTAAGGAGTTACTGGAGTTATTAAAGGGCATTGTTGTTGTTTTTCTCTTCCTTTTTTTTCTTGGCATTAGCAAAGAAAAACAGCCCAGAAAAAAAAACCCTGCCTTTAACTCTTAATGAACCTTTTGGTACAGATCATTTTATAGAATGTGCAGATATCTTTTTCTAAGTTAATATTAGATTTTTCTGGTTCTTCTTGGCCCCTTGATTTATTTCTTGTAATTCCAGTTTAAATACAGTGGAATCCGCTTTTAGTGGTCACAGCTATAGTAATCAACACTTATATAGATCAAAATGTTGCGGACAGAATCATTTCTATACAAATGCTGTTTAAATAATTTGTTTATAGTAATCAAGAAATCCCCTTACAGTGTTCATTTTTGGCCATTTTATGAATGTAAACATGTGCAAAAATATTTTAAAAATTGGCCTAGTTATTTTATTTTTTTACTCCCATGATTCCTTTCTGAGCATCTGCTTCTGCCTAGATAGCTAACCTAAAGAGTTGACGACCAGGCAGCTAGAACTAGCTTGTGAATCATGACTGGAAAAAAGAAATAATTTTCTATGAAAGAAAAACGTAGTCTCCTCGAGGCATATGATAAGTTGCCAAAAACGTGCCAACGAGATGCTGCGGCGATTTCTCACAAGGTAGCCATTCTGCAGGCTACCTTGTGTAGTCTAATTAAGCAACAAGAGACAGTCATGAATGCTAATGACGGAGACCGAAAACGACGGCAACAGGGCAAAACACCTGCAGTTGAGGTTGCTCTTGTGAGGTGGATTATTTATGCCCGGTCTCGGAACGTTCAGCTGAGCTCTGCGTAGAACCGGTGCATAGAACAAGTTACATAGGCCTACCTTATGCTATCAGAGTTATGTCCGCACACTGCGCAGTACTGTGCTTTGATTAAGCGTTTGTTTCAAACCTTATTTTCAGAACTGTTAAAAAAAAAATGCACCGGCGGCACAGCAGAGCCAACGCACAGCACATAATAAGTTACGTATGCTACCAGAGGTATTTTTGCGCACAGCACAGTATACTGTAATTAAACTTGCATAATATTGTAATAAAATTCAGTAAATGCGGAAGCTATCCATTTCATTTTTCTAATTGAAAAACCATACAAATTTCATTTAGATGATATTCTGCATAAAAAATAAGGATGTGTTAATATATCTCAGTCCAGACGATCTTTTCATGAATGGACGCAGAATTTACTTTTCAGTCATGGGAGAGTTTTGTGGTTTACACAATGGCTGTCTGTTTTTATATATATTTACACATACTGGATTGATGATTAGTGATAGTTCCACTGTAAATGCCTTTAACATAATATGTTTGACAGGATTTTGCCAAAAGGCAAATAAATTCTGCCGAGAATGGGTTCACCAAGTAGTTGGAGTTCCCATAGTCCATGAATGCAACATGGAACGGGACATCTCTGCTGCTTCAATCACTTTTTTCCGTCCACTCCTGTCAAATCTGAATGTGAAGAAAACTGATTTGAAAATGTAAAATTTTTTTTTAAAAATCCTGAAAATGAAAATGGAATTTGAAACAAAAAACGTAGATAATCTGAAAATACGAAATCTAAAACTGCAATAAAAAGAAAAAGAAAAAGTGTAACTAAAATACTAAACTGAATGTAGATTAAATTTTTTTTTTATGTTTGCTTTTTTAGTTTCTCACATTATAAGGTAAAAATCTGACATTAAATATAATCTTCTATTTTTTTCTGTTTCAAGTTTTATTTTTTTGTTTAAACTAAAATTTAGAAGTTTACAACATTTTGACCTCATTCTGACTTCATACAGGCTGGCTTCTTAAGTCCTAATTTGGTCCTCTCAATCTATCTTAATACCCTTTTCCCAATGGATTGCTTAATCTGTAAGCATGCAGATGATGTGTTAACACCCCATTGAAAAGATTACTTTAAACTGAATTAAGTTGCTTGATCTTGATGAGTAAATATATACTTCAATTTAATTTTCAATGATCACTGTTGGATGCAGATTCAGCGCGAACATCTGTCTAACCATCCCTGATTTAAACCCTGTGGTCATTCTGTGTACAAATGGAGAGATAATTCTGTCCTTAATCTATTCTCCAGCAGTTAAGAATCTGACTTCACATTATAAAATAAAGAACATGTTACAAAGGAGGATGTTGGATTTGTTCTTGTAAACCTGGTTGCTGGAAATTACTAGATTTGCCCACGCTTCATCTGCTGACCAGTCCAATTCAAAACAGCAAGATCCTGGTCTGGTTTTCCAGGCAGCACTTTGCTGTCTGGGACTACTTACCACAGCATTATTTTCACCTTTTTTTCCCCCTCTCCCTGTGGTGGGACTTTGGGGAGGGGGGATTTGTGCACGGTATAGGATTGAGCTCCAGTCCTGAGTGTTTTTCAGTGAAATAACTAGCACTCTGAACACTGAAATTTGATGCTTTGATTGCAGTTTATATGTATAATTAAAGCTGAATGTTGTGTGGGAGGCTATGTAAAGATGTTGCCGCTGCATAGTAAACTGCAGTAACAATGGGTACCGTTTATTCTGTGTAGCAAAATATGTATTGAGTAGATTTGCAATTAAAATCCATGTAAATTTTGTCAGTTAAGGAAGATTTGTATGTGGTGAATAAAACTTCAAAATGAGAAGTTATATTAAAAACCCTCTCTGTTTAGTCTAAAAAAATGATTCAAAAGCATCTTGGGGGATGTTTTGGTTTCATTCTGGTCATTAAAATTCATTTGCAGATGTGTGTGCACAGTTTTTTGAAAAACAGTGCAATGTAGATTTATTTTAGAATAAATATGTTGGGAACTTGGACGGTAGAGACCAGCGAGTACAGAGACAAGTCCAAGACATTTGGAGGCAGAGACCATGACCTAATGTGGTTTTTGTCTTGGTGCTCCTTGGTCTTGTTTGGTGAGGTTTTAACTAAAACACTAGCGACAGGCTCCTTTATATTTGTGTGAAAATTAGGCAAAAATCTAATTTAAAAACAAATTTTTTGTGTATACCTTTGGGCTTTTTTAATGGTTATAGCTATGCATTTGGAGTACATTTTGATTTGTTTTGTTTTTGTCCCTAATTTGTTTAATCATTTCATATGCTTCTTAAACTAAAAGGAGTACGCTGTGTCCCTTTGCCTTTTTATTTGCCATTTAGTCCAATTGAGAACCCTTTCTTCATTACACAACCATTACAAATGGGTTTCTGTTTGAGTTCCCCCCACTCACTTGTTCAAAATTAACCATTATTCGTTTATTGCTAAAGCTGATATAGAGAGAATAAAATTGAGGAAAGGTTCCAAAGTAAACTTTAATTTTTTGTATCTGTTTATTCATAAAATTGTATGGCAAATGTTACAAAAGCACCTTTTTTCTTGCAAGAGACAAAAGTGCAGCAAAAATATATACAAAGTCGCAGTTAGAACTATGGACGAAATTGTCTTCTAGTCTTTCCAGAGGACAATAGAGTTTATATTTAAAGTTTATAATATGTACACATTGCATATTCTCATTCATGGCCTGAATTGACACTGTCTCAGCCTGTGGTATTCGAAAAGGTAGGCTATAAACATTTAAAAATAAACATATGCTCTGTTACTAAAATCTGATCAGGAACATGTAATACCTAAAAATATGTGTATGCACATAAACAGAGGCTAACATGTTATTTCAGTTTAGCTCAACATGTATGTTAGCAAGTCCAACTAGGAGTCCAGGCTTTTGTTTTTTTTATAAATGTGAAAAAGAAGAATCTAGATAACCCAGTAATCTGATGGGTTACAAAGATATCTGTGAACAGATTGACTGTCTTTAATTTGTCATCAAAAGTATAATATTAATCCAACAACTAATGGTTGGAGCCATGTTGAATGCTTCATACACAAAAGGCATGTACAATATATGCTACACAGGTCATTGAAACTATTTTCAGATCTTGTACTCTGTAATGAAGCCACCTTTGTCACTTCAAAACTTCAATGTTTAAGTACATTGTAGAGAAAGATGGCAAAATAATGAGTGCATGAACACGAGGCTGGGTAAGGCATTGTGCTTAGGAAGTCACCGACAGCTCAGAGAAACTCAACAGGGGCTAACGGGATTGTCTTGTCTGTGTGTGAAACTGGACACCACTATAATAACTTAATTTTTTCTGAACAAAGGAGTTTCAACCTCACCGTGATTCATTTTCAGTCCATGTCTTCAACTTTTTGTTAATTATGTTTTCAAACAAAGTTTGCTAGAGGCTCTCTGTCATTCTTGTGATTAAGATTTGCTTCCCATGGAAGTCATTTAGAGGGAGGGGTCCATTTGGCGTACAGCCATTTGTGATTTTTCCCTCCAGTGGCGCTAGTGATTACCCCACATCCCTAGTCTCTTCTTTTGCTCCCAGTTCTGTGTATCCTCCTCAGCACATAAGACACGTTGCTCTCATTTAGATAGGTTCTTTTATTTTTTTGCTCTCAGATAATTCTTTTGGTTTATATTTATGGTAATTGCCTTCTCGGTATTGATATAAAAAGGTTCTCAATATCATCCTGACAACATTTACTGCATTTTCTGAAATGCTTGTGAAATTTGTGAAAAAATTTGTTTTAAGAAGTGGACACTATAATCTTATCTGTATTTTCTCCACATTTAGTCATATAACAAGCAAAAATCAAAAGTGAAAGAAGGGTTTTTAAAATATTTCGAGCTTAAACGCTCGAAATATGCGCGATACCCTTGGATCAACTCAACACTTGGTCCCTTATGTATTTTTGCCGTACTGCAGGCAGCCATGTTTGGTGTAATGTAAAACATTTCTTCACAACATTTCCCCTCCCCATGACATTTCCATTAATTACATGATGTGCTGTCACCTGTGTTTAAGAGAATACTGCATCAGCTTCAAGTTTAAACACCTAAAAAACGTATCAAGCTTGAGCAAACATCATTAAGACCAAGGAACACATCAGGCATTTGAAGGATGGAGTATTTGTCAGGTTTATAACTCAGTAGAGCTTTAAAAACCTCATAATAACCAGTAGTATGCTCTGATCTTCTTAAAGATCATTGCTCAATTCATCATCTGAAAATGGAAAGACTATGGCTTAACTTTGCAACTTGCTGGGAGAATATGACAATAATAAAGGACCCCCAAGAAGAGAGCCATTGCTGAATGAACCATAAAGGGCTGGTTATACTCCTGCAGCAGTGTGTTGCAGTGAGCTTATCGCAGGTTCGCAGGCAAACACTTTTGATTTATGCTTAATATTGAAGCATGGTCTACGCTATGTTATTCCACGCCACAACGCAATAGGGGAAAATCACAAACCGAGTCTGAGTCTAGATACAATGGAGGTGGTGAGGAATTGGGGGCAAGTTTGTCAACGGAGGGACATGAGGGTGAAAAAAGCAAGGATCCAGTTGATTAAAGGGTCCCAGCGTTCTCGCGCACCTCGCTCTTCTAGCGGGTCCAACTTCATGAGTCGTTTTCCGTGGTCAAACAAGCTGGTAAGGTCACAAACAGAAGACACATGATGTAGAGAGTGGATGTAGATTTAATCAATCAGAGGCCTCCTGTCTGCGGCACTGTTTGCGGTCACCTACAATTTGGGAGACTTTTTACGGCACTAGTGGATAGTATTTTCAACAGTACGCTGACAGGAAAGGGGGTTAGAGAGAAACATGCAGGAAAGGCCCACAGGCCGGATTCGAACCCCGGTAACCCGCGTTGAGGTCTAAGGCCTTGGTACATGGGTCATGCGCGCTAACCACTGCCCCACCTGCACACCAAGCATCAAGCTTTCAGGATGGGTCATTTTGATTTTTTTTTTTTCATATAGGGAACGGGAAATCTGGCCAGAGTTGATGGCGCTAAGAATGAAGCCATCCAGAAACCATATTACAATTTGCCTGGGTTGATTCACCTGCAGCAGGAAACCTTAAAAATACAACTGAATCTACAGGGATATAGTTTAGATAAAAAGTGTGTGTACATGTTATGAGATACCTGAATTAACTAAAGAGTTGTGCTAAACATGGAAATTAATCCTCTGAATATTTCTATCTATCCTGATTAAACTTTAATTATGAATTATTTTTCTTCCACTTTATAACTACATGCTACCGTGGCATGGTCTATTAAATACTTATTAACATACCATGAAATTATTAGTTGTAATGTGACCAAATAAACCATCATCTGGGGATATGGATATTTCTCTCCATATTTTTTGAAAATGTTGTTGTTCTTCATAGACTCAGTTATGAAAGGTAGACTTGAACCTTACATCATCAGTCAAGCTGATTTAAAATAAGGTGGCTGTGTTACGTTGTGACTCCATTTTCAACACGTTTCTCTGCTTTTATGAAGGACCAACTCTGCCATATTTAAAAATAAATACAGAAATAAATAAATGCTCAATAAATGTATAAGCATACAATTAATTGCCAACAAAAAAGTGAGACATAAATGTATATAACTCTTAATTAGCTTCTTTATTTATTTGCCTTTGTAATATTTACCTTATTTATTTTTCTGTCCTTTATAATCTTCAACTTTATTTTTTAATTACTTATATTTTTAAGTATTTATTTATGTGCATGTTATTATATTTTTGTCTGTTTTATTCTTCCTTTGTATTTTTTTACCTTAGTTATTTCTTCGCCGCTGTTTATTTCTCTCTGCCCTTTTTACATTTCTCTATGCATTTCTATGTCATTATGCAAATGAGGAGGGGGTGTGTCCTAGAGAGTCAACTTCTGCTCATTGGTTGGTTTGGCGTTCCATCTTCTTAACTCACAGAGCTCAGAGTACTAAATTAAATGTTCTCTTTTCTGTTGCTGTTGTTCAATAAAAGTACGTTTTAAGATCATTTGAGGCGAGAACCTTATACTTTTAAGCATCACCATATGGCCCATTCACAGATTTAATGCGTAATTTAAAAGAAAATGTGACGAACTTGAGAGGACCGTAGCAACCAGCGGAGCTCCGAAGCTGACGGCAGCCAGGTCTATAGCCAGGCTATGATGGCGATTTTTTGTTGTATTTGGCAAAGTTTGGCAAAGTCCCTACTCAAGTTCTGACTTCAGACTCGACATCAGACTCTCCTCCTGTAGATTCGACCGATGTAGTAAAATGCTAACCAACACGCTTCACACACGGCTATGCCGAGAGAGGGCCGGTGCAGATGGGCTGTGGTCGGACCTGGCTGCCGTCAGCTTCGGAGCTCCACTGGTGCCGCGGTCCTCTCAAGTTCGTCACATTTTCTTTTAAATTACGCATTAAATCTGTGAATGGGCCATATGGTGATGCTTAAAAGTATAATATTCTCGCCTCAAATGATCTTAAAACGTACTTTTATTGAACAACAGCAACAGAAAAGAGAACATTTAACTTAGTACTCTAAGCTCTGTGAGTTAAGAAGATGGACCGCCAAGCCAACCAATGAGCAGAAGTTGACTCTCTAGGACACACCCCCTCCTCATTTGCATAATGACATAGAAATGCATACAGAAATGTAAAAAGGGCAGAGAGAAATGTAAAAAGGGCATAGAGAAATGTAAAAAGGGCAGAGAGAAAAAACAGCGGCGAAGAAATAACTAAGGTAAAAAAATACAATGGAAGAATAAAACAGACAAAAAAATAATAACATGCACATAAATAAATACTTAACAATATAAGTAATTAAAAAATAAAGTTGAAGATTATAAAGGACAGAAAAATAAATAAGGTAAATATTACAAAGGCAAATAAATAAAGAAGCTAATTAAGAGTTATATACATTTATGTCTCACTTTTTTGTTGGCAATTAATTGTATGCTTATACATTTATTGAGCATTTATTTATTTCTGTATTTATTTATAAATATGGCAGAGTTGGTCCTTCATATGCTTTGAGTTAGGGTGTAAATAATAATAGTTTTGTATTGATATATCGATCTGATGCATCGACACGTCGGCAATGGTATTGATTCATTTTTTTTTTCCTCTGGTCTCTTTTTATCCATTTGCACCTGGAACAACTTTGCTACTTCTTTTATTTGCTGTTGTTTATCAAATAAAATTCATGATATTACAGCTTTCATGGATTTTTTTTAAATTTGAAACATTGTATAGCATGTAAGGCAAAAAAAAAAAGAACAATTAACCAATTAATTGAATCGAATCGTTTTGTGGTGTATTCTTGAGTATCGAAAATAATCAAATTTTTGGGCCAGGAAATTGATACTGAATCGAATCGCCATGATTGAGTTGAAATGTATATAAAACGTAAAGGTGCTTTTAAGAGGGCTTGAACATTTATGGCAAGTTAACGACGCTGAAGCTGTTCTAAAACAGACCATCTCAAGGAAAAACTTTGCAGACTTGTCTGTTCATTTTTTATTTTTTATTAAATTAAGTTAAGTCCTCTCACTGGAAAATTATAACAAGCAGGATTATAGATTAAAATCTGTATTTTTTCTTTTTTACTCTAATAAGTTTTATTCTCCCAGTATGTAGCTGATAATATCTCTGTGTATACTTCAGTGGTAGACTGTGGTGTTGTTCTCTATCTTCTCCTAAGTTGATACCCTTGCATTTACCCAGCTTCCTTCCGCCTTAGCCACGGCACCATTACCTCTATTTAACCACCGCAGAAGCTGTAACTGTATTTAACTAAGTCCTAACCATCAATCTCACCTCATGATGCAACCTCGCCGCTTCTTTGCTTTCCTCTTATGATTTTGTTTATGTGTCTCGCTTGCTGTAGGGGTCGCACCAGAGGGAGGGTTGTTGTGGATGAGGAGGACAGCATGGATGGTACTGAGATAACAGAGTCCACAGACCCTCAGGATGCAGGTAAGACTTTGTAGCTCCCCCTTCTTGATCTATAATACACACATTGTTTTTTGGGAGCTTCTACTCCCAGGCGGCCGTTTGCCAAGAGTGCTTCAAAAAGTGTGTCAGGAGAGGTAGCAGAGTTCCCTCTCCAGTAGAACCATGGGTAAGAGCTTTTTTCTTAGCACCCCATGCTTCCTCTTTAGGGCTATAATTGAAAGGATTTAAATGAAACTGCGATGCTGCATTGGTTGTGCATTTTTTCCTTCTCTCACCACTTCCATCATTCCTCCTGCTCTGAGATTGGCATTGAGGTGCAGTGGGAAAGAGCCCAAGGCTAATGCCCTCTAAAAGCTTTTTAAAATCCCATCAGTCTCTTCAGACCCATTTATGTGCTTTTTTATGTGTACATCACATCACATGAGCAGGCCTTCCATTCTCATACATCTTAGTGCTTCGCTGTTGCTGTGTCTGAGATATTAGGAAGTATACAATCTGTGAGCTTTTTTGCTTTTCGTTTGTTGTCCCTCATGCCCAGGTAAGTTTTCATTTAGTAGACAAAACAGGATAATTTTTTATCTGTCATTGTTTGGGTTTTTGTTGTATCAAGAGCTGTAGCAATGAAAAATATCAATGGGAAAGTAGTTATATTTTTTCATTTAATTCAGGAAGTAAAGCAAGGTAATTTTATTTATGTAGCGCAATTCAGTAAGATAATTCAAAGCTTTACTTGAATTAAGCAATAAAATAGATAGTAAAGATAAAACCTAACATGATAAACGCAGGTAGTAAAGCAAATAAAACAGTTGGACCCCAAAATTAAACTGTTGATTAGGGCTTAACAAATTGTTTTTTACTTTGACTCAAAAGAACTCAAACAAATATATTTATATATATATATTTTTTTCTTTTTACATTGAGTTGTGTATTCCTAACAGGCATTTTTTAAAGTTTGATAACATTACTTGAAGTACATGATTACCCTAAACCAGACTGCTTTGTATGTAAACTTTTTCTTCAGTGCAGGGACTTCACCACCTGCACCAATACTCCTTAAAAGACGTCATTCCCATCTTCTAAATTATGGCACAAAAGGTTACTGTTTGGGTCCCAGACTGATCATATCTGCAATAGCCATGCAATATAATGGAAAGTTGAGTGGAACAAAAAAAGACTGGTGGGGGATCATGCATAAGTAACTGGGGCAACCACATGCGCCAATCCCAACACATGTAATTTCAAGACACTTTACAGCAGGGGTAACCAATTAAAAATCAGCGGGATCCAAATAAAGAAAATCATCAACCAGTAAAGGTGCGGAGACATCTTTGATTCTAATCTGTTACTTTAAACAGAATAAATGAGGTGTTTATGCATCCATGTTATACATTGAATTTTTAAATTAAAAAATATTTTTAAAAATAGAAAATGTTTCCATTTTAAAATCTAAAATGTTTTTTTAAGTAGAGAACAACAATCATTTAGTTTGGAATATAGACAATTTCCCGATTCACATATTTGATAAAACATCTGAACTGACCGTTTTTCTTTCTTTCTTTTTAATGGCTTAAAGAGAGCAGTGGGCTTTATGCTGCCCTGCAAGACTTTAAAACCTGGGTTTGAAGGGCGGCAAAGCCATTCTAAAGCACATATCAAGGTGCTCATTTTGAGTCTGGATCAATATTAATTTTTTAAATTGTTCATGGAGGAGAATCCTGCTTCACAGCAGCAGGTTGAGCCAAACATACTCAAAATGTGAAGGGTCATCCTTGAGCTCGCCATTTCACTTTTCTTTAACCAGTTCACTGCAGTTCTTCCAGCAATCCACACTTTCTTCGCTCTCTTTGCCTCATTGTCTCCTTCTTTCCCATCGCAGGGCTTGCCTGCTGTGTCTAAAAGTGGCTCGCAGCAGCGACACTGACTGACACAGCTCAATGGCTAATTTGTATCACTTGTAGGCGCTCTGGAGGGCTTTACCATATTAACAGGATAAGCAGCGCAAGTGAAGTTAGACACTGCCATCAGTGTCAGTTCTAAATCAGGTTGGCTGGCTAATCCGTGACCTCTGCTTTACAGAGACAATTCAACCAGATCATACAGTCAAACTGATTCCAAGTTCTCTATCTAAGGAAAACCAATTGATTACATACATCAACTCATTGACTCAAAGGCATTTCCACACACCAAGCATGCTTGTAGCAACAGTGGAGAGGAAAATCTCCCTTTTAACAGGAAGAATCCTCTTGCAGAACCAGGCTTGCCGAGGCTGAATCCTGAAAACAAACAAGCTCAATAGTTTAGGGGAGATTAAAAAGGCAGAGCCAGTGGTTAGAGTCAGGTCTTCAAGAGCCACCTTACAGATATGACAAAGATGGGGGCTCAGCAGGCTATGCCACTCCTGAACCACAGACGAAATCCAAACTATTCTACCTGGGCTAAAGACAAAAAGGACTAGATTGATGCTTTGGGATGCTAAGTCAGGAAATGCTGTTGGTCAACTTTGAGATTATTCTTCTGCCATCTGCATTTACTTTCATAACTGTAGATGAACTAAAGGCTGATGTTGAGTTAAATTCAGCTTCCCTTACGACCAAACAGTGTCAGAGGCCAGTCAACCTCATGTCACACTGGTGATTCAAGCAGAGGGTTGACCAACCGAGTCTTGGCAATAACCAGTACAATAAACGAACATCCATCCATCCATTTTCTGACACGCATATAGCAAGTGGGGTCGCGAGGGGTGCTGGTGTCTATCTCTAGCAGTCTTTGGGCGAGAGGCAGGGTACACCCTGGACAGTTTGCCAGTCCATCACAGCAATAAATTAACATAATTTATCTTTTAGGAATAAGTCACTGGAATAACTTAACATTGTCATATTTGGATGCAATTAATGGTAAATGTCAGTGTGAAATTTCACATGATGTGACTGAATGTTTGCAGTACTGATTTAGCTAAATGTCAGTCTATAATAATGACGCAGTTCTGCATGTTTCAAAGTGCCTCTGAGAAACCTCTTTGTATAATTGTCATTTTGAAATGAACTATTTAGTTATTCTAACTAAGATGAAATATTGAGTTTTAAATGAGTTATCAATGCTTGAGCGCTTTTTTCCAACAGGCTGAAGTTCTGGCTCAAAATCTGACCCCAAATGCAAATAACTGGAAATAATATATGCATGTTAAATTCTTATACATAATAAGCTTGATGGTTTATTGCAATTTTTATTGCTTAAGCTTAAGTCTCTTTTTTTCCAGAAGTATACTGAAAAATAAAAAAAAATCAGATTCACTGAAAAAGTTATTTCTGCATTTTAATCAGCAATAGCCTCACTGTTTAATTTTTATGCTAGTGGAATTGAGATACAATAACTGAAGGCCATTTGCATAAAAAACTATTATCCAACCAGTTAAAAGGGTTAATTTAATTCTCTGATTTTTGTGGATCTGTAGATTTTGTTTTGCAATTAAAAACTATTTTTCTAAATGCTAAACCCTTTTTCTTAGAGTTTGTGTTTTTAACCTGATCATACTGATTTTAGCTTATATCAGTTTCTCATTCTAAATATTGCTCTTTTAAAATTTCTGGATAAAGTAAAAAAAAAAAACGTTTAACATTACATTTTTAGGTAATATAAAATTGGGATCAAACTGCCCTTTGAGACATAAGTGTTGAACAAGAGTTTGTTCACATACCTGTGAATACTTTTATTTTATTATTTATTCTTTTATTTTTAAAAATTTGTCTCAATGACTAATTCGAATTCTTTATATGTGCTGGATTTATCCGTTTATCAGATTATCCATCAAATGTTTTTATTGTATTGTTGTTGTTTACCTTAGTCTTTTTTTCCTCAATTTTAGGAACCAAATATTGTCTCTCAGAGTGAGAATAAGCTGCAGTGTTTATAATACTCCAGTGTTTTATGCTCTTGAATGTGTTTCTGTTTTGGAGGCTTTTAAACATGATTTTTTAAAGTATTTTGAAATATATACATTTTTTTTTTTATGTTTGCTGCATGGCCTTAAAGGATCAAAACTGCATAGTTAAATATGCTGTAATCTTTTTCACTATTTATTTCTGCAGAAACACAAATCCAGCCAGTGGAGACTGTGGAAGTGGAGACCACTGAGGTGCCAGAGGAGGAGATAGGCCCTTCCCCTCTGGCCCAGAGCCCCCCAGCAGAGAGTTCAACGGGACCATCTGTCCTGGCCAGTGGAGAAATCAAAAGCGGGTCAGTCACACTAAACTTGGCCTGACCCATAATTATCATTGGTTGCATGTACGTGTATGAAAGAAACCTGTCATTTGGCCGATAGATAATACTGGTTTTTACCTTGTTCTGGTACACCTGTGGAAATTATCAGCTGGTGAAGGCAGGCATCTCTTCCCAGGTGTCACTTTATTGGCTGTAATCAATCTGGTGGTGTTTCTGTGACATAGAGGGCAGATTAGAAGCATCTGCTTGGTTCTTATTACTGATAAAGCTTTTTCATTTCAAAGTTCATATGAAATCTGCAACATTTTCATATCTGGGTATCAGTGCTTCTTGTTAACACGTGTTGTTTATTTATTTTCAATGTATAATAAACATCCAATTAACTTGGTTTCAGGGAGCGTCTCTGTGCCTTCTGTTACTGTGGTGGTCGTAGCCTTCTGGGTCAGGGGGAACTACAAGTATTCAGCACCGCATCTCAGCACGAAACATCCGTCAGCCATAATGGTGAGGAGAGCTCAACGACCGACGGCAGCGATGGTAACAAAACTGCTCAGCCAAAGACGGCTGAAGACGGCACCTCAGGAGAGAAGGAAAACAAGTAAGGCCTTTTTGGAAATCTTTTCGTTTATTATTGAATTCACCTCAAAAAAAAAAAAAAAAAAAGACTAGTTTCTAAATGTTGATTACAAATTTTTCAGTTTTAAAGATCCCCCCCAAACATCTGTACAATGGTTTAATTACAATTTTTATTGCTTAAGCTTAAATGTTTTTTTCAGAAGTATACTGAATAGGGAGCTTAAAAAACAGGTTTGCTGAAAAAGTTATTTCTGCATTTTATTCAACATTATCCTCACAGTTTTATTTTTTCCTGGTGGAATTGAGATAGAATAACTGAAGGCCATTTGCATAAAAAACTCGTTATCCAACCAGTTAAAATGGTTAATTCAATTCTCTGTTTTTTGTGGATCTGCAGATTTTATTTTGCAACCGAAAAAACAATTTTTCTAAATGCTAAACCCTTTTCTTTTTTGTAAAACCTTATTTTCTTATGTACTTTTGATTCCTGGTCTGAATATTTTATGGGTTTAAAATCCTGAGTGGTAGAGATGCAGCAGTCGTGGAGTTAGTGTTTCTAATCGGATCATACAGAGTATAACTTATATCAGTTTCTCAAACTAAATATTACTTATTTTAAAATATCTAGATAAAGTTAAAAAAAAAATTTAACATAACATTTTTAGGTAATATAAAACAGGGTATTTTTTTCCTACACAACCCAAAGTTTGTGATGTTTACTTCTCTGCATCAATGGTAATCTACAAAAAATAGAAACCTGTAGACTAAAGAGTGATCCGTAGTTATTGATAAGTCAACAACACATGATTTCACATTTGACTGTGAGGACAGTCAACCTTTAACCTCTCTGCTTTGATTTTACTATTTTTTTTTTTTTTAACAATCTTAAATTGACAAAAATTATTACTAATAAACATTGGAGCATATTCCCTGTAGATTTGGTAAACACCAACTCTAACTAATTTCCTAAAGACTCCCTTAATTAATTGCCCAATCCAGCTCCTCATGTGACAGATTGACAGGATGGCAATCTTAAAAAGAAGTCTGAGTTCATACAGACTTTGTCATCCTTGGGTTTTGCTCGTCGATGCACATAGAAGCCGTGCTTGTCAGTGCGCCGATACCCACTGGCTCCATGGCGTTGTAGCATGATGGAGAGACATCATAGATGAGGGTTCTGGTCTGTTTTTGACTGGTGACATGGTGGAACATGTTACATTTCCAAAGATTGGGTCATCTAGACAGGAAGCTAGACATAAAATAAAACACATTCTTTACTTTTTAAAGGTAGATGTTTTGGGAAGCTGTGAGAGTTTAATGGATGATTCTCACACCCATTGTGGATTGCAGCATGGCTCGCATTGAGACGGTTGACGGAGCGTAGTGGGCGTAAACCTGGGGCAGGTCTCATTTTAAAACTAGCGGTCTGAAGGATCGACCATGCCTGGAGACAAAATGGAGTCCCTTAATGCTTTCAGCAACTTCAGTTTTGAACTCCTGACTTACAATGACAAATATCTGAGCCTCCTTGATGGGTGTGCTTCAGTATATTGTGTAGCTCTTATAGTCATTCATCATTAACTGTAGCTTTTAACAGTCAATAAGACAATCTATATTAGATAAAATCAAGGAACTCGATATTGGAACAGGAGCATGAAATCTGCTTGTTCACTGCTAATTGTCTTTCCTAGACGACAGCACGATATGTTTGGACAATTTAAAAATAAACCCTGGTTCTCTCACTTCCTAATATGTTTTTTTGGTTTGGCACAATGCCAAGGGGTCTGTACTTTTTATGTTGTTTTATTTAATAAGCATAATGAACGGATAGTGCATTTGTAAGGAGAGAGGTGAATATCGCCACATAATTAGGTTGTAAACAATAAACCATCTTATCCTGAGTCTGTCATCCTGCCTAAAAAAAACAATTAAATGATTTTATTTTATTTTTATTTACTGAACGGCGGTTCTCTTTTTGAAATGCTAATGCTTTTCCTTTTTTTTCATGTTGTGTGACTTAAAGAAACGGATCCTTTATAATCATCCTATGAGTCATAACGGCAGGCCCCTTTTACATGCACCACACAGGATGGCCTTTTATTACATGTTCTGTAGTCTATTTGAATTTAAATCCTCTGCCTTATCTCAGGTTTTTTAAGTTTGCATCTGATTATTTAACTATAAATCTTTCATTTTTTATAACCTTTATTTTCTAGTGGGTCTGAAACCTGCCATGAAGAACCAGACTCTGCCATTCGATTTTGGGATGAGCTTTCTCATGTCGGCCTTCCACAAGGTCTGAAAGTCCGGTCTCTCTTTGAGTCAGGTAGGAGCTGCATTTTATTTATTTATTTATATACTAAATACTTCATGTTTCAATTCTTTTTCTTTTCCTTTTTTTTAATTCACCCTGATCTTCATTTGCTTGCTGTTTTTAGGGCAATGTTGGGCACATCAGAGTTGTGCCTTGTGGTCTGACGGTGTTTGTGAGGGCGAGGGACAATCTCTTCTTAATGTGGACAGAGCCATTGACTCAGGGAGCACAAAGGTAAGTGAAGGGAAAACATCTGTAGACTAATGGGTGTCAACACCATCTTAATGTGCCAGGGAAGCAGGGAGGGACGGCTTTATTGAGGAACAGAAAAGCTGATGGATCAGGCTGAATGGTAAAGGTCAGAGAGGCAGTGTGGATCTCTCAGCTGTGAAATGGAAAAGGTCATGCCACTCAGTGGCACACAGCTCTTGTAGCTGGTTGGCCCTGTTTGGTTGTAGCGGTGATGCTCAAAGTTCTCTGATTGTTTGCAGCCCATTGGTTAGGCAGCTGAATAGCAATTCCACCACTTGATCTCCACTGCGGCTAGTGGTACTCACTTATAGACAATAAAGAGTTCATCCCATTCTGCTGCTGTGATTTTTGAACCTTAAGTACATTTTTTTTTTTTTTCCAGAAATTAATACTCTAAACGTTCACCTTTTGAAGTCACTCCTAATCAGGATCTCTAATTATTAACACTAAAGACAATCTATGTTGTTTTTCTTTGTTTCCATAGCACTGTGCATACTGTAAGCGCCTTGGAGCATCCATTAAGTGCTGTGCAGAAGGATGTGCTCAACTCTACCACTACCCCTGTGCAGGGGCGGCTGGGACCTTTCAAGATATTAGAAGTCTTTCACTCCTCTGCCCAGAACATATAGAATTGGCAATCCACAAATGTAAGTTTAGAAATGAAATTAAATATGGGGTAGGTGCCAAAACCTTGAAAGTTTTCTGATGATCCTGTTCTTTCGGCATTAACAGTCGTAGACGATGTAAATTGCGCGCTGTGCGACAGCCCAGGGGACCTACTAGACCAGCTCTTCTGCACCAGTTGCGGTCTGCATTACCATGGGATGTGTCTGGACATTGCTGTGACCCCTCTAAAAAGGGCAGGTTGGCAGTGCCCAGAGTGCAAAGTCTGCCAGACATGCAAGTGAGTCACATTTACCTCCCAGCTGAACAAGAACTAACTCTAAATCTTTCCCTGCTCAGGTGTTTCTCTCACTCTTTGTCCCTCTTCATTTCTCCACCGCTCCCAGATATACAGTGATGTTGTGTTTACCTCTGTGGCCTGTGAAGCACTCACTGGGAGTTTGACCCTCAAGCTTAATTCATGTAACCTCTGACCTTGTTTTTAAAAGAAAAGCTCAGCACCCACTGGCACACCTAGAGCAAGCAGTCGTGGTTGTTCAAACTGCCCTTTGAGGCATGAGTGTTTATATTTGCATAGAAATCCCAGAAGTGTTGAATAAGAGTTTGTTCACATTACTGTAAATACTTTTATATGTAAGATTGATTTAAACATTAGTCTCAATGACTAATTACTTAGAATTCTTTATATTTGCTGTCAAATATGCTCCATTTATCAGAATATTCATCAAATGTTTTTATTGTATTGTGGTTTTTAATTTTTTTCCTTCGTTTCAGGAACCTAATTTTGTAACTCAATCTGAGAATAACCTGCAGTGGCAGCATGTTTATAATACACCAATGTTTTATGATCTTGATTTTGTTCTGCTTTGAAAGCTTCTAAACATGTTTTTTATAAAGTATTTCAAATATATTTATTTATTTTTCAAATGTTTGCTGAATTGCTTTAAATGGTCCTAAACTCAGTGGTTAAATATACTTTACTCAATAATTTTTTTTTTTTTTTTTTTTTTTGTGGAGAAAGAAAAAAGAAAAAAAAAACCTTAATACTACAAATTAGAAAACCCAATCTGATGTAAACGGTATGTGATGCAAAAGCTTCAACATATTCAAAAATTTTGAGATTAACTTTATTTTGCTTTATTGGTCTGATCATAGTTGTATTTTATGTTCCAGATTCCTTTTCCTCAAAGGAAGTTTGGTTTGGGTTTTGTCTTTGCATCCCGGATATATTTATGGCCCGAAGGTCCACATTATGTATAGATTCCAGTGACAAAGATGCTTAGACTTTTGGAGGCTAGATCTGAAAAAACAAACAAACAAGGAAAGCAGTCTGATTTTGAAGAAGAGGAAGAAAATGTGATTTAATGGTTATCAACATTACAAGATATTGTTATAGTATAATGCCACTAAAACTCCAGGTATCATTGCTGTAGTTGTTATTCAATGTCCAGTTTGGTGTTTTTTAATTGGAATAATAGTAGAGAAATGAAAAAAGAGACTGCTTTGATCGTAATATTATTTAAAAAAAGGCTCTGCTTCAGTATAAGAAAACTTACAATATTCCACTAAACAGTTTTAGTCAATGTTAGAGACCCTGATGAATCTACTTAGTTTAACGTTCTGTCTTTGGCTTTATCAGCTGCATTGACAAGGTTAAGTAGTTGTGCATTCATGGCTTGTACTTCAAATTTGTAAAACAACAGCGGGTTTTTATTGTAATCCTGTTCCATAAATCTACAGCTAACATTTGTTTCTTGATGCAGCTGTTTTTAGTTTTCCATAAAAATCCAAATAAAGTGGAACACAACCACATCATGAATGCAGGTTTTGTAAAACTGCCACAAGCTGACATCTCTTTAGTTTTTAGAGAAGACTTTGGGTCTGTTTTAGGATAACAAATAATTCTGATCAAGACGCCCCAAATGTAACACCATATCATACCACACCTCTTTCTTTTTTTGTCTCTAGGAACCCAGGAGAGGACACTAAAATGCTGGTGTGTGACATGTGCGACAAAGGCTACCACACCTTTTGTTTGCAACCTGCTATTGACTCCCTACCTACCAACGGGTGGAGATGTATGGTAGGAACCTCCTCATACTTCTTAGCACCTTTAAAGATAGAAATTAAAAAACAGAATGTTCTAATTGGGATATTTTAATAATGCAAATAGTAAAACATGAGATCCTCAGTCACAATGGCAACTTATTGTGGTTGATTTCATTTTGGTTTTACACAATGGCACTGCATTTTCCTCTTTTATTGCAGAGTCATGTTGTGTTCAGTGTGTGCAAAGATGGGGGGGGGGAATAATTCATCTAGGCTCTGTCGCTGGGTAAAGTGACCTGGACCCAAAGGGATATGCACATGGTGTTTGTGGAAGAAATGACTCAGAGCTGCTGATCTTTAAAAGGTTTCACTTCCAGTAGATAATTCGAAGTGTACTTGTGCGTACATGCACTAGTGTTCTGTTTTGTGTCAGCTGCATTTTTTTTTTTTAATGCAGCAGTTGGATTAGGTCATACCGAAGGAAGCAGTAGGTGAACAGAGCTCCCCACATATAGAAAGCTGAGCATGTCAAAATGTGAACAATACAGCCCTAATGAACCGCTGCTGCTCACTTCTGAGTGCAAGTCCACATATGGGTGTCAGTTTTGTTCTGAGTGGTTTGGTTGTTTTCTTTCTGATCAATAGAAATTAATCATCCTTCCAGTTTCAATGCTGTGCAATGTAACTCTGACATCGTCTTTGTTGAATTGAGTTGTTTTAATGGTAATCTTGTATTTATTCATTTATGTATTCACATTTTCTGAGAAAGTTTATTTTTAGTTTTATTTCCCTGAATGCTAAACAAATTTGAACAGAATTAAATGCCTGAGGATAATTTTGTAAGTTTTAAATTGGAGTTGGTCAGTTAATTGCATTTGCAACATAGTCGCATTTTACTAAAACATAGTTTTCAATCGCAGAGGCACTAAATTTCTCCGCTCAGGCTTTTAAGTGGTGGTCAAACACTTGAAGTGGGTTTGTTGTCACAGAAAGATAAAGTTGCAGCTAGCATGCAGATTCATGCATGCAAGTGGAAGTAAGCAGTTTTTCATACAAAGATTATACTAAAGTCCTGCAACAGCGAACTCTGGGCAAGCAAGCTTTCAAAAACTGAAAGCCTGAAGTGAAACATCTACAAGCTTTGGGTTAGTGCAAAGGAAAAAAATAAGATCTCAATCACAGTTTTGGTTAAAAATAATCACAACTCAGATTTTTGACAATATTGGTTAACCCTGTTTTAAGTAAAATAACATTTAAATTGTTTGCACACCCTCACACATTCATTAACATCTTTGATTATTTCAAAAATGTTGGATTTTATTCCCCAACAATAAATGAAAAGTTTTTGTTATATACATTTTTTTACGTCCAGGTGTTTTTATTGTTCTATACGCAGGGCAACTCAAACTAAATAAAAACAGGAGGCAATGAAAACAAAGACCTGAACAATAAGCTGAGTAAGTCCAAGCATCAAACTGGACAATATGCAGAAATGTGTGTTTAACAAGGTGATGTTAGTGTAGATAATGATGAAACACTAGAAAGAAGGTTAGATTCTGAAATATTGAAACAAATCAAAAAATTCTTAGAATTAATATGGATATTGACATTTGGTGGATGCATATAATGAAAAGGGTATACATCAAGACATAAAGAATAAAGGCTAATTCTACGTTGTTTCGGTAACGGGTGAATTTTAATTATAGATTGTGTATTATGATAAAAAGATTGGTTTTAATAAAATGTATTTTATTGCTGCACTGGATCTAAATGTCTTTTGCATGTTGTTCGTTTCTCCACAGAACTGCAGGGTTTGCATCCAGTGTGGAACGCGGACCAGTGGACAGTGGCACCACACCAGTCTATTATGTGAGAACTGTGTCCAAAACCAGGACCCTGCTCTCTGCTGTCCGATGTGCTCTTGCATCCTGGACCCTGAGCATCACAAAGACTTACTAAACTGTCAGACTTGTAAAAGGTAAGAACGGCAAAATAAAATCATGTGTTTGACATTTTTCTTACCATATGTGCAATGAAAATATTTGTTTGATCATTGTGTGCCTCCTGTCAGATGGCTACACCTGGAATGTGAGCGTCAGAACTCAGGCCATGGAGAAATCCACCCCAGGGAGGACTATGTTTGCTCCAACTGCAGGTCCCCTGCTGCACAGCAGGCACTGCAGGCAGAGGATATGGACATTGGCCCAGAGCTCAGTCCTCAACCTGCCCCCATGCACACAGACTCAGAGACTGGCCTACAGCCGGCTCAAAAGCACAAAGACCTTGAACCTGCCGTTCAGCTGTCCTCTGAAATGCACAATGACCCCAAACCGGAATTGCTTGCTGTTCCATTGCACTCTGATCCAGAGCCTGCTGAGGCTACCGTCCAGGAGGAGAAGCTGGCCACGTCAGACCATAAGCCTGGTAGGTCCTGGTTCAAACAATTATACTCCTTCTTCTGACCTTCTTCAGAGTTTGTTACCAAGCTCAGGGTTGGATGTTTGTTAAATCAATGTAAGTGTTAGTGGTTGAGAAGTCATCCAGAGAACAGCTGGCCACAGAGAGAAAATTCAAAGTCCTGCCAAATCAGTGTGCTTTAGTAGCTGTAGTGTTGATGAAGTTGTGAAAGTTATTGCTCATGCAGATCAAAGAATTGAAAAGGGAGTTCTATGCATCAACTCAAAGAAGAAGCAGTCCCTTGTCTTCAAAGGAACATCTGAGGGTTCACGTGCGACCAGATGGTGTCTCACTAGCATCAGATTAAAACAGCAGTGTTCTTCTTTGTTATTCTCTTGTTTTGAATCAATAGTTTGAAGTGAGTATCTTTGAGCATGAAGGACGGATCAGTCTTCTGTATTAATTTGAGAAACATTCTTAGGTATTTTTTGTATGTATTTTTCCAGTTTAACTACTAAGTAGCTTTAATTTAAGTTAACCTTTACCTGAACTTTGTTTGAGACAGATCTGACAAACTTTGCTTTTTATTTTGGGACAATGAACAATGAGTTGAAGGTAATGTATTTTTTTATTTACTTATGGCTAACCACATTAAAGCCTCAGAGTACTGTTTCATTCACAAATTCGGTTTGCTTTTTTGTTTTAAATCCACCCAAGCCCTTAAATTCAAGCGAAAATATAATCAATGCTTTATGAAACTGAATGTTTATTTTTTGCAACCACAAATGCCTTCGTAGTTTTACTATTGGAATGACTTTAACTCATGTCATTATCACTGGTACAAATTATATTAACATTTTGAATTTGACATTCCATTTAAAATATGGTCTAAATGGGGTCAATCGGCAATGAAGTGCAGAATCTCCCCCCAGAAATGGTCAGTAGGCAAGAGATGCCTGTGGCGTCTATGCTGCCCACTCTGTGCAGACAGACTTCTCCACTGACAGCAGAGAATGGATGAGAGAATGAAGATTATATCATGGATCTCCTGTCTGCTAACCTGCCTTGAAGCAATGCTGGCTCATTCATTACTGCTCACACTGCCTGCCTGCTTGTTTTGCACACTAGGCACAGATGCTCACTACTTTTCTTCATCCGGTAATTTGCAATCTCTGTAATAGATTTGGCTGGAAAAGCAGCATTTTTTTCTGCCGTATTACTTATGTTATGGTGTCTTTCATACTTTTAGTTGTTGGTCAGATAGAATGAATGCTTTGTTTCATTAGCAGTCTGTTAAATACATCATTTGTGCAATAATGTTAAAACAAACCACTTTTTCTCCTCTTGTGACATTAAATCAGAGGAGGTTTTTCCTCTCCTGGATCCGTTTGGATTACCAAAAATAGTGCTATATGCTAAATGGCTAATTTTATATTTTATTTTATTATTTTAAACATGAAGTTTTCTTGATTTTTTTTTTTTTTTTGCTGTTCTTTAGAACAGTTTTAAAAATTGTACGACTTGGATAAAATATTTAGAAAATCCTTCTAACTCAATAGTTGTTGGAATATTGGCCCATTCCTCAGAATGGTTAGAACCAGAGCAGATGAGTCTGGTTTGCAGGCTGCTTTGCTCACATGCACCTTCCAGCTCTGCCCACACATCGTCTAATGGATTGAGTTCAGGGCGTGATAATGGAGGAGACGTGTTGTGGGACTCGGAGCAAACACCATGATAGCTGAATCGGCCCGTTGTGTTTATGCTTGCACACTTGTTTGAACAGATAAACATGGCCCCCTAAGGTGTCTGCATATTTGCACTCAAGGATGAACTAAATTTATGGAGGTGCACAACTTTCTCTCCAACAATCGAGTTATTGACTTTTGCTTGATCATCACACCAATCAAGGAAGCTTTCTATTTGAGACTTGCTAAACATGCCTTCAAATAACCACTATGATTCTAAATTAGAGCTAGAAATGCGTGTAAAGTCAAAATCCTCCACTGGGCTTCTCAAATTTTAAAACAGTGTTTTAATATTAATGTAAAACAATCCTGTTTGATAAAAAGATTCTCTCAGAATCATCTAATATTATTCTGACATTCAGCAAAATATTATTATGATTTCAGCTTAGATGTTAAAGTAATGTAACCCAGTCTTTTAAACATATAATTCCTCAGAATATGTCTTTAAAATTATGTTTTATAATTTTTTAGGAAAAAATAGAAATAAATAAAACCACAGTATGTCCCTTTTCAAACTCCTTTTTTTTTTTTGCAAGGGGTACACACGAGAGCTTGACTTTCGTTTAGGCAGTGTACTGTAGTCCCGCTATTGTGGAGCACAGGATAGAGTGGTGAAAGTTAACCAGGCAAATGCTAGCAACTGCTAGCACCATGATTGACGGTAATAAAGAATAAGGACCGAAATCACGTTGTTTGGAGAGATTGCTCTTGCTGTCTTTACTTATTTGAACAAAAAAATAAATAAAAGCTATTTTAATACTCTGGATTGTTAGACAGGTTTTCAATGAGGCTTAACACCAACATACGGGTTTTAATGTGTGAAAGTCCCTGATGCCTGTTGAAAAAAGCAAAGATAATCCATCTGCCTTTGTAAACATCTGGTTTCAGCTGTATTAGGCCTGTTGGGATGAATCTGCCTGCAGTAGCTACACAGATCTCTGGTGTCTAAGATTAGAGTTGTCCTGATACAACTTCTAATTTCTGATAAAATACCGATATTGCAGATTTGAATATTAACCGATTCCGATACAATATTGAAAGTGTCTTAATGATAGATGACAAACATGACTCTGGAAAATGCTTATTATAGCAGCTGACATCACAATATTTGATGTTACCCTGACATGGTTTGCTAGATTGTTTCCACTATGGTTATTATGTCATTGCAGCTGCTATCTTTGGGGGAGGCAATGAGAAAATTATTTGTAGTATTGCTTCTGAATATTAAAGCGATTATGCTTTTTTTTTTTCATAATCTCTTCACCTCTTTCCCTAAGCTTTAGCATACCAGATGCTACCTTTACTGTTGGCTATCAGTATCAGCGGCTGTAAAAAGTATATGCAACTGACTGTACATACATGTAGCTTGAAGGGCAGAGTGTCCAACACCTGCCAATTTAGCAAATATTGCTTAAAAACAGTTGCAATTGCGATGTTGAAACCTTGATGTGGTGTGGTTAATTGGTGCCATTTGCTGTATGGTGAAGCTCTCTTAGGTTCTTGTTGGTCTAAATGTTATTGTATATTAATCAGCTTCCTGAAGGTTATTGTGGAAAAGAACACAGCAGCTAAATACCAGCAGGTCAGACTCCACCCTGATGTCACAGAGTGCTGGGTTGCATATTTTGATTTTCGATTTTCACCTTTACCGTTTGAAAGCAACCGACAGTAATATACTTTAGATACCGTCTGGCTTTCTGAATGTTATACAAGTCATTGCATTAACACCTAAGAAACTATAGAATAATTAGAAAATAACTGAGATATTAATAGTCTCTGTCTTTTCTTTTTTAAATGCTATAGTTTTGGCATCGGTAATGTATGGTTCTGATTATCTTTCAAAGGTTAGCTAATTTTTTAAAGGTAAAATTTAATATGAAGTCCCTCTAAAATCAGAGCCACAGCTCAACTGGTAATCACGCAGATGGGTACCTTAATTAAAATCTTGATTTCAGCACAGTTCAGTGTTTAATAGATGCTCTGAAGTCTGTCCTGTGTTTACAAGGTACGGTAGTCCTTACTTGGGGCCTTTATGAGAGGCAGAGTTATGTAACCATCTGAACTATTTAGTTTTGTTTTTTCAGCAAGATGAGAGATTGTCAGAACCAGTCCATTCTGATGAATGTGAATGTGTGCTCGACTTCGTCAATAGCTGATGCTAAGAGATGGTTGTAGGCCCATCTTCCTAATTTACTTTCCGGCATGAGCACCGGATGAGCACCTGCAAGCTGCACAGTCATGAGCCCAGAGCACACAGACCCTGGGATGTTGGTTACCATGGTTACTCTCTTCCCTGGCATTGATGCGTAGCAGGTGCATGCGTGTGTCAGGATCAGTGTGACATGGGAACTTGTGGATTGAAATAGTGGGCGCCTCCTTAAGACTGGGCTGTCTGTACCATCAGATGCTGTGTAGCAGAATATTGGCTCGATGTGTGGATTCCTGATAGCCAGGGATGACTGGTTCTATTCACACAGCTCAAGTTAAAGGAATTGATTGCTTTTAAACAAAGCAGAAATGGGATGCTTAGAGAAAAAAAACCTAGAGTGAGACGATTGTAGGCACTGGTTTGGTTGTTTATAAGATGAAAAATAGCCTAAAAGTATTACTATTTTATTTCAAAGTGGATTCTGACTGGTTTTTATCCCAAAAGTAACCAGTGGAACCATTTATGTTTTTATCAATAACCAATTATTAAATTTTTTATTATTTACTTTAGGTTATTGAAGCTGTTTTCCAATTCCTTATACATCTTTTCAAACTTACAATATCTGTCCTGATACACCGATCAGATTTTTTGTGGTAGATTTCTAAGAACTGAAACCGATTTTAGCTTTTTCTATTTTTCTTGGAAATCTACAGGAAACAACAAACCACTTTTCCTTCTTTTGGGATAACTTGAAGACGCACAGCTCTGGAGATGAGCAGGATTTCCTGAAATGTTTACATACTCAACATTTTAAAAGTTCCTTTTTATCTACCATCAAACTTCTACATCAGAGTGTCGTCAGTGAGGCTCGGTAGCTCTTGCTTATGTTGCATTCACTGACCGGAAGATGATCTGTTTCGGATAGTCACACACAATCAACGAAGGCTTCAAACGATTCCTTTCATGGGACGATTTCTTAGTTCATCCTTAGAGCACACTTATGATGTCACTGAATTGCTGCTAATGAAAGTTTGCTCCTCTCTTTAGAAGCTGAAGGAAGAGCGGATGCTGTTGGGGTGCAGAGTCCTGAACCCTCCAACCACACGTTTCCAGCAGAATTCAACCCAGGTTTGTACAGGTCCACTTATTATGTCATCTGAAACAAGGAACACCACTAATTTAAAGGTTGTAACATTAAATAAAAGACAGCATTCTTAGCTATGTCAGAATTGTGCAAAATGGACGCTTTATGGTAGGCTATCACCTACCTGTTGCCTTTCATTGTAACCAATAATTTAGTTAGGGGTTGTTGATATTAGGCCATTTTAAAGGACTAAAACTCTGCAGAACTGTGCCCAATTAAGATCCTGAATGTTTTAACAAGGTTACAAATGTATGTCTTTCGATTTTTTGCTTTCTATGCCCATATAATTTATCACAAGTTTCGTAAAACTTTACACTCTTATTATGTCTGTAAATACTGTTGAATAAAACCTTTGTTTGCTCTTTTACAGAAACAAAACCAGCAGCTAGATCCCACCTCACATCTCCAGAAATTTCTGTGTCTTTGTCATCTCCGAGCCAGGAACCCTTTCCTGCCTTGGTGCCCAATGATGAACTCCAGATGCAGGATGTCACATCGCTAATCCGACCGGCAAATACAGAGGCCTGCCCTGAGCAGGGCATGGTCGACCCCAGCACAAAGGATTTCAAGGCCATCATCTCAACCACCAAAGAACCAAGTACTGCATCAGTAACTTCTGTGGAACAACCAATGGAAGTCACACTGCACCAAACCTCCAGTATGGATGTAGTCAGGGCCTCTTTCTTGGAAACTGCTCCTAAACAACCTAACCAGGAGATGAATGAGGGTTTATTTCACATGAACTTGGCGGAGACTGTTAAGCCCTCAACTTCTAGTAAATTAGAAGATATGAACTCTACACTGGACAGCAAGCCCAATGTGTTACTTTCTGGGTTGTCTTTAGGGGAGAAAACCAACAAAACAGCTGTGGAAAGACTGGCTGAAATGGTCTCCTCTCCTTCATGCTCTTCTCCTCTGGCCAGAGGGACGCCCCTCAGAGATCCATCACAGACCCAGATCCTGCCCACACTGACTGACCACAGCAGTATAATCCCAACAGCAAACCTCATACCCTTCACGCCGAAGATTGGCATGGGAAAACCAGCCATCACAAAGAGAAAGTTTTCTCCTGGGAGGCCTCGGGTGAAACAGGTATGACTCCAAATGTCAGGATGTCCAGGCCTCCCTCTGCCTGGTTCTCGGTTACAGTCCAGATAGTTTAGTGCAATAATTGGTGCGCCCAACTTGTATGCCAAGTCTTTGTGTGTTACCAGCATTCAATCCTCTTTGAAACTTGTTGAAGTAGCTTTCAGGCTTGGAATACGATCTTCAGACCAAACTACACCTTGCAGTGCCGTACACAACCAAAGCAGGAAAGTGTCTGTTAGGTTTGTTTTCAACTCAGCGTTATGGTTTGATTTTGAGGAGATTCTGTGGAGATGCAGGTTTTGTGGATTGAAAATATTTTGCTAACATTCCCTACTGGTACCACCTCAATTATCATCATCATCATCACCTGTTTTTCTATTCATCTCATTATCACAACATAAACATGCATCGTTTTCTTATTAGAATGGGGATAAACATTAATTTAGTCACGAATATTAGTAATAATCGCTCTTATGGCATAGATAATATTATAAATATTATCTATGCACTGAAACTTCATATTAAAAAAAATAAAATAAAATATTGGTGTGCTGAGTCTGCCTCAAACCGAATGTGGAGCTTCCCAGAAAATATTTGGAATTGATTTGTGCCTTTGGCTACAATATATAATAAATGAAGCTAGAGTGAGTGAGCTAGTTCAGTTAAATAAATTGATTTTTTTTTCTAGAGGTAGTATATCAGAACTCTTAAATAAGCATTACAGTGCTCAAATTAATTTAGTGCTCCCAGAGTGGGAAAATATTTTCCAAAAAGCATAAATCAGACTCTTTAGCGGAGCATGGCTAATGCACTGATGTTTGTTGTATGATATGCAGCTACTTGTTTGTCAGCATGCCAAACATATGATCGCTATAACAAGATGTAACAAGTTTATTTTCCACCCTTCTCAACTTTATAATGCCGTGCTAATGTAAATGAATACTTCTGTTTAAACTGCCACTAACACGTTTGCTCTCTAACTAGGTGCATGAAAAACAAGGAATAGCTTTAACACATTATGATACTTAACTTGTAGACGCCTCAGCTTTTCAGTTCCTTCCTTAGATGACTGCGTGTTGAGTTTTTCTCCAATGAGTACATGAGAACCTCACCACATTTCTTTAACATCCTTCTCTGTATGTTTTTGGGTTTCTTTGCCGGCTTTGTTTTTAAGTTGCTGCATTTTGTCGCCCTCCTCCCTCCCTCCCTCCTCTCTCTCTCACTCTCTCTCACCCATCCCTCCTTACCTTAGGGTGCATGGAGCCCCCATAGCAGTGTGTGCTCACCCTTTTCCTGGTCACCAGACCAGCCAGAGGGTTGGGACCCAAGGACCAGGCAGTCTTATGGCAGCCCCGGTTGGAGCGTCAGAGTGGTAAATAAATACAGTGGCAGGGCAGAAGTTGCTCTCTCTGACCTTTTTATTGTAATATTCACTCTTTGAGTGTTTCTGGGCTTCACTCGTCTGTACTATATCCAAAAATCAGTATTTAATGACCTAATTACTTTAAAACGGGTTCAGAAACAGTGTTTGCTAAAAAATAAAAATAAAAAAAATGTACGAGGAAGAGAGTAACATATTTTTGATTTTTGGAACTGAACTGAGTGAGCCAAGTTCTTATAAAATCCTCAATGCACAAAATGCTATGAAATCACTTGAATGTGTGAGTTCAAGCTGCCCTTTGTTAACTCTGCACCGTGGTGTTTCTGGTAGCTCTTGTTTAGGAAAGTGTGAAGAGCGATATGCATTTAAGAAATAAACAGGGACTCTTCAGAAGCTGGTAACCAAGGTAACAACTATAGGCTAAAATATTTACTCAGGTTTTTAAGTAAAGAAATACCCCAGTGTCATTGTGCTGATAAAAATAACTAGGTTTTTAAAATGTTCTAGACCATTGTTCTTCAAGCTCTGGTTACCTGCACCTCTTTAGATGTGCCTCCGCTTTAACACAGCCAATCAAGTCATTATTAGGATGCTGGAGAACCTGACTGCACGGTGAGGAGGTCATTTAGCCATTTGATTTAGGTGTGGAAGCAGTGGGATATCTAAAAAGTGCAGCACACTGGACCTCAATCAGCAGAATTGAGGAACCATGTTCTAGATTTTCTATTTAACATCAGTATTACATGATTATATTAGCTTCTGATCAGCTAGCCAGTCTATTGTTGGCAACTCTGAGCTTGCCAAGTATCATTTTGGATTCTTTGAATCACCATTTACAACAGGTAGAATGTTTCTAACAGGCTACTTTTCTCATAAGTTTGGTAAAAGCACAGGAGTCTCCTTTCATCCAGCTGCCATTCAGAGTACAGCAACAGCTGAAGCAGGGCAGTGTTTTTATAACTACGGTGTAATGTTTTAGGGCTGGACGATGATTCAATATCAATATAAATTGCTAAATAATTTTTTTCAGTAGTGGTGATTTGACTTTTCTGATATGGCTTTACTGAAAAAAGAAAAAAGTTAACTGATTTTTAAAATTTTATTTCAGATTAATATCGGGGGGGGGGGGGGGGGGGATCAGAATTCTGACATTAATCTTAGAATTCTGAATTTAATCTCAGAATTTTGGATCTTAATGTAGATGGGCACCATGAAGGAAGAGATGTGGAAGCATTCAGTTTCACTGACAAAGATGTGAGTTGTTCAAGAGGGTCAGTAACACATTGTAGGAAAATGACGGAATTAGGCGACATTTTACCTACCCCAGGGGTCCCCGGTGATGCAATTTCATTAATGGAAGAGCAGAAGGTGATTAAAACAAGAGAGCTAGTTTAGTTTCTGAAACAGACATGGCTACGGTTTTATGCTAACATGTTTGTTAGTCAGCAAGGTGATAGTGTTTTCGTTTCCCGCTTGTCTGTAAGTCTGAGAAAACATGGCCAATATGTCCTTCATATGGTATATGGTCACCTTAAATCAATAACAGTAACAGTGTTCTATATTTTATTTTGTGAACACAATGTTGAGATTTTTTGGTTTAAAGACACAGAGTTTTCTGTGTGAAACAATATTTTGCAAATGATAAAGAGCTGTTCTTGAGATCTGTTCCGGGTCTGTCAGTTGAAATGTACCGGTAGGAGCTAAGGGATGAGCGTTTAATCCGTTTTATCGAAGAATCGAATCTTTTGTTTATGGAGCTTTAATGTTTGACACAACTAGAATGTGTTTTTTTCTCCAATCCACTCCTTGGGCTTCCATAGCTCTGTGACGTCTTTTTATCACTTTCTGCTCTTAGAAGCTTACTCATAACTGATCAATTAGATCATTGTGTGAATTTTCTTCCCCTTAGAATTAAGGTCACCTTCCAGAGGGGATGATTGAAAATAAATACATTTGGCGGATTCGGTAGAAAAGAATTAGAGATCAGATTTTCAAGCCCTACTAGGAACACAAAAATGTCCACCTTTCAGATTTACTATCAGCATTGCTTTTGCTTCTACTCTTTATTGGTATGTAAGAGCTTTTCCATCAGATGACTCAGTAGCTCCAGCAGCTTAGGTTGCCTATTACTGATGGCTCAGTAGTATGGCTACATAGTTACACAGTTTTTCAAACTTTTCTCCTCATTGTCCATCACAACAAACTTCCCACCACTCCCATGTAGAGGTTGGCATCCCTGTCACTAAAATCTATATCAACCTCTATTAAAACAATTGAATTAAGTTTATATGTAAAACGCCTGTCTAAGGAAAACCAGTTGTTGCATCGACTCATTGACTCAAAAGCAATCCCTCACACCAACAGTGGGTAAAACAGTGACTCCATCCTTTTTGCCAGACATTTGACATGTAAAACTTCTATGCATAATGTTTGATATATAATAACTTGCCATGTATCGTATGAAGGCATTGGGTTTGGTTGTGTTTTTACATTTACAGGGATTGTACGCTTCCTGCATATCCTGGAAAAGCATGGAATTTGCTTTCATTCATTTTCAGACCTGCATAAGAAAAGCATAGAAAAAAATGTATTTTCAACCTATCTCAGTTCCTCCTTTCTTTTTCTCCCTTAGTTTCCCTCCATTACATTACTTCACTTACATTTCTTCTCTGCATCCTTCTTCCTCTTTATTTCTTTGTTTTTTCCTGCTTCCATGTATAAAGCCTAAAAAATGTAGAGGCATCTATCATAAAGAACATTAGTGTGATATGTTAAAGAAATGGCCCTAGAGGGCTTAGAACTCTGCAAACTTGAGTTCTACAGCATCGATGTTATTTATTTTTTACATGGGAAAAAAAATGTGTTGGAACTATACATTTGACACATTGCACAGCTCTATTAAATATTTTGCAGCTGAAACACACAGCATTAGACATTAGAATGATGTCTGCATACTTGGAAACATGGAATATCAGTATTAAAAATGGAGTTAACAGAATGACCTGCTATAAAAGAATGTTTTCCTGTCTTTTATTCTATTACAATCACATTTACAGTATGTGTATCACTGTCCATGTCCCCTGGTTACATCTGTAATACTTGCATGAAGAACACAAATATGCACCCGGGGTGCAGTTACTCCTTTGTGATTATGATAATGTCCTTATTGACAGTACATTTTCCCTCCTGTCTTTCTTTCAAAACCTCAACAATATATATTCCTCTTTGGAAGTGGTAGAAATGGGTCTGTGAGGTGAATCAATAAAAATGTTTAGCAACTCCTCAACAGAAGAGAGCTCTTACTTAGGAGTTGTTTATTTAGCTAAACTAACTGGGCATCATGAGCCCATAATTAACAATGTGTTTGTAAGAAAGGAAACTTCTGCAATCAGACCAGGCTTAGGTTTATTTGAGCTTGTATGATGATGAATTGTGATAGCACGGTTTGTCTAAATTGATCATTAAGTTACGTTTTGTTTTTTCCTCTGCAGGGTCGAGGATCAGGCTTTCCTGGTAGGAGGAGGCCAAGAGGTGCAGGCCTGTCAGGCAGAGCTGGGCGGGGCAGAGCCAGAGGGAAGAATGGAGTGAGTCCCAGCATCAACCCTGGGGTATGAGCTTTGCCGGATGGCTCTTTTATTAGCACTTGTCATGTTCAAATCAAAGGTTTAACACTGCACTACATTCTGATGCTCTCGTTTAAAGAAAAAAAAAAAGATAATGTGAGAGACTTTGTGGTCCAACTTTCACGTTAAATCTGTTTGTGTACATTTTTTCCATTTTGTAGCAGATCACTACAATAGAGACGCAGTACCCACTCAAGGAGGAGGAGGAAACTGCGATGCACAACACTGTTGTGATTTTCTCCAGCAATGACAGTTTCACACTGAAACAGGTTTGGACCATGTGTTTGTGCTCATTCTGATTTCAATTTAAAATGACAAACATTGGATTTCAATGCATATATATATATTGTTATTAAATGACTGCTTAGAAATTTGGCCTCCCATTAATTCCCATCAGCATCATCAGCTGCTGATGGGATCATCAGCATTTTTTTTTATTATTTTTTTTATTTATAAAATTGGAGCCTTGTTTTAGACTAACCATTGAAAGTTCCTGACTCAACCAGGCCATTGCTCTGTAAACGGTTTACTCATCTCTGCCTTCCTGTTAGGACATGTGTGTTGTGTGTGGGAGTTTCGGTCTTGGAGCAGAGGGACGTCTTTTGGCCTGTGTACAGTGTGGCCAGTGCTACCATCCCTTCTGTGTCGGCCTAAAGGTACAGCATCGATCGATATCCCATTTTCTAAATGTTTAATCGGTGTTTTACGCTTTACATTTCCTTCCTTCCTTCCTTCCTTCCTTCCTTCCTTCCTTCCTTCCTTCCTTCCTTCCTTCCTTCCTTCCTTCCTTCCTTCCTTCCTTCCTTCCTTCCTTCCTTCCTTCCTTCCTTCCTTCCTTCCTTCCTTCCTTCCTTCCTTCCTTCCTTCCTTCCCTCTCTGTTCTTCTTTCCTTCCTTACTTACTTGTTTCTTTCTTTCGTTCCTTATTTCCTTTAGTGTTTTCTTTGTTTTTTCTTCCTCCACCCTTCTTCATTCTGTGGTAGAAATTTTTTTTGGCAATTCCTGACTGAAAATGATCTTGGCTGAAAGTTTTTAGTACAGGAAGTGAACATGCCTTCACTGTTTCTGCTTTACTCTCCAAAGATCACCAAGGTGGTGCTCAGTAAAGGCTGGCGGTGTCTGGAGTGCACGGTGTGCGAAGCTTGTGGGCAAGCCACAGATCCTGGCCGCTTGTTGCTGTGTGATGACTGCGACATCAGCTATCACACATACTGCCTGGACCCTCCTCTGCAGAATGTTCCCAAGGACAGCTGGAAGTGCAAGTGGTGAGTAACTCTTTGATCATCTCATTCAAATGGGCTTTAAGCAGTAAATCTTTTAAATTACATTTGAACTGGTGTCGTGCCTTTCAGAATAACATTTCAATATCTAGAGCTTCAGTCCTTGTTAAATTAGGATCTTTATTGTAATGCGTTTAATTCAAAACAAATGCCTTGTTTTAGCAGCACAGTTGTTTATATATGCTTTCGTTTTCCCCTTTCTCTTGCAGGTGTGTTTCTTGCACCCACTGCGGTGCAACAACTCCTGGACTGAGGTGTGACTGGCAGAATAATTACACCCAGTGTGCTCCCTGTGCCAGCCTTACAGCATGCCCAGTCTGCCTTGTGGACTACACTGAAGGCACCATCATTGTGCAGTGCCGCCAGTGTGACAGGTCTGTGGTGCTCTCGCACTACTGTCATGGAATAGAAGACTAGTCTTTAAAAATTCTCTGGAATCTATCTGAACTTATTCTCCCCTCCACAGATGGTTTCATGCCTCTTGTCAGAATCTTCATTCAGAAGATGATGTTGAAAAGGCTGCAGAGAGCAGCTTTGACTGCACAATGTGCCGCACATTCAAAACTTCTAAAGGTAGAAGCCCTTTGATTTACTGCAATGTCTATTAAATTACATTTGTGTTTATTTCATAGATTTACTGAATGTTTTCTTTCATTAATGGACTTGCTTTTGTGTATTTGTTGTTGCTGCAGTTTTTACAAAGACCAGAGAGATCACTGAGCCACTGCTTGTTACACAGACTTTTTCCAAAGCTAGGGAGTTCGGTATGTTTAAAGCATTCGCAGGTGATTGATGCTAAACGGAGCATGAATATTTTTCTCTAGTCTCATGCTTATTTTTGCAGCTCTTGACCCATTTAGATTTTTGTCTTTTTAGATCTATCTAGGACCTACACCCAGGATGGCGTTTGTCTGACAGAGTCAGGACTTTGTCAGCTCCAGAGCTTGTCCGCTGCCGCGTCACGAAGACGGAAACCTAAACCAAAGCTAAAGCTGAAGATAATTAACCAGAACAGCGTGGCGGTGCTTCAGGCACCTGTGGATCCTCTGTCAGAACTCTCCCGAGATGAAGATATGGAGGACAACAGAGGTACTTGTCATCTCACAGTAGCATCTTTAAGCTAATCAAGTTAAAGTTCAAAAAGGATTTATTTCTGTGTTGATTTAAAAAAAAAAGGTTAAACTCTGGTTTTATACAGGCTTATCAAATATGGGGAAGTCTGTTTCAATTGTTTATATATTTTTATATAGTGTTTAGATGTTCTCTAATGAAGACCCTACCCTTAGTAGAATAGTGCAATACCTAAAGTGTTGGGTCCATTGTCTTTGTTGTGAACTTTGATTCTCTATGGGTTAAAGGTCACACAAGTTTGTTAGCCAATCAGGAATAGTGACACCCTATTGCCATTTGAACTTTTGGCTGTGCCAGCAATTGGAAAGTGGGAGTGGGAGTGACAGTGGTCACTCCCACTGCATGAAAAGTGAGATTTTCGTCCCCGTAAACCCCCGTAAACTCCCGCAGATCTGGCTGATTTTCGTCAGTTTCCGACAATTTGCAACCCGTGCTTGTCCGCCTTTGTCGTGCCACAAATTGTCGGAAACGGACTCTGACGTATGTGAAGAGCGATCAGCTGTACTAATGGCCCTAATTAGCATATGAATGCAGCAAACCCGCGCGGCTGGCCAGGTCTGGCTTGAATAACCTACTCAGTATTGGCTGAAACCACTATTCTCAAACAAATGAAATCGCTCGTGATTGGCAGCAAAACCACACGTGGCCACGCCAGGCTTTAATTTTCTTACTGAGTATTGGACGGAACCACTTCTTTTTAAACAAGTAAAGTCGCTCGTGATTGGTTGGGATATATATATATTTACATATAAATTTACATATATATATTTATTCATATATATATATATATATATTTATTTATTCATTCATATATTTATTCATTCATATGGTGTGTATTTATGTTATCCTACACTACTACACAATTATTATGCTACCATCAAGGACATGAATGAATTTATACAGGAAATGAACATTTGCCAGGAAGCTGTTTATGCAAAGAAAGAGCTTAATTAAAACACACACAACTATATACAACGCGTATCCAAACACATGCGTTTCTAAAAATTAAAAGTCCGTGAACGGTCCGTTTGCTTCCTCGGGGTTGGAGGTAACTGGCAGCATTCCCTCCGAGGCAGGTCCGATGTGCAGACGCCTACTGTGCGCAGCCCTGTACTTCGGCATCGCTTCTAACCGGGACTGCAGCTTAACACAGAGTTCAGTGAGATCCGGCCTACGAAATGGCGGCGACCGTACAATCCATCCAGAGACACCGCCGACGACGGCGGACTTCCAGAGTTCCACTTCCTCATCTGCTAGCACACTGCCTCGCTTTCAGCAGCTGAAAAAAAAAACAATGAATCAGCGCACTGCGTATGGACACAACACATCTATCAATGCACCTGAAAAATAGTCACCAAATAAAGTCTTACCCTCTTTCTTCTGGCCCGACTCCGAGCAGATTGCCTCCGCACGCAGCGTGTTGGCTGGCTGCGTATATCTGAAGCTCCTGCGTACCGTCTGAAAATACGTCTTACAGAGTGATATGAATAAAAAATCAAACGCAAGTCACAGTAACAAGGAAGGAGAAAACATTAAAACAAGTCACTTACACACAATGTCGTCTTTATCAACATCGTGCAAATCTGGACTTGCTTATATGGCTCCGAGCAAATAGGAGGTCACCGCCTCATTGTGAGGCGACAGTAGTCTGTGAAAACAAAATGTACAGCTATGATCGGTATCTATCCGTATCCATTGCCTTTTACCGCAGAATGAAAGCATATTCTTTAAATCTTACCCTTGCTCCGGTTCATAGCGCCTGCAATTAGTCTCCGAGTTGTGAAGACGGCGTACTGCTACCTGTGAATCAAAAAAAATACACTTTAATAAAGCTTGTTCTTGCAAGGCTACTATTAGCAGTAGCTTTAGGCTAGGCTGCTATTAGCCGTAGCTTAGGCTAGGCTGCTTTTAGCCTAGCAGGCAGTAATCGAACATATATTTACCGCTAGCATCTCTTCTTTGAGTTCGTCTTGTTCGATGCAGAGTCGCCATCGCGTCCAAGAGGAGTTTTACCCCGAAATTCAGACGCTCCAGACCGCCTGCACAAAGCAAAGCATACATCCTCCACTGTGGCTGCACACCGTGCCGCTCTGAGTTTCTTGGAGATCGTAGGGAGCATGCGCGAGATGAACCAGGGTTTCCGCGGATCAATAAAAATAATTTAAAAATCATTCATTTTTTTTAAATTAAGGCCTTAATTGGCACTAAAATTATTTAAATATGTTTATCGAAGTATTTATAATTCTTTAATAAAAAATGCTTATAAAAACAATTTCGTCAGATATATTATATTGCTCCAGGCGGAGAAAAAGCTAGAGGATATATATATACGTATATATGTGTGTGTGTGTGTTTACATACATACAGGAGTCATGGATCTGTGCTTGCAGCTCCTTCATATTTCATGTACACTAATAACTTGTGTACATGGTTCTTGTTGATGGCATTAAAATCATTTCAAATAGCATTAAATTAGAGTCACTCATTCCTGTATGAACCCTGTGAGCGCTTAATTTAATATGACATATTAAAAAAATCCCACCATCATCCAGCATATGTTCAGTTTCTGCCCAAATATATATTTATATTTTTGTAGATTTTTTTAACGGGGATAAGGATAATTCAAAACTGCTTTTTTTGAATGAACTTGTTCTCTTCTCCCAAACATCTCTTTTCATTCCTGTAATAAGAAGTTTCTTTTGAATGGATTTGATTAAAGTTTAAGTCCCTCGTTATAAAATAAATATTTTGATGGAGATGAGAAATCTGCTTCCTCGTTGGCGAATAACCAATAGTTTGGATCCAATCATTTAAATAAACGGTGTTAGTTTTTTTTTTTTTTATATATATAAGAATTGCGCTATAATTTCTAGTCACCGATCTGTTGCTGCTATATTTTAATTTGACGAACCGGAATTTGTCGATGTTCTTTTTCCTGTTTGGTGCGATTGCAATTGCGGATCTTGACCTGGCCGGACCTTATGACCACAGTGTACCAATCTTCTGATGGCTACTTCCAACAGGATAATGCGCCATGTTATAAAGTGAATCATCTCAGACTCATTTCTTGAAACTTTTCCACTTAAGTTATTGTGAATTGAGCATATTGACAGACAACATTTTATTTTTTATCTTAAATGCAATTTTTTTTTTTTTTTTATAATTACTGCCCTAAATGTATTGCTCTTTCAGCTAAAGATCTGTTTTGGTCTCTATACTTTAATTAAATAAATCAATTCAAGCTAAAATGTAAGAGGCTATACTGAGCCTGATCTCTTTGTATCAGAGATTTTCTTACCTTTTAGAAAAATGTCACTTGGAGTAAAACCCCCCCTGCAACCCTGATTTGCATTTGTATAGCTCACAGCATGTTCATTTACATGTTAAAGGCTCCCCTAGAATTCCATGGGGGGGAGGCATGGGGGGAACACTGCCTTAGAAAGTCCACGTCAATTTCTGACAATTTACGGGAGTTTTCGGCGAAGCCTGCAAATTGTCGTAAACTGCCGCTAACCTGAAGTTCCACGACAATCTACAGTGCCGCATATTGACGAAAATCCCACTTTTCATGCAGTGTCCTATGCTTCTTGCTACGCAGAAAATGCAAGAACAATAACAATGGTGGACGATGCGGAGAGTAGTATTTATGTTTAACCATCTTGGAAAGATTGAGTTTTTAAGGTTGGGAATGATTGCTAGATGTTCTCCAGCACTAAAATCCATGTTTACTTCGTAAACACAGAGCACGCTTGTGTCCTCTACTGCGCATGCAGGACAAATAGGTTGTATGAATGCAGTTCATACAGGAGATCACATACAAGTCGCATATATTTGGAAATATGAACACCAACGCAAAAAAATCGGATTTCATAAAAAAATCGGAATTGAGCATCGAGGCCTGCTGGGTGAACCTAGCCAATGACTGTCTGTCTGTTCCATGAGTGTTAGGGCTATAGGCTTGCATTGTTCCATAAAAGTCCTCTTTTTTTGTGTACCGTTATGCTCAAATTTTTTTTGCAGGGCATTTTATTAACTGTAAGCCATTTTATTAAAAAAACAAAGACAACTGATCTAGCAGTGTGTGTAATGTGTTTATTATTTAAATGTTTCTTTTTTGTTTTTTCTACTGAATTGATGAAAAAAAATCACTTTCATGTTACAAGTCATTCAAAGATCTCTATTTCCTGCGTTTCTCCTCTAGATTATGTAAATTATTAGTTTAGGTAAAGGTCGTGTTTGATTAAACTGTCACAGATGTTGAACTGTTGAGGTATTAATAGTTGAAACACCAAAAGAAGTTAACTTTTTTTTTCTTTACATATAACTTTGTGTTTCCTTTATTGATAGAAGGATCTTTACCATTGGGATATATGCGTTTTTGTTCAATTAGGTCAATTTCTTGCTGAGGAGGGGGGTTTAGATGAAACTGGCCCTGTTATTGTTTTGAGGGGCCTAAGTGGGGTGTTCTCAGCTGCTAGGCTGTCACTAATCATCTCTTCTCTTTACCTCTCACAGAGGCGGAGCTACTGGATTGTGAGGCAAAGTCTGACTCGAGCCTAGATCGAGAGCCAGTGGAGGATGACTCTAAAGGGGCCAACGGCGTCAAGAAGAGGAAGAGGAAGCCTTACCGACCGGGTAGGGCACCTGATCCAAGGAGACAGCTCTCCTGAAGCATAAAATGGTGTAGAACATGCCCAGCATTGATGCTGCAGAGATGTGCTGCCATCTCACGGCCTCAGAAGCACAGAGGGCTCTGTCTGCCGTTTTAGGCCTTCATTCATTGGCTAGTAAACAAATTACAACCAAACAAAATGCTTTTAAAATGGTCATCCCCTGTTTTTTAAAGACAAATTATACCTAAATGCTTGTTTGGACAAAAAATTGTGCTTGTTTTCAGGCATCGGTGGCTTCATGGTTCGTCAAAGAAGCCGACCAGGCCAAGGTCAAAGCAAAGCAAAACGATCCCTGTGCAGAAAAGACTCATCTGGCTCTGTGTCAGAGAATCCCATCAGTAAAGATGAAGGTCAATGCTCTAAAATGGTGCATCATTTATTTTGCTTTGTTGAAATCAGTGATGACTTAAATAATTATTTGTTTTCAGGTTGGACAGAAGCCCAGCCAGATACTCCTGTAGATGAGACACCCCCTGGGCAAGAGGTCCCAGAAAAGATAAAGAAACGCTACAGGAAGAAGAAGACCAAACTAGAGGAAGCTTTTCCAGCCTATCTACAGGTTAGTTGTCTAAACTATCTAATGCTTGATTCCGTTTCTTTCCTAGACAGAGTCCCCCATTGAGCCAGTTTACTATCAGCTTTTCAAACATAGAAAGCATTTATAGATCAGTCAGCCTCAGCAGATGGCCGCTCACACTGAGCCTGGTTCTGCTGGACATTTCTTCCTGTTAAAAGAGAGTTTTCATCTCCACTGTCGCTGCATGCATGCTCTATGTATGGGTTTGCTGCCGGGCCAACAACAAAATACAAGCGAATGTCATTGCTTCAAGATCATTCAGTTAGAGCTTGTCCTGCAAAGTCAGGGACTTGATGAAGTAGGCTGGGTTTCCTTAGATAGAAACCTTTAATCTGTTTCTATGATTTCTTTGAATTGTCCTTGTAATCTGCCTTAAAATGACATCTCTGGTGAATTGAAACTAAAATTAACTGAATGGAATTTGAAAATGAAAAAAATCCTTTTTTCTACCATTTGTGTTGTTGTGTCTCTGGCTGTATGAGGCATACTGTAGTGCAGTCCTCCCTGCGTGTTGAGCTGGTTTGAACGTTCACAAAAATGCTCTTTTAGTGCTTAATGATGTTTACAACTCAGAAAGCCACAGAGACAAATTTCTGGGAGCCTAAAGATATGCCGACCATCTCCATGTTAAATCTGCAGCCTGGATATCATGTCTGTTAAACAGCAGACTGAAGAAAGCCTGACTCATGTAGAAGCTGATATCAGTTAAACAACTACTCTGGGTAAAACTGACAAAAATCAGATTTAATTTAAACTATTACATGTTTTTCTTCAATTGTTTGATAAAAATGTTGGTAGTAATTTTACACTGCAAAAATGAACTAGATATAAGTAGAAATTAATTAAAGTGTATTTACCCTAAATTTGAGCAGGTAAATAAGGTGATTTGCCAATTAAATGAGTATTTTTACTCTTAAAATAAGATAATTATTAAGATTATTATTAACATTTAGGGCTGCAACTAACGATTATTTTAAAAATCAATGAATCGGCCGATTATTTTTTCGATTAATCGATGAATCGGACAAAAAATATTTTTTTATATTAACCTCGTTATTCCAAAATAAACATTATAGACAGAACAAACAAGCACACAAGTACAGGTTGCTCATTAACTGTACTGGTGCAATATGAAAAATAAATGTTTGTGTTAAAACTACGCAAACTTACATGAGAAGTGTAGCTGTACATCCACAAAATATAGGGTACTTTGTTTCATAAAGCGCAAAAAAAGACATGCATTTTTGTTTTTAAAAGCCCCTAAGGGGTTCAAACAATAGGCCCCCCCATTTCAACAAATGAGGTTTTTTTTTGACTAGAAGAGTTCTGCCTTTTAAGACGGGAAAGTATAGCAGTTAAAGTTGCTACTTGAGAAAATACTGAACCAAAGAGATAAAAATAGCCCTGTGATTCAAATTATAAATTGTATTTGGAATAAAAATGAGAGAACTAGGGGTGCTAAAAAAACACATCCTCCAAAGACAGATATTTACATGGGAATGTGGCATATAATTAATTGACATATTACTGATCTTGCTGGATTTTGTTCTGCTTTACTTCTATAAATTGCAGGATCTTCTTTACTTTATCTTTGCCAGAAGATTTAAACTTTAAAAGCCTTGCCCTCATAATTTGCAAGTTAATTTATTTATAAAGAAAATATAAACGCTGCTTAAGCTAATTCAAATGAAATTAAAAGTATAATAAGTAGCCAACTTTATCACTGTCTGTAACCTACTAACAAGGTAAGGAAAGCATCAGATGAGCTACCTGAGAAACTAACGTTACGTTTCCCCACTTTAAAACCAAACAAACATGGTCGTTCACCCTGCTGATCAGCTCTCTTCACTGCCATTGAAGGCTCCAACGTGTTTTCTTTTCAGGTGCTGCATCATAACAGTGGTGCTTCCGTGTTATGTTAATTTGTTTTTACAAAAGTTGCATGTTACGACTTTTTTCGCTTTACAAAGCGCAGGCTGTTTTAATTATTGTGATCAATTTGCGTCGTCAATCCCGGCGCATGCGCGCTTCATTTGCAGTCTGGACGCTGAGGGTAACATCCTGCTGCTCTGACTGCAGCGCTGAGAGGGACTCCTGCAGGAGCGTGAGAACTGTGTTGGGATGGGGGAGGCACCCCACGGCAGCAGCTGCCGACGGCGGCGGATGACGCATTAATCGCGCGACACAACTAATCGATGACGAAATTCGTTGACAACGCTTTTAAAAGTCGATTTTTATCGATTCGTTGTTGCAGCCCTATTAACATTATTATTTTGGGTTTTGACTGACAGTTGGCTGAAAGTTGAAATAAACGGCAATTTCACCATTGTACTTTATACAACTTCTACTCATTAGGCCTTTCGTTAAAATTCTGTCAGTATACATTATACATTATACATTTTTCGAAATAAAAAAAATATAATCGAAATAAAGTTGCTTAAGGTATTAAAAGAAAAAATACCTCAAAGAATGTTTATTTTTTAGAAATCCAAAACTTTTATTCATAAAGTAGTCACATCACGCTACAACAATCAATAAATAATTTATTAAAAACAGTGTATTTTTTTGTTTTGGCATTTAGATCCTGGACAATGACTACTGCAGCAGTTCATGGTACACTTAAATGTCCAGAGTGCTGTTAAAACTATAGGAAACATTTTAGACTACAAATGTCTGATATGAAAAATGTGTAGGAACCCTGGTTTTCATATCTGCATTACAAATATAATCATAGCTTATAAATATTATTATAGCCGTAAAAATAAATATTATTTTTGTAACTTTCTTTTCATAAATACGGTGTAACTGTAACTGAAAAGTTTTATTCTGTGAAAACCTTTGGCTGCTGCACCTCCATCTTATAAAAGTTCTTGTTGATGAATTAGATAAATAGTCTTTTTTTCTCTTAGTGGGTCTTAACTTTGGTCTCTTGTTCAAATTCACAATTTTAAGCAAAAAGTGTTGCATAGAAAGTTGTCTCTGCACCCTTGGGAAGGTATAGAAGCCACAGCATGTTGCATTAAAACCACTTGCCCAATTTGCGGCCCCTTTGTGAGCTTTTTGGAAACGAAGGAACATCCTGAAGAACCTCTCAGGAGAGGATACTTGTCTACTATCATAACTTTATAAATGTGACCCATCTTTCTTGTGAATTGACGCACAAAGGCTTAACTAGAGCTGGCTGCTTGTCCCCAGCCTGTATCTTAGTGTCAGTTTGTGTTGCCTTAAACATAGATAGGTGGTGTGCATTAAGCCAGCGGTGGCTGTCGCCGCAGCTCTTTATCCACCACATTAAGGAGAAAACCTAAAGGTCTTACACAGTGAAGCAGATTTCATTAATTATTGAGCTAACAGGTTTGGCTTTAATGTCTCAGTGCTGCAGCCATCGGTGCAGCTCCATGTTGTAGAGAATAGTTGGGGGGCCTTTGGGATGTTGCTGATTAGTGGGGCTCAGTCCTGGGGGTCAGAACCATGTGACTGATGGTTCGGAGCAGGGCTCTCCAGAGTGTGGCACCGGGCAGATATGTTCCTCTGAATGATTTCATGCAGACCCAGACCAGAATAAAGCAAACAAACAAAACAAAACAATACATGTTTGCCCTGCAGCTAGTTCCTGCAGATTTATACTAATGTTTTAAGAGTGAATTTCTTCCTGATATGTGGCCACAAACTCAAATCCTTAAATGATAGGAATAATGTAAAACACCAAGGATTCATTAGAGCCAAGTTTAATCCAGCTATCACTGTAAGCAGCAGGACTAAGCTAAAACAGTTTTAGTTAGTTATATTAGTTCTATACATGGGAAAGAAAGTGGCGCTGACCTTTTTGAATTGATATTTATACTTTCAAGATTTCAGAATTGTTTATTAAATGTGATTACAGCTAATATTCTCCTAAGTATTTTCCTTTAACCTGATCATTTGCATCCTAACTGCTGATCATTGCTGACCTGCTGTTGACTGCTGCTGCTTTGTTGTCTTTCTCAGGAGGCTTTCTTTGGGAAGGACCTACTGGATAAAAGCAAGCAGAGCAGACAGCAGGGGGGAGAATCAGGCCTACTGGAAGAGGGGCAAGGCTATGTAGAGAGGAAGCAGCCCACTACAGGCTTCTTGGACACGACATCAGACCCGCTGCTAAGTGCATCGACAGCCTCCATCCCTTCCAGGCCAGCAGCACCACGTATGTATTAACAATACATTTGCTCCCACGGATAAGCAATGTAATAATTCATGCAGCTAAGGAAATGTCGTTGGCTAAATATTTAATATTACAAGAAAGAAATGAATTACATCGCTTCTGAAAATAAACCAGGACAGTTGGGGGTAAATTAATTTAACAGAAATGAATGTTTCCGCCAACTAATTTCTTGCCCGTTCCAACCAACATGCGGGGTATTGCAAAAACTACCCTACATTTTTGCATCACCACTATAAAACTTTGTGTTTCACTGGGATTTCATGTAATTGAGCACATAGACCAATGCATAATTTGAACTGAAAGTGTGTGTGGAAACACCATTCACTGTCACTTTAGTCGGTTTTTGATATATCTACACCAGCCTCGCAAATTTGCGCAGGGAAGTCTTTGCTTTTTTTACCTTTTCTTTGCAAGACAGCGCTAAGGCTACTAGATTAACATGTTAATCTAGTAGCCTTAAATAAACCAGGCTATCATCACCCATAGCTAGTGTCTGGATGTATCTTCCTGCTGAAGTCTGCAGCTCTGACCCAGAGGCTGAAGCCTGACTGGATCTAATAAGTTTAGGATATTATTTTGTAACCCAGCTATAAGCTGGACCTTATTTATCAAATAGGTTCCTCCTGAAGACAATATTTTTTTATTCATTTGCCATGTTAGATTATAGGTGGCTAAATGCAAATGATAACATCAAAACACAGGGGTTTAGTTGTTTAAAAAAAAAAGTAAAAAAAAAAAAGGTCTCCTTGACCTATTTTTACTTTTTTGGTTTTTTTTTCTACAACATACAATCCAAATGCAATACATTTGAGTTTTTGCTTTCCATTGTGGGAATATGTGAAGGATTTGACTACTACTGTTATATTACAGGTTTATATGCAGGAACTCTTTTTATACATTTTGTGCATGTATGATATAAAAGAAGCAAGAACACTAGAGGTTGTTTATTAATCAGAATGCATTGCTTACAACTTTTAAGGCCTCTTCAATCAACATTTTTTTGTTATTGTTGCAAACATTTGCAAGTTGCTATCTCATCTCACAACTTAGGTTTATATACACATAAAAATTGAAGTTATATACGTATTTAACAGAATGGATAAAACCAGGGGGGAAAAAACTGTTGATCTGCCTTTAAAAACTTTAAAACTTGACATTTTACTAAGCTTTTAAACACCCTTAGTTTTGTGCTTCCTTTGCCAGCACTTTGTTTTCTTTAGGTTCAATTACTAGTTTTGTCAAAAATGCAGTTTACGGTTTTTTATTAGTATTATTATTAATTTTTTTATAAGAATGTAGCAGGACTAGATAATATAGCTAAAACATCTAGCACACTATATTTTTTCATTTTAGTCAAAACAATATAATTCTGATGTTTATACAAAACAATATTTGCCAATGTCTGTAACATTTTGGAAAATTTGTTTTAAAAAACAAAGGCAAACAAAAGTAAGCCTTGATAATTTAAAAGCTTAAATACACATTTAGCCAGGTAATTATCCATCCCTCTTCATATTTGCATCCATGAGTCCTTTTACAGTTTCTATCACTAACGTCTTTTTTTTTTTTTTTTTTCTTTTTAAATTTTTTTTTTTTCCTATGTTCAAACTGAGAAGACAAACACTCCTAAAGCTTAAATATTTACTCTCTAAAATGAACAACCCCCTACAATAAATTAGCAAAACAGCTTATAACTAGCTCTAAAAATATATAACAACAGTATGAAACATCATAAACCCTTGTTGTTGATGGCGCTTTACAAGGAGGCTCATTAAAAGTTGTCATCAATGGTAACCTTTCCTGTGCAAACCAAACCTTGATTACAGCCAGGATTGGTTTAGGAAAAACAAAAATCCAACAATGCACACATCTCATAATATCAGATGACGGCCCCCTGTTGGTGGCACCAAGCTTGCACTCTGCACCTTTATGTCTTCTTCTTTTCAAGGCTGCTCACCACAATTAGCCCTTTTTCTTTTTTTACTCTTATGCTTATGAGCTACATGCTTTCTACACTACTGCCATCATAACAGTCTACACACACCAGTTTTTCCCTTCATCCATCCAGCTCTGAAATAGGGCACATTTCTGTCAGCGTCTTGTCATGGCCCCTCATTTTGTAGCTAAAGCTTACCCTGTTGGAGCATAGCCTAGCGCTGAGCACAGCTTTCTCCCGGTGGCCACAGGCTGTGTGTCTGCTGTGTACCTCATCACTCATGTTGCCAATGTGTTACAGCTCTTACTGTTTGGTTTGTATCAGCTACGCCCTAAACGTCAGTCAGTGACAAATTCACTCTTTTTAAAATTTTTCTTTCAGTTTTCTTTTCTTTTTTTTTATGGTACTAGTGGCCTTTATTTGAAAGTCAGCTGACGAGAAATGGGGTTTAGAGATGTGAAAGACATGTGGCGTAGGTCCATGGGCAGATCTTCACATCATGCCTACGCCAAGGCCATAGACCAGGGTGATTATTAAAAAATGTGTTAAAAATCCTGTGAACATTTGTGGAAAAAAGTGTTCTGGGGTATATATTGATATTAATTTATAGTCCAGACTTGACAAAATTGCAGAAACAAGCGCCACACAAAGCAGTTGCTCATCAGGCCTTTTTTAAATGGCTACTTTTTGGACACAATAAAAACCAATTCTAGTGATTGTGTCTACTTTTGTTGCTAAGTCAGATTTTTATCCAAAAGTGCATGTCTTTATCGGATTCCAGCACCTTTATTTATATATTTTTGTTGTTTTTCCGAATTTATTTCTTCATGTGTCAAATCACAGCCCAGCATCTTCTGGCCTTTTGAGTATATCCAGGCTGATTTTCAAAGATTCTGACTTTATTTTCATCAATTTAACTTAACAGATTGTCAACACCACTATGGGAGAGTTCAGTTATCCGTCTTCATTTTGTGTTTCATTTTATATCGCATTACTGTCCATGTCAGCCAAATATATTCATCTAGTTTCATTCAGGGTTTAATCAACAATTTCTGCATGTGAAATTCAAAAAGCGACTCAAAATCCGCCATGTCAGTTCATCATCATTTATTATTTATGACGCTTTTGTTTTCCTTTTTTTCTTTTATTTCTATTCCTTCATCTACAGAGACGACAGAGGAACCGTTAGTTGATCTAGCTGATGTTCTGAACAGTGGTGCAGACATCTTGGGAGTGCTGGGAAAGCCAAGCAGTGACTCTGGTGCGTCAAAAATCTCACAGGCAGCAACAGTGAACTGACTCAAATCCTCTACTATCCCTGATACAGAAATATACCCAGAGAACATGTTTATTTTATTTTTTGTTTTCTCCACCTTAGTGATTTTCTTTAATGCCTCATTTTTTAAAAGAAAAAAAGCATTTTTTTTTTTAAATGTTCACTTTTGTTATTTTTTTCTCTCTTTTGTTTCGCTTGTTCTGTCTTCACCATTTTATTTCACTTGGTTTGGGTTCTTGTAGGTCTTGATTTTTGCCCCTTCAAGGTTGACAGCTCACCTCCTCCTTTTGGTAAGGGTGCTTTGGCCTTCAGTTCCTGCTTTAGTTTATTCTTCCTGCAGTGTGTGTGTCTGCATGCTTAAGCACTACAGCTACCTCATAACTAGTTTTTTCTCTCTCAGTCATTTCAGATTGCAATAACACCCATGAACTCCTTAGTACCTGCCTAACACCTTCAGTATTTACCCAAATTATTTTGGTGTGCCACTCTTTGTGATCGTGAGCCTTTGAATATCCTCTCATGAACTCATATCTGCCTGGAAGAAGATTTCTTGAAACTGACAGGAGCATTTTGGCCTTCAGAAAAGAGCATTATAGGAATTGCAGGGCCTTGGAAAGTGTCCTTTCAGTGTCTCAATGCAGCAAAAGGCTTTTCATGCCTTTCACTTCATGACATTAAGCTCTGTGGTCATTCTTCTGTAATTTTTTTTTGGGGGGGAGGGACATCATTGTCTGGAAATTCTAACCAGCTCTAATCTTAAATGCTCCTTAGAGCAAACATGTATATTGCTAAACCAGTTCTGTTAAATATTTTTCTGCAATTTTGATTTTAAAGCTATTTTTCATCTCTTAAAATTTATAAATATTATTACGAAATCTGAGCTCGAGTTTTTAAAAGAGTTTTAAATTATTTCCAATGGCTGTTTAGACTAATAAGTCCTCACATATTCACTCATTTAAGAGCTACATTTAAGGACTTATTTAGTTTTGCTTTGTGGTAAGACTTTCTTTGCACGTCTGTGTTTCCACAGCTGGACTGGACATCGGGTCGCTTGCAGATGGCTCCCCAGTAGCGCCTTCGTCACAGACTGGCCGAAGGACACCTCGAACAATACCAGAGGAACCCCTGGACGGCATTCTTAGCCCAGAGCTAGACAAGATGGTCACTGATGGTCAGTGTCAAAAGACAGGACTGATCATCAGACAGAAACCTTCCACATCCAACTAATAATCAGTTTGGCTCTTGAATTAAGGATTTTTCTCAAACCAAGAAATCTTGAAGATTCAAGTTAATATGGGCAGATTTTTTTTACTTTATTGCTGGACAAGCTCCTCCTTATTTAAAGAGCTGTAAAGCTTCATGATAGATTATTCCTTTCTTTTGTCCTTTTCTTAAATCCAAACATAAAAAAATGAAACATTGAGGAACCTTGGTAGAAAACTAGTCTAAAAACTAGATTAATTCAATCCACATGATTTCCCTATAAAATAGCAGAGAACTGAAGCAATCAGAAGTTATTTTTGAATTTCCAATCTCTATTTTTCATAAAGCATAAAGTTTTGACATTCTGACAAACGTTTTGGTTTTACTGAAGAAAAATCATTGAATATATTTTAACGAAGATATACAATGAATTATTCACTTATAATTTCTTTTAGTAGATAATTTCTGGGCATATTGGTTTATATATTGGGCATTTTCATTGTTAATTTCACTTTCAGGACTCATTGACTAAAATATAGAACCAAAATGTCTAGATAACACTGACAGTATTAGTTTAGGGAACGACGTACCTTTGAGGCCGATGTGAATGGGTCAGTTTATGAGCAAATAAGTAGCTTTGAATGAGTCCATCTTTTTGAGGTATCAGTTATTTTGACCCTAGTAACCGTGTCCCCTGGTTGTTCTGAAAGCACAAACAGGAAGCACAAGCTACACTACATTCAGTAATCAAGGAAAGAAATTAGTTTTTTGTTGCAGACCAGCCAGAAAGTGTTCGGGGCAAGTTGACCTGGAAACGGGCCAATGCTGGTCACTCACCAGTCATAATGGTTTCTATCTCACCCATAAAGTGATACCACCAACACTGGTTTGAGAAAATGAGCAGGGCCATAAAAGGAGCCTGTAAATGTAATATATGAACTACAGTCATCCTGAGTTCCTGTAGTGTGGAAAATAAAAGTAGTGGACTGCCTCTAGTGGTTTGAACTATGAAAGGATTTTAAAAGCAAAAAATACAGAATAAATTGCTGCAGCGCACTGATTTTTATAAACCTTACTAAAGTTTCTTTCTTATTTTATTTTTAATCCTAAATATTTTCCTTTTTGTTTTTAATTGAAAGTTGCCTTTTTGAAAGTACAGCTCCCTATGTTTTCAGTATAAATTGATTAATACCATTTTTTGGTTTTGTGTCTTTCAGAATCAATTCTCAGCAAATTTTACAAAATTCCTGGTTAGTATATTTTTTGTTCAGTTTTGCTTGTTTTATTAGAGCCTAGAAATTAATAGTGAACCATTGTTAGAGCAACACTGTGTAACGTTTGACTAGAGAGGCACTTTTTCTGACCGCTCTGATACTTCGGCTGAGCGTATCAACTGGTATCTGACACCGATCCAAATGAATGAACCATATATCTTCCCATGTGAGTGAAAGTTTTAGAATTTACATACACATTGCTAAAAAAGGTAACAAATTAAAGCAGATATAAATGTGCTTCGTATAATTTATTAACAAATAAGCAGCAAAAAGAAGAGAATAATAGTTCAATGTGAAGTGCACTGGATAACAAATCATCAATATCCGATCCAGCTAATTATCGGTAGTCAATATGGGAGTCGAGATGCGATCCAACTATCAGATTGGTGCATCTCTAATTTTGACGTTTGGAAGAGATTAAATGATTTTTCAGGTCCATATGACGTAGAGGGTTGGATCAGTGAATAACTAATGTGATCCAGAGTGGCACTTTAAGGTAGTCTGACTCCACTTAAACGCAAGAGCTAAAAACATAAAACACTTACCTGTAATACATATTTTTGGTTCTCTGATGTAGGATTCAGTTAAGGGTGGTGAATGTGGCCTTCTCTTTACAAGGAAATCATTGACGTCTCAGTTTGCTGGTTCAATTGGCCTCCTATCAGATTCTAAGCCAGAGGCAGACTGATTCATTTTGTGACAGTGCAGTGCAACCAGTTGCTTTCAGGGGAGCTAAACCTGGAAGTTACAGGTCTAGCTCCCCTTGTGGCTAAAACTTACACAGTGTTGCTTTATTTTAATTTAAGGTAATGAGCTTGAATAATAGACAGTAAATGTTTCTTAATTATATATCAGATATATTACTTTTGTACTTTGCAATGTGTTTGGGACATACAGAGCTGGAGGGTAAGGATGTGGAAGATCTCTTCACTGCAGTCCTTAGCCCAAGCACAAGCCAACCACCTCCACCACAGGTGCCTCATCCCCAGGTCCCAGGGCCCCTTCCTGCCACACCTGGTACGGGTATGCCTCATCCTAATGCAGGTACATTAGACAGTCACTTTGTACTACCGGCAAATGTTTCAGAAGCTTTCGTAAATCTATGATTCATCTGTGTATCTTGTGCATGATGTAGGAAACCCGATGTTTCCAAGGATGCCAATGATCAACGGTATGAGGGGACCAAACCCACGATTCCCTGCTACAGGACCTTGTATCCCAGAAAATTTCCCCCCACTGAACCGTATGCCTTTCAATGACAATCCAAGGTAGTCAGCTGTTTACCCCCAATAAAACTCTGAAGATCTTATTTTGTTCTCCCTGAAAAAACAATTGCATTTTCTGAGCTGTTCTTTCTTTTGTAACAGGGATCAAAAATTTAATCAGATGGCCAGAGAGGCGGTGGGTCCATGGCAACCTTCTACCCACGGCCAAGGCCCTGCACCTCCTGGATCTCTACCTGATGGGGAAACTGAAGCCATGTCTAACGCCCAAAGGAGCACACTCAAGTGGGAGAAGGAGGAGACGCTTGGGGAGCTCGCCACTGTCGCACCTGTCCTCTATACAAATATCAATTTCCCCACCCTTAAAGAAGAATACCCGGGTTAGTAGTTGGCTTTAGGACTGAAATAGTTAATCGGATTAATTGTGATTAATCGATAATTGAAATAATCTTCAACTGATATAGTAATCGATTAATGGTTAAATTGAGTAAAGAGACTGTAAAACATGCCTTTAGCTGACAGAGCAACCCACTCAGAGCAGTACTTATCTTAAAATTGTAAATAAATATATAAACACTTTGCAGTTAAGATTAAAAAAAAAACCTCCTCAATCGGAAAATTTTAGATTCCCCTGGTTCAATTTCATTAAAAATTATCTTTAAGGACCCTTTTGCCGTCCAATTATTTATCGATTCATCGAAAAAGTGATCAAAAGATTGATCGATTTGCAAAACAATCACTAGTTGCAGCCCTAGTTTGCTTTAAATGCTTACTTTTAATAATGAACCCTATTGTTTTTTCATCCAAATTCATTATTTTTTCTTATAATTTTTATTTACGTCTCAGCTTTCTTTTCATTGAGCTGTCATTGAAATTCCACAATGTAAACATGCCCAGGAGATGATGATATTTTCTGTTCTTCCAACAGATTGGTCTACAAGAGTTAAGCAAATTGCTAAACTTTGGAGGAAAGCTAGCTCACAGGACAGGGCCCCATATGTGGTAAGATCCCTCAGACACTCGTATCCAGCTTCCTGCTTTTTGAAAGTTTACTGTATAACACAGGCTAACGCCTGAAAGGATACTACAGTGCTAGATATTTCTAGTTGTGATGTTCATACATACATTTTTCCATCATACTAGAATCTTTGTTGAACAGCTATTAAGCATCTGGTTCTGCTGAGACTTTAAACCTCATAAACCTTTTAGATGCTTACCTTAGGAAATAAACCCCAAAGTTTCAGCATTTATACATTTTTATAATATGTTTTAATTAATTTTATCTGATTGTTCTACTTTAACCTGCTATTATAGTTATTTGCTATATTCACCATTTATTTCAGACTAACTATAACCTTGATAACGGTGGGTTTGGTGTACATTTTTATAATCGTCTAAGGACGTTTAGATCAAGTCCTTTACAGCCGCAATCCTGCATATTTTACATGTGACTATGCACTAACAGCTGATCTACATGGTTGAATCCATCAGATTGTGCATAGGTCTAACAAACTATTAATTTTAGCCAGGTGTGTAAACCAGACTCTTATTTCAAACATAGAGGACACTGGCTTTTAATGCCTGGAGTCCCCCCCCCCTTCCATAATCTGTGGCAGTGCCGGAAGATTATGGCTGAGGGTTGGATCATTCATTCACATTGATTTTGCAACATTAGATATGATGCTAATTAGTCATGAGCGGTCATTTTACAACTGAATATTAAAAAACAATGACATCCTGAGAGCTGTTGTTTCTTGGTATTCTGTGAAATTGCAAATGGTCCTTTTTGAAAATATATGATCAGAAATAAAACGTTTACCTTTTCTGCTCTCTTATTTGCTATAACTGTGAGAACCGCAGACATTTCTCCTAAACTCGACCAAAAACGGTTCCTTTAAGGACGCTACTGTCTATTTTGACAGCTCAACAGATTCCTGATATACTGCCTTTTTTTTGTTCTTTGTGTGTTTTTTTGTTGTTGTTTTTTCGTGGGGATGATTCTCCAGGCAGATATTGGTTTCTCTTCCTCCATTTACATGAGCAAAATGACAGAGATAACAAAAGGTTTTTAAATTAAAGAAATAAGAAACATTTATCAACAACTCAAACAAGACATTAACAATGGGTAACACATGGAGTGAACACAATGCATGCACTTCATGTGATCTCAATGCGTGGCTGCTGAATGCGCTAACGAGCCGGCAAACACATGTATGCCTCGGTCATTGCAAGAAATGCTGCATCCTCCATGCCTTTGCCACCTTTATTATCTTGGTCACTGTGCTCCATGTGTGACGTTCAGCCTACGAGTTAAATAGATTATTGGCATGCAAAGTGAATTCAAGTGGCTGCTAATAAAACCTGTCTCAGAATTCCTTTTCAAATTGTTGGAGAACATATTGCAAAGGGTATATTGTGCAGCTGTTAGTGTAAAGTCCATAAAAAACGTATTTTCCGGACTATAAGCCACTATTTTTTCCCATGCTTCGAACCATGCAGCTTATAAAAAGGTGAGACTTTTCTGTGGGTTTTTCTTTATTACCAGAGGGAGAAGTCAAATTTGGAAATGAAAGAATAGGGGGCTAATTTTCATTTAGTACAAAAACATGCTAGCAGGAGGCACGGTGGAGAACAAATGTTCTGAATTCACACATTTTGACATTTATTTGCCGTATTAAAGCTGCCGAACCAATGAAGAGACTGAGCTCAACTCCTGCAGAGCTGAAATAAAGAGCCGTTGAATCCCCGTCTTTCAGTAGAACCTCTTACGAAACTCTTACGACTTATGATATGTACTAGTTTAATATGTACAATTTTTTTTCAAAACAATTTGTGGCCGCGGCTTATAGTGAGGTGTGTTCTATAGCCCGGAAAATGCTGTAGTCAAAACCAATATCTATGAATAGACAGGGGCACACACACACATTTATCAAGACTCACCATACTGCAGAAATGTCTGCATTGTGAAATGTTAAAAAGATTAACTATGGCTATTAAAAAACGGCTCTGGTTTGTTTAAAGCCCCTTGGTAGCATGAATATGAAGCAATGTTTTTTCATCTAAAGAAAAAGTCACTCTTTACAACAGTAATGTTAGACATAATGTATCTAAAGTTACTATTTCATTGCACTGAAAACTTTGGTTTAAGATGCACAAATGCCCACTTTTAGAAATTGAAACATATCCATCATAGATTTAATTCAGAGTTGGTTATGAAATACCTAAATGACTCCTGTGTTCTGTGTCATTGTTATTCATTTTGCTGTTTAGCAAAAGGCAAGAGATAACCGAGCAGCCCTGCGCATCAACAAAGTCCAGATGTCGAATGAGACGGTGAAGAGGCATCATCCACAGCAACATCCCCCTGAGGTGTTTGATCCCAACATACCACTAGACACAGATCTCCTGTTTAAAGACCCTTTGAAACCAAAAGAGTCAGAGCATGAACAAGAGTGGAAGTTTAGACAGGTAAGAGTGTATGCAATGAAGTCAGAGAATGCAGCGCCAGGTCCACTTTATATAGAGACAGCTAAGAAGTGGTCGTTTATTAACGCTTCCTAAACAACTGCACTATCCTTCGCATTAACCGTGATGACATTGGTGGTTAGTAGGTCCAGTTCATTCTTGGCATGAGAATAGATTTTTCTTCTTTGTTGATATCTAATCTCTGTCTATCTCTTTGTGTTCTGTCTTGACAGCAAATGAGACAGAAGAGCAAACAACAGGCCAAGATCGAAGCCACTCAGAAATTAGAGCAAGTTAAAAATGAGCAACTGCAGCAACAACAGCAGCAACAACATCAACAGCAGACAACCAGCCAGTCTGAGGGAGATGGTTCAAACAGTGGTAACCAGAGTCCAGCATCTCAGCCCAGTAATGGCAGCTCCTCCCCAATACAGCAGTTTAACTCAAAAGAAACCTTTGCAAGGCCACAGATGCAAGCAACTCCTACATCTTGTCCTTCAGAAGATGTTTTTGTCCGACCACCCCCTCCCCCTCCATCTGGTCCATCGTCTCAGCCTCAGTCTCCACAAGTTTTTTCACCAGGTTCCTCCGGTTCAGGACCATCTTCTCCATGGGATCCATATGCCAAAATGGTTGGGACCCCAAGACCACCACCTCTTGGACCAAATGCATGCCGTAGAATGTCTGTGGAGTCTGGAAAGTCGCCCACCTCTTTGATGGAACAGCAGGACCGAGGAAGACCTTCTCCAGCTCATGAATCTTTTGGTTCTCCAACATCAGTGTCCAGTGACCCTTATGCCAAACCTCCTGACACACCAAGACCAACAGGAGAAATGGATCCTTTCCTGAAGCCCATGGGCCCACCTAGGGGCAGTCAAGCAGCTCAAGGAAGATCTCCAATGGGTTCTCCTGGCAGAGACCCATACTCAAGGCCCATGATAAGAAATGAAGCCTATCAGCGCATTGCTCAGAACAGAATGATTTTGTCTGACCCATACTCCAGGCCCCTAATGGCCCCTATACCTGGAAGTAACGAGTCTGGCTCTGTTCCCCTATTTAAAACACCAATGCCCCCTCCTCAAGCTCAGGATACCTTCAGCCGACAAGGACAACATCCCACGGACAGATATTCCCAAAATCAGCCAAATGACCCGTATGCACATCCTCCGCACACCCCAAGACCATCAGCAAATGAGAGCTTCACCAGTCCACCTAGAATGGGCCAGCATCACCCTCAAGGGCACTCTTTTCCTCAGTCAGGACCAGTTCCTCAGATGTCTAGAAATCCTTATGCGCACGCACCGTCCACTCCCAGGCCAGATCGTTTTACTTATGACCCCTTTGCCCACCCCTCTGGTCCCAATAAACCAGGTCCTGACCTGTTTTCTCAGTCCCCAGGAAACCAGCGATCCCTTAATGAACATGGTATTCAATCTCGGCCATTTTTTGAACCTTATGCTCGACCGCCAGGTACACCACGTCCACATGACGACTATGGTCAGTCAGGCTCTCCTAATCCATCTTCGGACCCCTACTCATCCGCTCCTGCTACTCCTCGTCCCAGTGGGATAAACCAGTTTGCTCATAAGCCCCACGTTGGACAAAGGATATCCCCTTCCCACTCAATAGATCCTTTTGGCCATCCACCTGGTACTCCTAGACCCTCTTTGGGGGAAAGATTCTCTAAGTCACCAGGGACCCAAAGGGGTCCAGTAGAGCCATTCACTAGTCCACCTGGGCCATCTAGAACAGGGAGCAATGACATGTTTTCACAGCCAGGGACACACAGAACAATGGTTAATGACCCTTACGCCCAACCTCCAGGGACCCCAAGACCAGGTCCTGATGTGCATAACAGGCTTATGGTGAGACCAGGAGACCCATTCTCACCACCTCAAACCAGGCTTCAAGACCACTTCCCTCATCCAGAGTCTCTTACACCAAAACACCCCGGAGTTTCAGAAGACGGCTTTAGCCAGTCGCCTTCGACTAGACCCAGTCAGACCCCTGGCCACGACCCTTTTGACCAAGCATCTATGGCACCTTGTCCGCAGCCAGGAGAGAAAATGGAAATTATGGATCCTACAACATTGGGGAACAACGGATTGGGCCCTCAAGATCCCACACAAATGCCAAACAACCCACAGATGCCTGCTCCTTCTTCTGAAGCTGCATGTGCTGTTTTGGCTGAGACAGAGGAGAGACTAAAACAGGTACCCCAAAGCTGAACCCATCCAGGAATAGTCCTTTGGTCCCTTTATTTCCTACTTAGAACATCTGCTCTTAGTGTTGTACAGTTGTCTTATTTACAATTATCAGGGTAAATAGGCTGACTCTTCATCTTTTTTGCTCGTTTTCATTTTGACCATGCAGCTCTTAAGGTTTCCTCATAAATAGCTATGTATGGAGATAATGAGTTAGTATAGAAATCTTAATTGCATCTTCTCAACGTATTAAACAATTTGTCATTTTAAAACATGTATTCAACATTTCCATTTGGTAATTTTTCTTTTAAAACTTTGTAAAGCATACGTGGTAATAAAATTGCAAAACATTTCACAAGTCAGAGCATGATTCAGTAGGACTCTTTCACACATGTTCATTCTTTCTTCCATAGAGAACCATAATAGATGCTATGCCTTATAACATTTCCTTGGCCTTCGGATAACAAAAAGGCCCATACCATCACTTAACTTCAACCATGCCTAACAGTGGGCATGAGGTCTTTTTTTTTATTTTTTTATTTTTATTTTTTATCATAAAATGTGTTAACTGCAAACCAAGCCAGAGTTTCTGTAGCTAAAAAAGCTCCATCTTGCTCTCTTTTTCTTCAAGTTAAATCCCAGTTTAGTTTTGTTTTTTTACTCTTGCTATAGTAGGACAAGAAATGCCTCCTTCTGGTGGCTCTTGCTAACGCCAGTTGTTTTGTAATAGTTGTTATGTAGAGGTAGTAACCTCAAGATGCTGTGCTTAGTGCAGTACTCTATATTGTAGCTCCAGGCTAGCTGTGACACTAGGACAAACCTCTACATCCTGTGCCACTGTCCCGAAAAAAAGTTTATTTTTATTTTTGATATGAACTTCTAGCTAGTAGAAAGTGAATAAAATAAGAATCTTTTATCTCGAAGCAATTGTTAGGCTTGCCACATTAGAATGGATTTTTTCTTGTCTGAATAAATGTTGAAGATGAAGACTTGGTTTGGATTCCAAGAATAAATAAGAATAATAATTATTATGATAATGATAATGTAATATAAGCATAAAAAAATCCTTTAAAAATTAGATATCCTAATAATCATATTTATTTTTATCAACTCTATAGCGACAACGAATCAGAGAGCTAATCCTCAAACAGCAGCAACAGAGGACTGCCAACAGACAGGAAAGGGGCCCTCAGGATCCTGCTGCCAACATAACCCCAGGAACACCACGACCCTGGCCCCACGAGGGTCCTGGTCAACAGGGTGAAATGTTCAACCGGCCGCCTCCACCATATCCTGGACAAGGACCCATGAGAGGGCCAATAAGGTTTCCTGGAAACTTTCCAGGGGATCAGAGAGTCTGCTTTCCTAATGATGGCCAAATCCAGCGGGCACCACATCCTGGAGATCCTAATTTTAGGCATCAGGGACCAAGGTTTGATTTACAGTTATCATTTTTAAAATGTGCCGAATGTGATGCAAAGCTTACAATGTCCTTTCTTCCACAGGTTTGGATTTCCACCTGGAGCTTTAGAACCTCATGGCCCTCAAGAGTTCTTCCTTAGAGGAGAGCACCCTATGCAGGACGTCCCTCCACAGATGAGGATGACCATGCCTGCTGAGATGGCAAAAGGCATGGGAGGAAACCCCATGGGAATGCCTCATCACTACCCACCACGCAGTGTGCCGATGCAGCAGCACAACATCATGGGTCAGCATTTCATCGAGCTACGGCACAGAGCTGCAGAAAACAGGCCACGCATGCCGTTTCCACCTGCTGCCATGCAAGGAGGCAACATGGATCCAAACCTGCATGGTCAGAGGCTCCCAAGCTTTCCTGGACCACATGACTCCAGGTTCGCTTTGAATCAGGGCCCTAAAATGGTGGACCCTCTTACTGGTCAGACTGGCCACTTACACCTGTCTGCCAGTTTGGACAATCTTCATCAGCAAACCCAGATGCCAGGAATGAGTCCCATCAAACAAGCTCCTCTAATGAGATCAATGAGCCAACCTGCTTCAAATGAGACCCAAAACATGACCTCATCCATCATCCTCTCTACGCCCCCTGCTGGGCAGTCGGAGGCTGGTTCTATGGCCAACAGTGAAGCAGTGGAGGAGAAACTCGATGCAGAAGACTCTGCTGTCAAAGATCTTGAGGATGTGGAGGTGAAGGATCTGGTTGATGCTGATTTGGAAAACCTAAACTTGGATCCAGAGGACAGCAAAGACCTGGATCTCGAGACGAACGACCTACACCTAGACGACTTTCTGACATCCGGTAAATTTGACATTATTGCGTACACAGACCCTGACCTGGATGATATCAAGAAAGACTTGTTCAATGAAGAGCTGGATCTCAGTGATCCCATGGAGGATAACCCCGAAGCAGCAGACATTCCTAAAAGTGCAAGCCCTGAAACCGAGCCCTCATCCAGCGCAGCATCTGCCCTGTCAAAGTCAGAGTCCACAGGGGAGCATTCCACATCTGAGCTTAAGCCGGAAGTCCCAGGGAGTCACAGCTCTGATTCTTTGGCACTAGATCAGGAAATTAAGACGGAGGTCAAAGACTGTCAGGGGCCACCTGAAGTGGGAGATCAACAACTAGCTGAAAACCCCTCAAACCAGCAGGGAATGCTGTCCGATTCCACTCCAGTCCTTTCTAGTCTACTCATTAAACAGCAGCCTGAGGAGCAGTCATTAAATCCTATCATGGAGTCCGTCAGTCAGGGAGGTAACCCTATGGCCCAGCAGAACCCGGACAGTGATAATCAGCATACCTCTGTACTTACAGTGAGTCAAACAATAGCTGACACAGGCGCTGCAGAGCAGCTGTCTGCTTCTGGCTTTGGAGCAGACCAACAGGTTGGACTTACTGCAGCTGTAGACCAGACTGGCCTGAGTCAAGCCCAGCAGACGGCGTTAAACCAGAATCTGGGTCAGCACAGCCAGCAACAGCGTCCTCTTCTGCTGGAGGAGCAGCCTCTCCTGCTGCAGGACCTCCTTGACCAGGAAAGGCAAGAGCAACAGCAGCAGCGTCAGATGCAAGCTATGATTCGCCAGCGTTCCAGTGACGCCTTCTTCCCTAACATTGGTAGGCTCCGCTGGCCGACCCGCTCTGAGATTCCATGTTGAGTAAAGTGATTTCTGTCTGACCGTGTTTTGTTTGTGTTTGACAGATTTTGATGCAATCACCGACCCCATTATGAAGGCCAAGATGGTTGCCTTAAAAGGTATCAATAAAGTCATGGTGCAGAACAACATGGGGATGGCTCCGATGGTGATGAACAGGTGAAGACTTTTTAGTGCCACACCGGAAATATTCATAGTTAAATAATTATTGGTGCTTTATACCAAATAACACTTCATTCTCCTGCACCATAAATATGAACATTAAGAAACTTTTTGTGGTAATCTTTCTGCTTCCCAGATTTCCACCAGGTCCCGCTCCACCTTGTCCTGAAAGCACACCAATCCCTCCACAAGTTGTTGGACCGGTAACTAACAGCTTTTTAATGAAACCGTCAAATGTTTTAGATTACTGTGTAATAATGTCTTTAATCTTTTTGTCAGGATGGAAAACTGACCCAAGTACAAAGACCAAATCCTCCCAACTTCGGACCAGGATTTGTCAGTAAGTTTTCCAAAACTTTTTTTTTCCTTTTCTGCAGGATCGTTTTTCTGAAGATCTGTTGTGACTGTAAATTAAAATAAATTTGTTTTTTATGCAGTAAAGTTTGCAAAGATAACAGCCATCTTTCTTCTCTCAGACAATCCTCAGAGGGCTCAGTATGAAGAGTGGCTACAGGAGACTCAGCAACTACTTCAAATGCAGCAGAAGTTTCTAGAAGAAAAGATCGGAGCTCAAAGGAAGTCTAAGAAAGCCCTGTCTGCCAAGCAAAGAACTGCTAAGAAAGCAGGCAGAGAGTTCCCAGAGGAGGACGCTGAGCAGCTCAAACATGTCACAGAGCAGCAGGGTGTAGTGCAGAAGCAACTGGAGCAGGTAAATGCTCGGCTTGTTGAGCTCCACTACTGAACTATGTGTTGACCTTTTGCATGCAGGCAGCACCAAACTATGAATATGATCTCTAAGCAAAGATTTAGCAGCTGAGAGGGGATTTCTTTTAAAGAAGCCATTCATCTGTAACATCTATATTCTTTCCTGTCAAACCTATAAAACATCCACACAGAATAATTTAAACCATACAGTATCTCTACTGTTATCTGGTGATTTAAAACATCCATATAAAGTAATGATTCCTATAATTATCTAACAGTAAAAAACAATTGCACTTACATATGCAACCCACAGGATTTCTGCATAGCCTGTAAATTATAAAAAATGCAGCATTTGATATAATCATGTTTAAGTTTCTGTGGTATAAAAAAAGTGCCCAACTTTCTTCTTTTGTTTCCTCTACTGGAAAAACTCCCGACTTCCATTTCTGACCATTCTTTTGTTTTTTTGGTTTTACATAAACTCATCTGTCCATCAGTCATGTATCAATTCCTCAATGCCTACTTCCAGTTAATCTATCAGACTTTTTATCAGCCTGTCTCTCTGTGCACGTTCTCAGGTTCAGTCTTTTCTGATATATTTATTGCTGATTTTGCCTAAACTTTCATATATTTTTCGTTCTGTTCATTCATTTATTAAGTCCAATTATCTATTAAGTCATCAGTCTTTCTTCTATCTATTTTTAAACTGTACCTCCTTTTCTATGTCTTCCTGTCCAAAATATACCTGTCTGTCAACCAAATATTTGTCCACCCTGTAGTTTGTGCAGGTTTATTCTGTTTATCAAGTCAAATAGTGAGATTTGTCTCACTTATTGTACTTAGATTCTTTAAAATTAACAATATTTGTTGTGTTAATAAATATATTTATACTTGAAACGGCCCCAAATTTACAGAAAACATATTTGATTTGGGGTTTAGTTATTTATAGATGGAAATGTGTAGCAGCCCTATATATTTGCTGGTATTGATGAGACCATTTTTATTTTTCATCAGATTCGCAAGCAGCAGAAGGAGCACGCTGAGCTCATCGAGGAGTACAGAGTGAAACAGCAGCAGAACAACCTGACACCGATCATGCCTGCTATTCACCCAGGAACAGGCAATCATGCAATGGTTCCTGGTGGGCAGCCTATGGTCCAGCCTCCCATGAACCCCGTGATGCAGATGCCTCTTCACCCTGGCCAACCAAACGCACCGCCACGAATGCCAAACCCTCCGCCTGGCTGGCATCCTGGTGCTCCTATGCCTATGGGTGGACCAGGGATGCCTCCCATGATGCCGCCTCAGGCTCCTGCTCCAGGTTCAGCTCAGCCCCTTCAAATGCCAGTGGGTAACATCCCTCAGCACCCACAGATGCCTGTTGAGCCCCAGGCCCCACCCACCCCGCCAGGCGCAGTTAAACCCATGCAGGCGAGCGGTGTGAAGTTTGATGACAACAACCCCTTTAGCGAAGGTTTCCAGGAGCGCGAGAGAAGGGAGAGGCTAAGGGAGCAGCAGGAGAGGCAGAGAGTGCAGCTCATGCAGGAAGTGGAGCGTCAAAGAGCTCTGAAGCATCGTATGGAAATGGAGCAGCAAGGGATGATGGCACCAGACGCACCTCTCACTCAGATGCCGTTTTTTAATTCGGAGCTACCGCAAGACTTCATGCAACCTCAGAGGGCCCCTCTGCAGCAACCACAACAACTTGGACCAATGTTCCCCCAGCACCAGGGCATGCAGCGTAGCATGGGCTCCCTGCCTGGAACCTTCATTCAGGCTGACAGAAGACCTATGATGGGCAATGGGATGATGCCCCCTGATATGGGGCCAGGTTTAGGGCCCGACGGTGTTGCTGTACAAGGACCTAACTTTCCACACGCTCAACCGAGGCCTCGGCAGTTTGGTGGACCAGGAATGATGCCTCAGATGCCCGGAGAGGGTCCTCCTTTTGGGGGCGATTCTGCCACTCCTCTGCCATCCAACTTCCCAGGCTCGGGCCAGTCGCTTATACAGCTGTATTCCAACATCATTCCCGATGAGAAAGGGAAAAAGAAAAGGAGCCGCAAAAAGAAGAAAGACGATGACGCTGATTCAGTCAAGACCCCATCAACTCCACACTCAGACCTCACAGCTCCTCTCACGCCTTGCGTCTCTGACACCTCCTCCACACCAACCAGAAACACACACCTCTTTGGAGAGCAGGACCTGTCCCGGTCTCCTTTACTGGGGTCATCGACACCAAGTCATTCAGAGCTTGAGAGGCAACTTTCTGGAGGACAGTGTGGACAACCCACTTCAGCATCAGACGCGTCAAGGACCCAGGCTCAGGAGCACGAGAGAATCCTCAGTAACATCAAGCTAGAGCAGACTGATGCCACCGAATGCCAAGGGCCGAACGAAGGGCCCATCAACTCAGACATGAACTCTGTGAAGGAAGAGAGAAACAAAGGGAACATGTCGCCTTTCCCTGCTGGACAAAGTCCAAACAAGGGAGAGGCTGGCAATGAACTGCTGAAACACCTGCTGAAGAACAAGAGCACTCCTCCACCTGGACTGTCCCAGCAGAGGGCAGACGACGGCCTTCGCTCTGAAGAGGAGGAACCCTCAGACTGCAAAACCCTGCTGAGGCAGAGCTCCATAGACAGCAACGGGGTTAGTGTTTGTGTTCGTAGATCAATGACGTGGTGGTAAACAGTCACTCCGAGGCAGTCAGGAATCCAAACATAACAGATCAGCTTTAGGTTTCACCAAAACATTTCATGCAACCTTTTCTCTACCTTCAGGCTTTCTCTGATGGAACCTCTGAGTTCCCCAGCTCTCTGCTCCCAGAGCAAGACAAGAAGAAAGGGAGGAACAAGAGGCCTCCGAAGGGAGGGGAGAAGCCTGCTTCCCGCTACAAAAAGAGGAAGAAAGAAGATGACAGGCAGCTGATACATTCAGGTCCTGACACCGTTATGACTCAAATCAAACAAGTAAGATTATTTTCTCTCTTCGTTTCACTTTGTTCTCAAACAGCTAAAATATCTATAGAAGAATTGATGCACCTCTTGGGTGTAGATGTTAAAATTACATCTTAATAAATCAGAAAATGCTCAAAAAGTTGATTTGTCTCTGCGATTGAATTTCATATCTAAGTTTAAGTAATTAATTAGCCAAAGTAACGAATTTGGATGATTATGGTGTACAGCCATGACGCCCTGAAATTAAATTTGATAATTTAATTTATTCATTCTTAAAAAAACAAAAAAAAACAAGCCTTCTGATTCCCATTCCTATCATCAGCCTCCCAATTGTTGTTGCTCTATCTTCACACAGCAGCTTTCCTTGCTGCCCCTCATGGAGCCATTGATTGGAGTGAACTTTGCCCACTTTGCTCCGTACGGCAGCGGGCAGCTCAATGGAGAAAACCTTTTATCCGGTACTTTCGGCAGTGCCTCACTGGATGGAGTCTCTGATTATTACTCCCAGTTGGCTTATAAGGTGAGAATTTTTTTTTCAATATCAGAGTTTGTGTTTAGTTCTCAATATTAAAATGTTTGCTTACTTATCATTGGTTCTGACTCTGCAGCAGAATAACCTGAGCAATCCACCAACACCACCAGCGTCTCTCCCTCCAACCCCACCACCTGTGAATCGACAGAAAATGATCAACGGCTTTGCTACTACTGAAGAGCTGGCTACTAAAGCTGCTGCCATGGGTGAGCGTTTAGCAGTCATGTCTTCGACATTTACCTGCGATCTTCAATGTATTTATTTACTGAAGCAGTGCAAGATTTTGAAGAAGAAGAAAAAGTATAAAGCTGTTGTGAAAATCTGTTGAAAAAGTTGAGCAGTTTTTATTTGTATGTTTCTACTAACTAAGAGAAACTTGTTCTTCTAGTTTGTGAAACAGTTGATAAACCTTTCTGTGGCTGTATGTTTAGAGCTATTATCTTGCTGAGGGTAAACCATAGCTCAGTCTCTGGTAGCCTTTGATAGCTTTTCATCCAGAAGCGTCTCTTATTTCTCCTTATTAACTCTGGCCAGCTTGCTTTTACCTGCTGAAGGCAAAGCTCATCAAAGCCTGATTCTCTGAGAGTTATGCTTCATGTTTATGTGCTCTGTTTGTTTTGCTTAACTCCTGCTATCTTCCATTTTGACCTTAAAAAAAATCATGCTTGCTTGGTTTTCCTACCATAGCTTGTAGCAAACTGAAGAACAGCATTTCCATTTGCTTTCCTTTTTCAGTCGCCTCCTTTTTTAATTCTTCAATAAAGACCAGTTTCTCCAATCTGAACTGCTGCTCTTTACAGTTTCTACAGTTACCACATCTTGGCTACTTCTGCTAGCTTAGGTAAACAATGTTTTCCTGGTGATTTGGTAGATGTGGAATTTATACTGAGGTTAAGTTGAACCCAGTTAGACTCTTATCTGCTAATAGAGGGACCAAAATAAATCAAGGAAACTGGGCTGCATACATGCACACATTTTTGTAGATTTTTATTCTCAAAAAAATATTTTAGAAACCTGTTATGGTTCTTCTACTTTCAAGTTATGTACTTCTGTGTTTTATCATGAAAATATGTATACTATATACTGAAGTTCATTTCAAAATACAGAAGAATTCAATTAGAAGCCTTGGGAAATAACGTACAAATCATCAAATGTTTTTATTTCTTCCAAAAATGATCCAGAAGATTTAGTAAACTATTTCAACAATGTGTATGCTGTTGTTACCTAATGGAAGTTATTTTTCCGTAAATTAGTCTCCAAAGGTCTGGTGCCGAAGCCGCTGCATGTCCCATTCAGAGCTGAGGAGGATCTGTTAGCCCGCGCCATCGCTCAGGGACCAAAAACTGTAGATGTTCCAGCTTCTCTTCCTACTCCGCCTCATAACAACCAGGAGGAGCTCAGGTAATGGATTAAAAAGTCATTTATATGTGGATTATTTATTCCAGCTGTGTGGTTTTTGACTGTTGTACTTTATTTTATATAACAGTAACAGAGGACAGGAGCCTTGCAAGGACAGGGATTCACCGGATAGCTTTGTCCCCTCCTCTTCTCCTGAGAGCGTAGTTGGCATGGAGATCAGCCGTTACCCAGACCTGTCTCTGGTGAAGGAAGAGCCGCCTTCTCCATGCTTGTCTCCTGTTCTCCCCATGCTCCCTGCCCCTGATGGGAAAGGTAAACACCCACACCCTCCTCCATAATTCAATCAGTCACACAGAATTCATTAGAATTCCACAGGTAGTTTTATCACTGAGGGTTTAAGGCCAAATGTTGCACTTTGTTCCTTATCTGAACGCAGCAATGTTTTATTCATTCATGTTCTTCTCTGGTGTTGTTTTCTTAAACCCCTCAGGGTCAGAGGTCAAACTGCAGGACATCAAGACTGAACCTTCGATGTTCTTCGGCTCCCCCTTTGGCCCCATGTCTAATGACTCCAAACAAGGGCTGGTTTCTGTTGCTATCACACTGAGACCAGCTGCAGCGGAGGTAAACTGACTGGATGGCTGCTGCCAGAAATGCAGTTTTCCCCTTCTTTTGCATCATCACTTCAAATCTGCAGTAGTCATAATCTGCTAGCAGGATGACTACAAACCAAACGCTCATAATTGGGCTTCAGAGACGATAGAGTTCAATGGGCAATCTTCTGGTTGACCGTTTGTAATAAAGATTGTATGTGCCTCTCTCTCGTAGAACATCACAGGCGTAGTAGCTGCCATTTCAGAGCTCCTTTGTGTGAAGATCCCCAGCAGCTATGAGGTCAGCAGCACGCCTGACAGGCCTCCTATGTCTATGGGTCAGAGGATGGGTCCCCATGGTATGGAGCAGCGGCCTCCCATGTTCTTCCACGGACAGGGAGACCACGCAGTGCTCCACGGTCGGCCTGGACAGATGATGCGGCCCGTTGGTCCACAGGGAATGATGCAGCAGCAGCAGGCACATCCTTTCCATTTCCATCCTAATAGCCCAGGTAAGGGAGGTAAACAGATTAAACAGGGGTTTTACTGAGGGATCATCTTAAACATCTACATCAGTTTATAACTGTATAACTTCTCTTCCAGCTTACTACTGTTGTTGCAATAGAAGGTCCTTTGATGACTGATGAAGGAGAATTGGCCGCTCCTCTTATTAGAAATGTTTGAACTCATGCTGTTTTTGCAGCAGGCATGATTGTTAAGCATATTTAATATACATTCAAAAGTTTCAATTGGAAAGTCTTAATGTCCTCCTTTCATCAATAATCAGCTCGTTAATGGTAAATGCACTGAAGTTATTTAGCTCTATTCCATGCTGACATACTGGTCATACTGACCAAAGTCTTAACACAGCAGCCACAATCAGCCAATCACACATTCGCACACTGATACTCAAATCAGTGGGAAACTTTGGGCTAAGTGCGTTGCTTAAAGGTCCACCAACACGTGAACAGGTGAAGAACCCTAAACCTTTTAATAGTTAGATGACTGCTCTACCCACTGAGTCACAGTCACTAATAGGATCTGTATGTCTGCTTTACGGTTACATGGAACGTAATTCAGTCCACCGTGGGTCATCTTGACGCTTTTAAAACTTTCATCCTCAGACTGTGGCAGGATAGGTCAGTTTTCAGCTCCTCTGACCATGCAGACAGCGTTCTGGTTGTCATAAAGGCAGCTGTAAATGTCAGTCTAGTCATAAGATGTTGATCTGTATGTCATGGCCGCGGTCGACCATAACTCTGCTGTTCCAGCGTCCTCCAGTCTAACAGTTAATTGAGGACTGTGGGTTCTGGGGCGCCTATAAGTTGTAAGTGGCTCCCTTTCATTCTACAAGATGCTGTATGAATCTTTCCATATTTCTGAGTGCAGCTCTATCAATATATGCATAAAAAAAGTTTTAAATTTTTCTGTATGACTAAAACAGCTCAACTGGTCCATTTCTTTCGTCACATTTCTAAACTAACCAGTCTTCTTTCGTCTGATAATAACAATTTGACTAAGAGGATTTACACAACAATCACACAAATCATCCGCCTGCTATTTTTATTGGATATAGAAGGTTATCATTAGGCTCATGAATAGGTTCCAACCTTAATGAGTAATAATGTGTTTATTGTACATAAAAGCTGGGCCACTACCAGAAAACCAGCTGGTTTAAACGGGCCAAGATGGAACCAGAAGCTTTCTTCAGGCTGCAGAGGTTTGGTTCCTCTGCTGACTTCTGAATAATATCTGAAGTTTAACTCTGTGAGATTAAACATTATTTACACAAAATTCAAACTTGATAATCTGGATCTAGCTTGTAAAAATAACGGATGCTGTTGATGACCCTCATGCCAATAATCCTATGTATCGTTACAGAACAATTCAATGAATATTGTTATTAATGTCAAAGTACATTTTAAAAATGGACATTTGTTGCCTCAGGTGCTGCTGTAGCTCGAGGACCTGACCATAAGATCCCTGCCAGCCCTGGATGTAAACCCCACTGGTGCTGCCACTGTAAAGTGGTGGTTTTGGGAAATGGAGTCCAGAAATCCATCAAAGATCTCCCTGCTCACGTGAAGGTACCGAACACACAGAGCAGAAGATGTTTGCTCTCATCTTGCATTAACAAAAAAAAGCCTGGTTTGTCAAGAACAAACCATCGTCCTTGTTCTGTGTTTTGGTGTTTTTCTAACTTTTGATGCCGCTTTTATTTAAGAAGTGATGTTTGAAAACCTTCACAGGATTTTCGTCCTTCCCCTTTTGCTGATAAGTTGAAAACATGTCTCCCTTTCTTTTGAAATCAGCAACGCTCGGCGGGCTGGTAATTCATGCTGCTGGAAACCAGACACTTAATTGAGATCTCAGCTCAGAAAAAATGCGTAATATCAGGCTGCTTCATATTGATTTAGAAATGTTTTCTAGTGTTGAATGGAGATGGTTCAAGGGCAGGTTTATTGACCATTGAATATAAATTATTAGCTGCTTTCATAGTGAAGGCCAGCATCACTGCAGTAATACTGAACATACCTTATATCATAAATCCTCCCCTCTGCAGTTAAATCAGTCTCAGGTCTTCTGACAGGGTAAGGCAAGCCATTTCAGGTCTGCATTTCATTAGTTTTTAGGTGGTATATGCTGAATTTAACCAGTTAAATTTCTTATTGTTTCTTATCATTAGGAATATGAGAGCCGTTTGAGATCAGATGAAAACCTAGTCTTCTGCAGTCAGGGCTGTTTTCTTCTCTACTGTTCCTCATCATCACATCAGTCCCGATCAACCACAGAAACAAAGGTGGGTACAGATCTAACCTGTAAATTATAAACACACTCAGTTCAGATGGGAAAATGTTAACCATATTTGGTCTGATGTTTTTAGGAGTCCATGTCGCTTCTCCCCGCTTCTGAGCAAAGTGAGAGTTTCTGCAAAACTCAGCATCAGTACAGTAACAACATGTCCTCCCTGGACGTTCACTGCCTCGCCCAGCTGCAGCCCAAACAGTCCCCCCCTTCCACTCCTCCCATCCCCTTCCCTACAGCCGGAGAAACACCCAAAGCTGAGTCCAAATCCGATGCCCTCAAAGTGACGGTGAAGCTCAAAGCCCGGCCGAGGTCGCATGACGGCTGGCACCAGGGGAAGAGACAGAAGGGACTCCGCTGGAGAAAGTGGACTGTTCAGGTGGTTATGCCTTCGAGAATGAATTCGCAGCTGCCAGAGGAAGATAAGATCGATGAGCTTCTAAAGAAACTAGGAGCATCGCTGCGCCCTCCGTCTTCTCTCAAAGATAAGAGGCGGTGCTGTTTCTGCCACCAGTTTGGTGATGGGATCACCGATGGCCCGGCCAGGCTGCTAAATCTAGACCTTGATGTGTGGGTTCACCTAAACTGTGCGCTGTGGTCAACCGAGGTGTATGAGACGCAAGCTGGTGCCCTCATCAACGTGGAGTTGGCGCTGCGTCGTGGTCAGAGCATCCGCTGCGCCTACTGCCAGCAGACCGGCGCCACCAGCGGCTGCCACCGCCTGCGCTGTACTAACGTCTACCATTTTACCTGCGCTCTGCAGGCTCAGTGCACTTTCTTCAAAGACAAGACTATGCTCTGTCACGCCCACAGGCCCCGGGGAACAGCAGGGCAGGCCTTGGAGCACGAGCTGCGCTGCTTCGCTGTGTTCCGACGTGTCTATGTTCAACGAGACGAAGTGCGACAGATTGCCACTGCCGTTCAACAGCCCGAGTTGGGCTACACGTTCAGAGTGGGAAGCCTGGTGCTGCACGCAATAGGACAGCTCACCCCGTTACAGATGTCCGCCTTCCACTCATCTACCACCATCTTTCCCGTGGGCTACGAGGCCTGTCGTATCTACTGGAGCATGCGCCATGGCAACCGCCGTTGCCGCTATGTCTGTTCAGTTGAAGACAATGACGGGCTTCCAGAGTTCATGATCAGAGTCGTTGAGCAAGGCTACCAAGACTTGATCCTGACCGACACCTCTCCTAAAGGTAAAGGGAGGATAATTCTGCTTGTCTTGCGGGGAGTTGGTTTCTTTGCTTAGCAGCTTGTGTTTATTTGCCTTTTTAAAATAGGAGTTTGGGATAAAGTGCTTGGTCCAGTTGCTGAGAAACGTGCAGAGACGGGCACTCTGAGGCTCTTTCCCGTTTATCTGAAAGGAGAAGATCTGTTTGGACTCACAGTCCCAGCAGTCACCAGAATCACTGAATCGGTTTGTTGCTCTAGTTTGATTCCTGTTGTTTTAAAATATCCGTTTGCCGACGAGTGTCTAAATTTCATTTTTATTTTTTTATTTTTTTTTGCTGCAGCTCCCAGGGGTGGAGGCCTGCAGCAGCTACTCCTTCCGCTATGGCCGCAACCCTCTGGTGGAATTACCTCTCATGTTCAATCCAGCTGGGTGTGCACGCGCAGAGCCGAGAACAAGCTCCTCCCACACAACGCTGGTCATAAGGTAGCCGAGTGAAGTTAGCTTTTAGGTCTGTTGTCTAAGACTGGGAGAATTATACATTTTGTTAAACATAAAATTGAGTCTGTAAGAATGTGAGACTTGCACTACTATTTAGAGTAGTGCATATAAGATGAGGCCAAAGGTGCAGAATCGGATACATTACTTTTGCCATTGTCTTTTTGCACATCTCTGATGTTCCTGCTCTTTTCAAATATCCATTACTGTAAAAATGTCCATAGCTGTCTGTATATTGGTTGTTTTATTCTCCAGGTGCACAGTTTCAAGTGTTAAAACATTTTACAGTACAGTATTTTATTGTTTATCTTTTAACTCTTCACTATTATGTTATTCTTATAAATTTTTATAAGGTTCACATTTGTGTGACAATTTTTTCTAGAATGTTTTTGCTGCTGTAAACACTTGAATTTCCCCACTGTGGGGCAATAAAAGATTATTCTATTCTATTCTATTCTATTCAGTGCTAACAATGAACAGAAATCTGCTCAAAGGATGTATTTTACTTTTAGAGCAGAAATTGTGTTTATTGGCCTCCGACTGCAGAAAGGAAGAAATAGCAAACTCATTTTTTTCATCATTGTGATTAAATGCGTCAAAATATTTGGATGAAATCTTAAATCTATTTCTTATTCCTATTAGCTGCTGTGGTAATGGTGATGTATCTGCTACCATCTAGCAGAAGCTCAAAAAAACAATATTAGCCATTGGTTGAAAAAAAAAAAAGTTTGCCAAAGTAATTGAATGTCTAGTAAGCATGAAAGAAATATCTATGAACAGAAGAAACGTTTACAGGATGCTGTCAACAAGGCAGAATCTGATTTGTCCTTTTTTGTCATTTTGCTTTAAAATGTAGGCCTCAACCACAGGTTGTGTCGAGCAGCAGTGCCAGGTCAAATCAGAACGTGGCCCAAGGAGAAGGTGGTGTCCCTCATAGCAAGACTCCAGTAGTGCACCCGAGGTCCTCCCAGTACCGCTGGATGAAGAGCGAGTGGAGGAGTAATGTCTATCTGGCTCGCTCCCGCATCCAGGTGAGTAAACCTCCCTTCATTCAAGCTGCTGATTTACTGGATTTCTAAAGATCAAAAAAAAAAAAAGCTGATTTAACTGCAAATGCAACATAACCAAGCAGTCAGCGCCTTTGACCAATTGCTGGACCTGTAACCATCATCACTATTGATTCACTTATGAAAATATACACTGTTTAAAATGTAAATAACAAATGAAAGCATATACAAATGAATTCTGGTGTATGAATAATATTTTTTTTACTCGTCTAGATTTAGAGCCTTCAGATGTTCCATAATATGGTTTAAGCAATCCCAATAGGTTAATCTTGTTTTACAATAATTTACTCCTAAAATATATCTTTTTTATTTATTAAATACTCAACCTGTCAACCTTGGTTTTTACATTAGGTCTGTTCTTTCATTGATAAGGAGATTAAAATAAAGCCCTTAGATTATTTACTACTAGCTTATAAGAAGGTGTGGATTTAACAAGGTTGGGGATTTCAGTAGTTGGTTAAAACCAATGAAAAATGAACATTATGTTTAAATCTGAATAAAGCGATGGAAATATTATTAGTTGATCTTTGATTTCTCCAGTTTCTTGTTCTATGTGTTAGCATGCTGGTATAACAGGGCTTTCTGCAGTTGCCAGTCCACATTATTGTATCAAACTTACTGTAGATGTAAAGATATAAGTTTGTGACATTAACAAATTTGAATGAATGCATGCATAACCCCAGTTTTATTGTTGTTGATTCTCATTGGAATCCATTAAATGATGCTTTCTGCACAGGGCCTTGGGCTGTTTGCTGCTAGAGACATCGAAAAACAAACCATGGTGATTGAGTACAATGGAACTGTCCTCCGAAATGAGGTTGCCATCAGGAAGACCAAGGTTTACAGATCTCAGGTAAGAAATAAAACAAAGACACAATAAAGCAGCTTTTGTCTTAATTTTCAATTGAAAGTAAGATTTTCCTTTATATTGCCTCACAGAACCGAGCGGTGTTCATGTTCCGCATCGACAGCGAACATGTCGTGGATGCCACTCAAAGTGGCGGGCTGGCAAGGTCTGGAATTCATCCAATTATGTCTATTATTTTCACGCCTGTGTTTTTGTTCATTTTGTTTTTAGTTCGACATTTCTACTTGTTTTTTTTCTGAATTAGGAAAAAAAAAAAGAGACCATTATTGTTAATTAAATGGATAAGCTATAGCATTGGTACACTCAAACAACAGGAAGCTTTATCAGTAAACAAGGGTTTATTGGTTTGTTCTGGTAAGCTGGTTTGTTTCAGGTCCCAAACTGTAAATGTTATACATTTAATCTGGATGGAGGGATCTGAACTCTGTTTCCGTGCAACAGCTGAGAAAGGCTCCCATCAGGCTGGTAGAACACAGGCTGCAATCTGAGCATCTCGTTCTGCTCAGGAATGTTGGGTTGAATAAAACGTTCTGGGAAAAATTATCATCCGAATGTTCGTAAAACAGTTGTTAAAATGATCGTAGCTTCAGCTTCGGCCCTTGATGTCACGTCTCTGCTTCCGCATCTGAATCAGATTTCTGGATGACCTCAGCCTGCAGTCTGGATGTCTAACTGATTATTTGACTCAGGTGTGTTAAATCAGAGATGCTTGTAACCGGCCCCAAATGACCGTATTTAAGGAAGCCGTTTCTAGATCATTCTACGTTTGCTTCTCACACTCTTAAGCCCCGTTTACACTAACCTCTGAGTTCTGACTGAACTTGGATCCGTTCCGGTCTTGGTTCCTTACAACCATTTACACATCACTCTAGCACGGTTCCTCGCCTCCTAGTGACGACCTGCGGTACTACTGCTCTCTAGACGGAAACAAGCAAATCAACACGGCGGCGCCCGTAACATTCAGGAAGTTTGATTATTTTGTGATATTTTGTTGTTTGCGGAGCATCAGCTGAAGAAGGCAACCTTTGGTAAATTTAATTGACAGACTGGGATTTTGGGAAGTGGATACGAAAAATTGATAGTCTAATCAGGGCTTACAGACACAGAAAACAACGACCAAATGTTGAGGTTCCTCACACTGCAAAGCAGAATCATCACTGGAAATCATGTGGCAATGTAGGGAAGCTTGTAGTTTTATGAATCTCTGAATTTTCATGATTATGGAGATGAGGCGGTCTCCTCCTTGGCTCTTTGTTATCTTAGAACCATGCCAGATCTGAACCGCGCTGAGCCGTACTGATGATCGAGTACCAGTTTAGTCTGGTTGGGTTGTGTCTGGCACGGTCCGAACAGTTTTTTGTGCCATTTACACTCATCAGTTTTCTCTGTTATCGTGCTCAGACCGATCTCAGCAGGGTTTCAAAAGGGTAGTGTAAATGGGGTATTAGTGACTCGTCTTACTACATCTGGTTGTGGGTATATGTGATTGGAGTGGTGCAATCCTCTACATACCAACATAAACCAATGTTTCCACAGCTCAACACTGAAAACAGGTTTCAGAACTGCTCTTTAAAAAAAAGGTTAGCATAAGGAAGAAAAAACCTCACAATTTTCTGTTTTCTGCTTCAGATACATCAATCATTCCTGTGCCCCCAACTGTGTGGCGGAGGTGGTCACCTTTGAAAGAGGCTACAAAATCATCATCAGCTGCATTCGAAGGGTCGAAAAAGGAGAGGAGGTGGGTGTGTCAACAGACTCTAAATAAACGTTCATAATTGGCAGAGTTTAAACAGATCATATGTTCCACCTTTATTTTTCAGCTGTGTTTTGACTATCAGTTCGACGCCATTGAAGGCCAGCACAAGATTGCTTGCCATTGCCGAGCTCCTGAGTGCAGGAAGTGGATAAACTGAGCTAAACATCTAAACCATTCCTCACTTGGGCGAGTGGGGGGGGGGGCATAACTCCACCCCTCCACACTGAAGGCGTTTTAACAAAAGAGAAGGGTTAAAGGTTAGTTCATCAGGATCATGGGGTGGAAAAGAAAAAAATCCAACACGGTAGCAGGATGTGACTCGTGCCATATGTAGAAGAGGCTTTAGTGGAAACGCAGAGCCTCCATCTGTTTGTATGTATCTGCTAGTTTATCTGTGGTGTACATGGGGGGGTGCAGAATCCACCAGCGAATGAGAAAGCACTGTGCAGGGTGCGGCCTTACTGCTAACTAAGGGCAGGCCCTTTTGTTATATAATAATGTATGCCGTTAGACTAAATGTAGACATCACTGAATGAGGAATGTACAGCAATGAATACCGTGAAGGGAATATTAACTTGCACTAAAAAAAAAAAAAAAAGGAGGAAAAAAAAACGAAACAAAAAAAGAAAAGAAACAAAAACATACACACAGAAAAACGTTTAAATACTTGATTCCATGAGTCAGCTGTATCATAGGTCTCCGTCATGTGATTTGTGTGGATTTTGAGAGTTTTTTTTTTTTTGTATTTATTACTGAGTGAGTGAATTTTATTCTCCAAAATGACGAGATTGAGGTAAAGAAGGCTATTGTTTCTGAAGATTGAAGAAGACATGCTGTTACTTTTGTACAAATGTATATAAAGAAAACTATAGGAATAACCGACCAAATACTACCTTAACCTTCTTGATGTTTGGGTGTTTTTAAAACTGTTTTTGTTTTTATTTGTCATTGAAATTTATTTAAGATGGACGTTATTTCAGTTTGAGAGTATATATTATGATTATTCTGTACAGAATTTGTAAAATAACCACAATAATTCACAAAGTATTTTTGTTGTATTAAAAGTAAGGTATTGTAGCGTAGTGATTTTTTTTTTTTTTTGTGACTTACACATACTTTGACCACTCGAAAGAAATATTTTTGTTGACAAACGAGTTATTGGTTACAGAATTTATAAAAACAAGAGACTTCAGAGAGTAAGATCATTGTGATCTGTCTGCTGTTAATCAGGTCCGATTTTAAAGAACTGTGAATTAGGAGTTAATCCCCACCCACCCATCCCCAGCAAAAAAGAAAAAAAAAAACAAAAAAAACAAAACAGCTTTTTAACTTTTTATCATGAATAAAAGCAGCAAAGTGTTTTTACTTTACATTTTGGGGGGAAAAGGTGCAAACATCTAATCTTATAATGTAGATGAACCAGTGTGTGACAGAGAGAATTGTATGCGGAACAGAAGGTTGTTCTACCTTCTCCTGGGACAGAAACAGCGTTCTGCTTAATCAGAAATATTTCTTATATACTGACACTTCACAAGTCACAGGCTTAGAAACAGACGAGTTTTTGCGTGCACAATTTCAAGTCGACTGTAAAATTTTGCAGACAGTCTTAGAACTTGTAATGTATATGGCATGTATTTTTTTAACTTTCTGAAAACTCAATTGTATATATTTTCTCAATGAATGGTTGTAACAAAATTGTTTCTTGGATATTTTTCTTCTCTTGTATGATACGACATCCTGCCAGTGTGTTTGTGCTACATTTTCTTGGTCGTGTAAAGTAGTTGAGAATTTCTTCATTTTGTTTTTTTGTTTTTTTTCCTTCTTTTATTGTCGTTTATTTTTGAAAATGCCTTTTGAAGTGTACAGAGTATGAGGTTTGGATTTTGTGGAATTGAATTTAGAAACATTTACAAAAATAAACTATTTTACATGTTATGGGTTGTGTATCTTGTTTCACAAGTGGTTGATTTTTCAGGATAAATTGAATGAATATTTTTCCTTCCCCATTAGAATAAAAATAATGTAATTACTAAAAAAAAAAGGCTCATGAACAAGGTTTTGAAAAATCTTTACCTGCAAGTCAATATTCATTAAAATAAGTCACATTGGCTCACACCACCCACTGGAACACAAACTTTCAGACATCAGAATCTTACAACAAGGAAACACAAAGAACAGAAACACATTAAAGATGCTCTCCAAACCTGTCCCCAAACTGGGCATTTGTCATATCAGCAAGGAAATTCAAAAGACACGCAGCAGAACTTAACGGCACGAAGATTAAACGTAAAAACAATGCCATCCCATATGTGGCTGGATTCTCTAAAAAATTGGGAGTATTTCCTCCAAACACAAAATCCCAATACATTTCAAACCAAACAACACCCTTAGACAGAGACTAGTGCATCCTAAAGACAAAACCCCCAGACCAAATATCAGCAGAGTGGTGTATGCAGTTCCATGCAATGAGGCACTGAGGACCAGAATGTTCACATTTTAGATAAAGAAGTCAGGTGGTTTGAAAGGTTTGTGAAGGAAGCCATTTATTTTAAGAAAGAAAAACCAACCTTAAACAGAGGCACTGGACTCAGTTTCAGCTCTCAAAAACCTACAACCCAGCGATACAGTGGATTCCTTCTCAATACCACCTTAACCCCCATCGTTATGCAGGGGAAGAAAATATCTCACCAGGTCAGCCAGACCAACAATGACCTTTAATGAGGAATGGGCCAATACTGAGTATAGCAGGCCAATAACTACCTCAACAACTCCCATTATTAAGGAGTGAAGCGGATTTTCCAGTTTCAATGTTCATTTTTTCGGAGCCATTTCAAGGCTTTTGTTGGGCTACTCTATCAAAGCCTGGAACTCAACTGTAATCCAGACATTTTGAATTGAGAAAGCTTCCTGGATGGGAAGTGAAACGTCTTCAAACTTGTAAAACAAAGTCTGGTGGTTTGTTTTTTAACTTTAAGTTTTTGGAATGACAATTACCTGGAGGACTGAGAATCCCCACCAGCATATTAAAATAAGTGTTTTTTTTCTTTGTTGTTTTTTCTTCAATTGCGCAGGTAAGAGAGAAAAAAAACTACTAAATTCTCTTATTTCAAGTGCATAATATCTGATTTTCTTAAAGGTAAAAATACCCCTTCTATATACGGGATATAGAGGTCAAACTGCACACAGATGGGGTTTGTTCTTCATTAACTGGGTGACGGCTGAAGGATCTTATTTAGAGCTGTAATTCTGAAGGGGTTGAGATGCAGGGAACACTCTTTTTTATTTATAAAAATGAATTTACAACCTTGAGTCTTATTCCTTTCCACCCAACAATTTTGCAATAATTACTTTCCATATCATATATCCAGTTAGATTACAGTCGTCATTTTTTTTATAAAAAAGTGAAAAGTTTAATCATTGCTGGACTGTTTTTTTTTTTTTTTTCTAATTCAGACATAAAAACAAGTTGAAATGTCGAACTAAAAGCTGGACTGTGAACCAAATAAAATCTAGAAGTCTGCTTGCCTTAAATGATATCTGCAGAGATCTTTTTTCTTATGTCCAGATATCTTTTTAAGAATACTGCAATTATATATTTGGTTTAAAAGGAAAACCATCATAAGCAAGAAATTACTCAAATCACTCAGTGACAAAGTCATTGGCTCAAAAGCATTTATTTAACAGGAATTTATATCTATTTAATCATCCAGTGACAAATAAATCATCTTTGCAGGCTCCTAAGTTTGATCAAAGTTAAAGTGAAGTGTTAATCCTATTATTTAGGGGAAACCTGGCTTCACAGGTAGACGGAGCCAAGCAGCGGTGACGGTTGAGTGACAAACCAGGAGAGTTTACAGCTAGAAACTGTATTTACAAAATCCTGTCAGATGAGAAGAATAAGAAGGTTTGATATATCAAATAAATGTGAAGCCTTTGTACGGCCAATAACAGGATGGCTAAACTGAACTCATCTGGAATGAAAGATTAATGAGCTAAGCTGTAAGGTGAGTATAAACCTGACTTAGATGCACTAGTTCTGCCACTAGGAATGGGTCAGATTCCAGCAAACTATTGTGAGAAACTTAACATGTTGAAATACTTAGAAAGTGTATGTTACCATCAGAATAAAAGGAACAAACAGTTTCTGGCCTTTAGCAAATAGAGGAAATGTTGGTAATCCTAAGTGACTTAAATAATAAATGGGGGAAATCTGATTTAAAGTGTGACATCTTAAGTTTTAAAAACTGACCTCATACAATATATGCTGCAGAAATATGAACAAGAGGAAAAACCAGGCCTGCAGGAGTTAAAGACATCAAGGATGGCAACGTCATGACGTCCTCTCAGGAGGAAATTTATTATCTGTGTGTCCTCCAATAGCTTATCGCAGTGGAAGGACAGAGGCACAAAGAAATTTAGAAATCTATTACAGTTCTCCCAGAAAGACAGAGAAATAAGGACAAAAACATCTCTGACTCAACTAAAAGAGTCCAGAGGTGTAAAATCACTTTAGTCTGCTCAGTAAAAACCAGCTGTTTTTATTCTGATATACCTTTATGCGAACAGCTATGGGCTTCTCTGAGCAGTGAAACGGTTAATTTATTGATCCCATTACTAATAACTAAATCAGTTAATATTTTGTTTGTATGTCTATAAACCTGTGATGTATGGTTATTAAACATGCATAATGGGGGGTTCCTCCTATGTGGTAGAATATGGAAAAGTAAAAAAAAAAAAAGAATACAGATAATACAACACATCACATGTTTTTATTTAAATCATTTGCATAGATTATTTTTTTTTTTTTTTGGCTTGAGACATGCAAATGTTAACTCCTTAAAAGAGGACAACACTACAAGAAGGTATATTAATTTGATAAACCAGAATAAAACATTAAATCCAATGTGAGGCACTTTAAAACATGGCAACTACCCAAAACACCAGGAAGGATATTTGAGCTAAAACAGAGCACTGAACATTTGCTTACACACCATCTGGCTTTATCTTAAACAAACAAAAACAGGGAAATATGTTTCCAGTGTAGTCAAAAATGTAAAAAAAAGAAAGAATGAAGTTTGAATCGAACATGTGGATTTCTGTTAACACTTTTATATACCGTTAACACAAATAGTTTAACTCTTCCACTTTTGAATGAGTAAATACTAGTAGAGAAAACTAGCTTGTTTCTTAATGAAAAGCTTCAAGTGTGACAAATGCTTTTCACCCTGAAGGCCCAGCAGCATTCAGGAGGTTCTACAAAGCAAAGAGAAAAATAGAGATAGTTAACATATTGTAATCAATATAGATAAAATGAAGATTTACACAACAGGTGGGACCAATATTAAGGCAAATACCAAGGAAATGAAGGCTAAGATGGTTTAGAAATAAAAGAATAAATCAAAATACAGAAATATTTGCTGGAGCTTACAACAAGCTGGAAGTGTGTTGAAGTCTCGATCATTGTGTCGATGTAAGGATGCTGAGAAATAATGGAGAAGGGGACTGGTTCATCAGGCTGATATCCCAGTTCACTGAACGCTTTCTCCAGATTCTAACAGGAGGCAGAGACACAGAGGATCAGCAGGGCAGAAAGCTTCAACAATAAAGATCATAAACAGGACTAGTTTTGGACAGAGAGTGAGCCAATAAGTTTTCTCATGCCCACGGAAACAATCAGTAACTATCGTTTTATTGGAATGGCAATAACAATCAATACAAAGGGTGTCTGGGATAGTTGAAATATCAAGCCCTTTCAGCTTCAATTTCAGGATGGACATTCTACAGGAAATAGTAGAAGTGACTTTGGACTTCATTTCATTTATTATTATTTATTCATTTACACTTTGGTCTCATTTACCCTCGAAATGACAGTTAGAGAAGAATCTAACCATGGTGTTAAAAGTATTTCTGCATTATTTATAGAACCATAATTAATAAGAAACTAGAGGTGCTAAATAACGTCTACAGCTCACTGCCTAATCCCAATAAATACGATTTAATTCATTTTTAAATAAACTGTAATAAAAAGAAACTCCTGCTATGGTTCTTGGTCATTTTTTTTCTAAATGTAGTTTTTGAAATTCCAAAATAAAATACCAGTTTATGTTCTTCCTGACTCAAGCACCCTGGAGGAAGTGGGGTGCTGCCCTCCATCTTGGTGACTTTGTGGCAGGTGACATCGAGGAAAACAGAAATGGGAACTTCCTGGTCTTTAAAAAAGCTGCTGGATGACAGCAGAGCTTCCTCTTCTTTGTAGTCCTCAGTAAACGTGAAGGATGGGAGCTCTGGGGTTTCATCTGTGCTAGGTAGGGGCTAAAACATGCAACTTAACATGAAATTCGCTTGCACAATCATTTTTGAGAGAAAGTAACATGCAGAGAACAGAAAACCTGGATTAATTTTCTTTACTGACCTTTATGAGGAAGCTCTTTGAAGGCTGCTGGATATGTTGTCCCAACACGACACTAAGGGCTCTGATGAACCCCTTTCTGGGGTCAGGGTCGGCTGCAAAGTACTTGAGCATGGACACATAATTCAGCCGTGGAGGAGAGGAGGAAGGGTCTGCAAACAGCTGGAAGAAGAACTAGGAGAGAAAAACAGACATAAATATCAGTTTCTGTTAGTTTTAATGCAAACAAAAAACAGAAATAAAATTTCACAAAGTTTGCTTAGTGGGAAATAATAAAAACAAAATATGAGAGAGTCTCATTACCTAAAAGAAAGAGACATTACTCTCATATATTTAGGACATTTTCAGTTTTAAATTTCTGCCTCATGTTGGGTTTGGGGTGCAGACTAAAGGGTTTAATCCTTCTGTATGTTTTCTGTGTCTTCGGTTTGGTCTGTGACTAACTGTATGGTTCTCCCTCTTCTTACTACTCATTTATAAAGCTGCAATAAAAGATTACATACAGGTGGAGGATTTTTACCAACTGGATAATTTACTTGTCCTGATTTTTTTCACGCCACTCTTTAAAACTCTAAATAAAAAAATATATATATTATTCAGTTATTTAGAATTATATGTTGGTCTGTAACATAAAACCCCAATAAAAACAGTCAATTTTGGTCTGGAATTAGTTAAAATATAACAAAATGTAAAGTTTAAGGTTACTTTCTTGTTGTGTGTAACTCAAACTTCCTTTTAAACTGTAAATAATGAAGCTGAACCGTACCTTACGCAGGTCTGCTAGACGGTTGTAGGGTAAAGGCTCGGACGGGTCCTGAGGAACATCCTGGTCACTCTCACTGGAAAACCACAACTCTGCCTGTTGGCATGGAAAATACATTTTCAGCAACCTATACAACTAATATTAGTTAAATCACAGCCTTATTTTCTGTACAATAAACTGATGCTCTAGGTAAACTAAAGTATAGATCCTTACCTGTAGATACTGGCCCTCGTTTATATATCCTGTGTTATCAGCATCTGCTTCCTTGAATTTGTGCAACAAATCCAGCAGCTGTGTAAGAGAGGGAAGTGGCCAGGGGAGAGCAGCACTGAGCAGAAAGCGGCGCCAGTCTATCAGCTCGTATTCATCAGTTAGCAAAGCCACCATCTCTGAGAGCTGAGGGCAGGAGATACAGTAGGATATGGAATTTATTTCTATGTATTGTCCATTGAAAAGAAATGTGTTTGGTCTTTTATTAACATTCCTGTGTGCTCCAATGACATGTGTATATGCACAGCATGTACAGCATGACTCACTGGTGTGAACCTGCTGAATACCTGAGTTTGATTCATATCTGTCCAGGCTTCAGGAACCCTGTTTCTGCGTAGGCTGTTATAAACCAGATCTTCAAGAAAAGCAATGAAATCAAAACTGGACATGAGGCCTAAAAGACAGAAAGAGGGGAAATTATTTTGGGTGACATTTAATAATACATTTAGAGACAGCTGAAATGGTCTGGTGCACATAATCACCTGATGGAGCAATGTGGGACAGGTGATAGTGGAGCGATTCCAACTGAGTCACTGTCACAATCAACCGATTTGGTTTCTCCACAGGAGCAGGATGGGGGGGGGGAGGTGGATCCGGATACAACTTATAATCTCCATTCAGATATAACTCACGGTCCTCCTATGGTAAAGGAGATGAAAACTGTTCTCAGATGCAACAGTTGATCACTACAGTTTAAAAGGTTAACTGAAAGGCTTTACTGACCAACACCAGCTCATACTGCAGCTTAGCACCAGCCTCTATGTGGTAACGGACCAGTTCTGATAGCTGATCCATGCTGAAGACAGACAAATGAAAATGTCTAGAGTCTCTTTGCTGCACAATGTGTGTCTACAGCTCTGTTTAGCCTGACCACTGAGCATTTTCACATTTTTGTAACAACCATAAGCTTGTTTGCATTTTAATGGGATTCAATGGGACAGAGCAACACAAAGCAAAAAAAATTATCATTAGGTGGAAGAAACATTTAAAAAAAGAAAAAAATACACTATTCAAAAACCATTTGCAGTATTTAAGAGCATACCTCTTAAAGGTACGTATTGTCTGTCTCATTAAGTTTGAAACTAATCCAATATCTTTGCTGTCATTTCCTGTTTCTCCACAAAATATCATAACTTTGTTCTGGCCCAGCACTAACTTTGTTCATTTTGTCAAGGACAGTCAATCTGACAATGCTACACGTTAAAACAATGCTAGTTTGGAATGAATTTGGCTCTTCTTGAAGACAAAACTAATCAGTTCATCAACACACAACCAACCCAAGAAGAGCATGTTTTCTCATGGGAACCAGTCGACTGGTCCCCACAATGTAACATATTCCATGTAGTTGTTACCACATGGTTAAAAACACCTGCCACACATAAAACTATTAAAACAAGATACATACGATCAAAATGAAACGTTATTCAAAACTATAGCAAAACAGGCTGTTTTTAATCTACTTTCCATTAAACCTTAATCTACAAACCCATCTATTGTGAAAACACAGCATGATGCTACCACTACCCTGCTTCTGCATGTGCAGAGTGAGTTTCTATATGTTCTGCATGTAGACCAAAAACCAGTTTAGGGTTTATCAGATCATAGCACCTCGTTCCAAATGTTTGCTATATCATCTCAGTGGTTTGTGAACACCAGGAAAAGAAATAAATTCTGTATTTCTTCTGGCCAAAATGACAGAGATCATAAATATCCTCAATTTATGTCCGGTCAAACTGACCATATGCGGGTTTGGCAATACCACTGAGAAGGCTTTAAGAAGTATGGTTACTATAAATAGAAAGCTGTTGGGCACAGATTTGTTCAGCCTAGCAAAAATAAACCTGGAAAAATGGAGGAAGGCAAAGATTTTATCAGAAAGTTGAGGTGCTTGTTTTAGATAAAAGTATTGGCTTCTTCTAAGCCCAACTAAAGAAAACCTTAATACCCTTTGTTGCTGTTTAGCTCATTGTATATGCTGATGTATGTTGTTGTCATTTAAGTTAAGTGCCTGATGACAATACTGCAAACTAATTTCCAAACAGAGAACCAACATCATAAATTATAGGCTGATTCCTTCCCTACCAGATGTTGATCTATGCAGTGCCATCTCGGTCACCATGGCCTCATTGGCTGCTTCTATGTATGATCACTACCTTTGTTGCTTTATATTGCTATATCTAACTCTACAGACCCAAAACGAATCTGCCACTTGTGGCTGTGATGTTATAGAGTTGGATAAATACCCACAGCAAAACATACGAGAACAGCTGATGATAAAAATCCTACCACTTCCTCTCTGATAGGTAGCGGTCTTGAAGCCCCTTCTCCATTATGCTGAAGGTCTCTTGCAGTTTACTCAACAGGGAGTCGATCATCATCAGTCCGTGGGCTTTCACAAGCTCAAGGCGAACCTTGACTGATTTTTCTATAAACCAAACACATGAAAGGAGGAAAAAGTTCTGTTAAACATTCACGAATTAAATCAACTGTATCTTGGTGAATAAGAGGAAATGCATACATTAACATGAAAAAGTACAACGCACCCCATGGTAATGTAATTACTGAACTATAAATGATTAGCACAGATGCTGTAAATGTATTATATAGTTAGTGTTAAAGTACGTACCCTCATGAGTCTGAGCAGTTTTGTATTCCTTACGTATTTTCTCTCTCATTTCTTGTTCATGAGTGTTTTCTGTAGTTTCTGGAGGCTCCTTTAACTTATCCTCTGGTCAAGGGGGAGAGAAATATGCAAGGTTAAATCCTTCCAAAGGAGGCCTGATGAAAACGTCATATAGCTCTGCTGTAGGTTATTAAACATTATGCCTGTTTGCTTTTTTGGTGGACGCTTTTTCTTTTTAGGCTTTACTGCACTTGAAGGTTTCTCCTTTTTCTCTGTCTCTGCTGCCGACACCTACATAATGAAAGACCGGCATAAGTCAAAATTAAAAAAGAAGACAATATATGGTATACAGAACAATTATAATACTCTTCAGGCTCACACAAGCATAAAATGGGCCTTACCATTTGGCTGATGGCCTGTAAAGCCTGCATGTGGTCATTGTAAAATTTCATCTGGAAAGACTTGAAGAAAAAACAGAAGGAATCACTACCGACTCATTATGGATCTGAATAAGCTGGAATATTAAAACTGACCTTTATGAGTTTTGATGGAAACTGGTCTTCCATCATAGAGGCTTCATTTTTTGATTTAGGGCACCTATAAAATAAAAAAACGATGAATTGAATCAGTTTACATAAACCATTAGAAAAATTTGAAAGAATTTACTGTTATGTATTCATTTCTAAAACTAGTAGGATTTTAATGAGGTTCAAAGGTTTTGATGTCTTTCATTTTTGCATTTCCTCCTGTTAATGCTTTTTTACTAAACATATTTTATTTATATTCAGATATTAGTATTTTCATTTAGGAGCTTCTTATAATCAGGAAGTGGCTAGAATATGATACAGCTCATTTTACCCTTGCACCACTGGAAGGAAAGTGTCTGAACACCACAGATTCTACATTTGATTCAGATCTGAGCTTTGACTAGGCCATTCCAACCCAGGAATATTTTAATAACCAGATATATGTTTAGGGCTTAGAAGGTTTATATTCTGCCCAAGCCTGAAGTCTTTTGCTGCCTCCTTCAGCAGAGGCACCAACCCTGGTCATCGGGAACCACTGAATCATTCTGTATTTAGTGAGCCTCTTTCCACATAAACTGAACAGCTTCCCTTTCCCTACTGGAAAGGAATACACAGTATGATACTGCCACCATTTATGCTCCAGATCAACAATACATTCTTTCTCTTCAACAGCTCCATGTCTCACCTCTCTGCTGGGTCCCTCGATCTACATGCAGCTGTTTGCTCTCTATGTTCACTACTGATTTCACTGGACCTTATTAAGTTAGCATTGGGGATAAATGCACTCGGCAGCTTGTTAACTTTTCATATAACATTTACCATATAAAATCCCAATACAGTGAAGGTTCTGGTAATAATATATAAAGCTCCACAGCAGTGTACACGTTTGCGCTGAGGTTCTTACTTGGCTTTCTGATATTTAGGTATTTTCAGCAGAGAGATTTTGTTGAATTTGGGGACTAGAGTCAGCGGTTCTTGTCTTTGCATGCTCCCATAGTAGACCTTAAGGGTGCAGAGTGTTTTATGGAAACGGCTTAGCTCTTCCTGTACAAAACAAAGCAAGCAAAATGTGAGATGGGCAAAATAAGTCGCTCAGCCAAACAGTTACACAGATTTTGGCAAGTTACCTGTATTATCATAGAGTGGTTGTTGACCAGACAAGTGACCTGCATCTCCACCCCTTGAGGACACATGACAGCCTTCTTCTCTTGCTCATCTTCTTCTCTACGTTTGCCAATTAAATCCAACAGACATTCCTGCAATTTCTGGATGCATATAAGATCGACTCAGTCTGCCACTTTGGCATGACGGTGCAGTATGTGACAAAGTACACCTACATCCATCCTCAAATGAAGCTCTTCTTTGGTCTCCTCATCTTCTCTCATATCGTCTGGTATGCTGTTGAAGTCCTTCTGCCATTGTAGAATTAACATCTGCCTTAAGTCGGGGCGACCCAGGAAATGGTTGAATCTTTTTCTAATCAGGTAACACAGTTTTTCAATAAAAGTGAAGACATTTACATTAAAATGAAATATGACAGACAAAAAAATGATTATATTCACTTTAACAATCCCTCTGAACCTAGAGGAAAAGATAACCATTTTATTTATTTAAATTTCTAGAGAAGAGGGAACAAATGTGCATATTGCTGACTGGAAGAAAGCCAAAGCTGTTTGGTTTAACAACAATTGCTTTTTCAACCTTAAAAGGAAAAAAAAGAAGAGGTGGAAAAAATCTCCTACAAGTAGGGTTCAGAGGTAAAACCAAGAAACCTAAAGTCTGACATATTACCTGATGGCGAAAAGGTGATGATCAATCAGAGAGAGCTGTAGACGCAGCCTCTGCATCACTTGCTTTATGTTGTTTGCATAAGACTGACAGCCTTTGTCCCAGTCTGAATACAGCTTAACTGCTACATCCTGGAGAAAGATGATACAGGATAAAATATATTTTTTTAACAAAAACTGAAAACATAAAGGAAACAGCAGACATGTCAAGGAGAAGGTTGTGAAAAAGTTCAAATCACGATTAGTTTAAAAACATTCCTAGCTTTGAAAGTCTTGCAAACGACAGTTCAATCAACTGATTACAAAGAGAGGCTGCACATAAAAAACTAGGAGCTTTCCCAAAAGGCATTAAAATGAAGACAAACATGACATCAGTAAAGAAGCAGTATATCCTACTAGAGGCAGTGGTTCATTTACGTAGAGTGGACTCTCTGAGCCTGATTCAGGTCGGACCATGTTTCCCTCATCAGACGCAGCATTGGACACAGAGGAAGGGGACAGGTTGGCAGGATGCTCTGTTCATCACACAAAAAAAGCACAAATTATCTTTAAAATAACAATACTGAGGTGGGATTCTAAAACAGCTGATCATTCATGTCATAATTTATTTAGATCAAAAGTAAAATCTAAATTTTCCCCTATTATTGCTAGCGCAGGATTCTACAGAACTCCTTCTTGAGTCCAGAGCATTTGTGTCTAATAATGCATCTTTAACAGGAGGATCAACAGGAGTTTATGAGGGAATGCTTAACAAGGAGGTGTTAAGTAAAACCTTTGCCGCAAATGCATCTTTTTTTACTTAAATAACCATAACCTTATTTCTATCTAAAAAAATTGATTTTTCTTCAAAATAAATCATTCAAAAATCTCTATCATCATTATTATTGAGAATTGTCAAATTAACTGTTATTCATTAATATAAACATGGCAACAAAGGACACCTTCATCTTGTCTTTCAATAATTTGCTGCAAAACAGACTCCACTGATCTGTAAAGCTCCTCCTCCTCCACATCAGCGTTGAGACGAATTAAAATGTTTTGCTCATCGCCGAACCATGCCTCCAGTTCTGGCCAGGCATCTGAGAAAGCTGCAATCCTTTAGGAGAAAAATTTTTTTTTAAAAACCTCATGCAGGTGAAGGACTTAATCCGGCTCTATTCCTGTCGGATTACTTTGTTATTACCTGTGAGGAATCTGTGCACGATACATGACGTCCTCTTCCTGTTGGGAGGCTGCGGCAGCATCTGGATCTTAAGATGGTTCAGGTAGAATATTACCATATGGACACCAAAAATGCACCTCACCTACTGTACTTCATGATACATCATAGCATCATACCCCCATGGCTGTGTGCCCGTCTAACCACACACTCATCAGGTATATCCAGCAAGAGAGCCAGGTCAAGAACAGGTGAAGTTGGAGCTGGTGGAGGTTTAGATAAGTATGGAAAGGCATCAGGTTCTGCTGTGTTGTTTACAAAGTCCTCTTCTTCATCCACGGTCCCTCCCAAAGCTTTCTCCAGCATACGAGCCTGAGTTACATTATTTGGAAAGCCATCCAGGATCCAACCTGACTGAGCTGGAACTTGACTAATAAGAAGAAATCACCTGTGTCAGTTTTTTTCATTACTTGAGAGGTTAATGTTGTTTAGAATCAATAAGCTCACTTTTCTGCAGTCAGTAAAAAGTCCATTGATAACACACAATATGACAGCTTGGCTGACTAAATCCTAATAAGATGTATTTAATACATTACAGTACATGATTACCTGATTGCTTTGACTAAAATCTTCACAATCAACTCATTTGGAACAGCGTTTCCTTTCCTCATCTCCTTCAGATCTGCTGCTCCTAGCACTGCATGCGAGGGCAGCTGAATAAACACAAAACAGAACCGAATTACTTGTGCTTCCTTAGAAACTGATGTTAGAACAGAAAATAAGGGTTAGAATTCATTATATAAATTCTTGGAATTTTTTGAGTGTCTGTCAGTGAAATCCTCTGAATGCCAGTGATTTCAATACAAATAAAAAAGTTGTATAAAAAAACTGAAAACTGAGATAGCAGAGTAGAAGTTCATTAACAGCATCCCTGAGCACTCACTGTGTAAATACGTTCTCCTTTTTCTTCTTGTCTGTTAACATCTGAGGAGGAAAGAAAACAAAAACATAAAATTTTTGTCATGATGGGTTCACTAAAAGCGACCCAAGAATGCAGAACACCACTGACGGACACAAGGATGAAAGTTTAACAGTTTATTTATGCACAACGACACAGTATATATACTGGTTCAGGTTCGGGGCCTGGATTCTGGTTCACCGGAGTCTGCGTGAGAGACAGTTCAGTTAGCGTTGCCAACAGAGGTTTGATTTCCTGAAGTTTACTGATTGTACCTTGAGGGTTCTTGAGGTTAGCTTTGGGAGAGTCTCTGTTGGTTCTGGAGATGAGTTCATCAGCAGAGTCCGTTTGCTGCTTCAGCGTCTCACGTCTTATTTGAACTAGGGCTGCAACTAACGATTATTTTAAAAATCGATGAATTGGACAAAAATTTTTTTTTATATTAACCTCTTTATTCCAAAATAAACATTTTAGACAGAACAAACAAGCACACAAGTACAGGTTGCTCATTAACTGTACTGGTGCAATATGAAAAATAAATGTTTGTGTAAAAACTACGCAAACTTACATGAGAAATGTAGCTGTACATCCACAAAATATAGGCTACTTTGTTTCATAAAGCGCAAAAAGAGACAGGCATTTTTGTTTTTTAAAGCCCCTAAGGGGTTCAAACAATAGGTCCCCCCATTTCAACAAATGAGTTTTTTTAGACTAGAAGAGTTCTGCCTTTTAAGACAGGAAAGTATAGCAGTTAAAGTTGCTGCTTGAGAAAATACTGAACCATAGAGATAAAAATAGCCCTGTGATTCAAATTATAAATTGTATTTGGAATAAAAATGAGAGAACTAGGGGTGGTAAAAAAACACATCCTCCAAAGACAGATATTTACATGGGAATGTGGCAGATAATTAATTGACATATTACTGATCTTGCTGGATTTTGTTCTGCTTTACTTCCATAAATTGCAGGATCTTCTTTTCTTTATCTTTGCCAGAAGATTTAAACTTTAAAAGCCTTGCCCTCATAATTTGCAAGTTAATTTATTTATAAAGAAAATATAAACGCTGCTTAAACAAATTTAAATGAAATTAAAAGTAAAATAAGTAGCCAACCTTATCACTGTCTGTAACCTACTAACAAGGTAAGGAAAGCATCAGATGAGCTACCTGAGAAACTAACGTTACGTTTCCCCTCTTTAAAATGAAACAAACATGGTTACTCATCCTGCTGATCAGCTCTCTTCACTGCCATTGAAGGCTCCAACATGTTTTCTTTTCAGGTGCTGCGTCATAACAGTGGTGCTTCCGTGCCATGTTCATTTGTTTTTACAAAAGTTGCATGTTACGACTTTTTTCACTTTACAAAGCGCCGGCTATTTTAATTATTGTGATCAATTTGCGCCGTCAATCCCGGCGCATGCGCGCTTCATTTGCAGTCTGGACGCTGAGGGTAAACTCCTCACTAAAATTCTGCGGCTCTGACTGCCGCGCTGAGAGGGATTCCTGTGGGAGAGGGAGAAAGGCGTTGGGATGGGGGAGGCGCCCCACGGCAGGCAAAAGCCGCCAGTGACACCGTAAAAAGTCGCCAGATTTGTCGCTAGTCGCTTTTTTGAAAAATAGTCGCTGGAGGGGTCTGAAAAGTCGCTGAGTTGGCAACACTGCAACTGCGGCGCTGACTCGCTCCGCCATATTTTTTTTTCTTCCCCCGGTTGACGGCGGCGGCGGATGACGCATTAATCGCGCGACACAACTAATCGATGATTAAATTCGTTGCCAACGCTTTTAAAAGTCGATTTTTATCGATTTTATCGATTCGTTGTTGCAGCCCTAATTTGAACAGACCTTGGCTTTGGGTTTCCCAGCTCTAGTCCAGAGCTGCTTGGAGGTTCACTGTGAATCTTCAGGTTTGGCTCTGAGGGTCGGCTCGGCAGGTTAGCTCTTCCTGAGCTTACACGGACGAGGCACAGGTTTCCTGGAAACAGAAACAAGGATTAGAATCCAAGCTGGATTCAAAAGTCATCGAATTACTCTGAGGATCTAGGCTTAAGCCCTGACCAACTGGAACAACACTGCGGCGTTGAGGCAAGGTCTGAAGACAGCTTAAGTAGTGGATCCTCTGATGATCTTGACGAGCTGCAGCTGTGCAGGAGGCTCCCTCAGAGGATCCACGGCGGACTCTGCTGGAGAAAGGTGGAATATCTCCAGCTCCCAACAGTACCCCCCCCTCAACGACCGCCCCTTGGCAGTCCGGAAGAGGTTGATGGGCAGGAACGCTCGTACTCCTCGATAAGGGCTGGATCGAGGATGTACGAGCCTGGAACCCACTGGCGATCCTCCGGTCCGTAGCCCTCCCAGTCGACGAGGTACTGCCATCCGCGACCTCGCCGACGGGAGTCCACGATGCGGCGAACCGTGAAGGCCGGATTACCATCGACCTCCAGGGCGGGTGGTGGGGAGTCGGACGGTGGGCACAGAGGGCTCGAGGAGACAGGCTTGATCTGAGACACGTGGAAGGTGGGGTGGATCCGGAGGGACTGAGGTAATTGGAGACGGACGGCTGAGGGGTTGATGACTCGAGTGATCTTGTAGGGTCCGATGAATCTAGGAGAGAGTTTCCGAGACATCCCCTTGAGGGGAGTGTCTCGAGTGGACAGCCATACCTCCTGGCCTTCAGTATACTCGGGGGCGGAACGTCTCCTGGCGTCGGCGAAGCGTTTACTTGACTCAGAAGACTGGTTGAGGGTGGCGATGGTTTCCCTCCAGATCCTTTGACAACGGCGGATGTGTTGGTTGACGGACTGCACCGAAATCTTTCTCTCGTCTGCGGGAAAAAGAGGTGGTTGATAGCCAAGACTGACCTGAAATGGGGATTGTCCAGTGGATGCAGATCTGAGGGAGTTATGAGCGTATTCTATCCATGGGAGAAATTGGCTCCAGTCCACGGGGTTGTTTGACGTGAGGCAGCGAAGGGTGGATTCCAATTGCTGATTCATACGCTCAGTCTGACCATTCGATTGGGGGTGGTAACCAGAGGTGGGAGAGGGTTTGCAGCCGAGAGCAGAACAGAAAGCCTTCCAGACCTGGGAGATGAATTGAGGACCTCTGTCCGAGAGGATCTCTTGGGGAATGCCGTGTAACCGGAAAACATGCTTGATGAGTAGCTGGGCTGTCTGGAAGGCCGTGGGAAGTTTTCTGAGGGGAATAAGATGGCAGGACTTCGAGAAACGGTCAACAATGGTGAATATGGTGGACATACCTCGAGAGACAGGGAGACCGGTGACGAAATCAATGGCGATATGGGACCAAGGACGCGAGGGAACAGGAAGCGGTTGAAGCAGGCCAGAAGGAGGTTGGTGTGAGGCTTTGTTACGGGCAGATGTGGGGCAAGCCAACACGTACTCCTTTACGTCCCTGTGGAGAGTGGGCCACCAAAAGCGTCTTGAAATGAGAGCAACAGTTCTACTGACACCTGGATGAGCGGAGAATTTGGCGGCATGCATCCACTGGATGAGACGGGACCTGACGGAAGATGGAACATAGGTTCGGTTAGTGGGACCATTACCTGGATTGGGTTCAGTGGCCAGGGCTGAGTTGATGAGGTCAGTTATCTCCCAGTTGACCACTCCCACTGTGCAGGAAGCCGGAAGAACAGGTTCAGGTGTCTCGGGATGATCGACGGAGTAGAGACGAGAGAGAGAATCGGGCTTCACGTTCTTGGATCCGGGTCTGTAGGAGATGATGAGATTGAACCGAGAAAAGAAAATTGACCACCTGGATTGGCGTGGATTCGCTTGCTTGGTTGACTGGATGTAAGCCAGGTTCTTGTGGTCTGTCCATACAAGAACCGGGTGCTCAGCTCCCTCCAGCCAATGCCTCCATTCCTCCAACGCCAGTTTAATGGCCAGAAGCTCTCGGTCACCCACATCATAATTTTGCTCTGCAGAAGAAAGTCTACGGGAGAAGAAAGCACAAGGGTGTATCTTTTGATCTGAGTCGAGTCTCTGGGAAAGGACTGCTCCAACACCGGAATCTGAAGCATCCACCTCAAGGATAAACTGCTTAGCTGGGTCAGGTTGCATAAGGACTGGTGCTCTGGAAAATAATGACTTTAGTTTTTCAAACGCTGCTTGAGCCTCGGGAGTCCACTGAAAACAGCGTTCTACAGAGGTCAGAGAAGTTAATGGAAGGGCGGTCTGGCTGTAGTTTCTGATAAACCGACGATAGAAGTTAGCAAAACCCAAAAACCTTTGTAGCTGTTTGCGATTCTCTGGAACTGGCCAGTCTAAAACTGCCTTAATCTTGTCCTCAGATGGTTTAACCTGGCCGCCCTCAAGCACAAACCCCAAAAAGGTGACTGAAGGTTGATGAAATTCGCACTTCTCGGCTTTCACGAACAGTTTGTTTTCCAGCAGTCTCTGTAAAACAAGACGGACATGTTTCTTGTGATCATCGAGGTTCTTGGAGTAAATGAGTATATCATCAATGTACACGAAAACAAATACGTTGAGAAAGTCTCTTAGAACATCGTTTACGAGGGCCTGGAAGCAGGCTGGAGCGTTAGTGAGACCAAAGGGCATAACAAGATATTCGAATTGGCCCAAGGGTGTTTTGAAGGCAGTTTTCCATTCGTCGCCTTCACGGATCCTAAGGAGATGATAAGCGTTTCTTAAATCCAGTTTAGAAAACACAGTAGCTCCCTGTACGGGCTCAAAAGCAGAGGCAAGGAGAGGCAGTGGGTATTTGTTTTTAATAGTGATCTGATTCAAACCTCAATAGTCGATACAAGGTCTCAGGGAACCATCCTTCTTCCCCACGAAGAAGAATCCGGCGCCCAATGGAGAGGATGAAGGGCGAATTATTCCAGCAGCTAATGATTCGTTGATGTATTTTTCCATTGTCTCTCTCTCGGGCTTGGAAATATTATACAATCTGCTGCTAGGTAAAGGAGCACCAGGTAAAAGTTCAATGGCGCAATCGTATGGTCTGTGTGGAGGTAGGGACGTCGCACTGACTTTACTGAAGACAGGGGCTAGGTCATGGTACTCAGAAGGAACTGAAGAAAGGTCAGGAGAGTCCATCTCCCCCCCACCTCTAGGAGACCCCACCAAGGGGGCAGCAGAACGCAGGCATGTCTCATGGCAAGAGATGGACCATGATTCCAGGTGACGTTCAGTCCAGTTAATGTGAGGATTATGCTTCTCCAACCATTCGAAACCGAGCACCAGCGGGGAACATGCAGAGGGAAAAACAAAAAATGTTATAGTCTCTCGGTAGTCTTTTCCCGTCAATAGCGGATACACTGAGAGGCTGAGACAGAGGAATGGTTTCAATTTGGAGTTGCTGGACGAGGTTAGAATCGATTAGGTTACGTTCACAGCCTGAGTCGATGAATGCAGAGAAAGAGAGGCTCTGATTAGCACAGAAAAGCGTGGCAGGCAGTAACAGTCGACGAGATTTCTTAGAGTTTATTTGGCCTGCCAGACTCCTCAGATCCTCTGGTGGGCCCAGGCTTTTGATTTAGCCGGGCAGGAAGCGATGAAGTGTCCACTCTCACCACAGTAGATACATAGTTTGCTTAGAAAACGCCTTTGCCTCTCTTCTGGAGTGAGCCTGGTGTGTCCCACCTGCATGGGTTCGACATCCCTTTCGCCCGAATGAGAGGCCTGAACAGGTAACGGTAGAGACTGGGACTTAGGCCTCTGAATGGGCGGCTGCTCTGTAGAGGAAGAACAAACAGTCACGTTATGTGGGGCAGAAGAAAGTATACTCTGCTTCTTTGAACTGTTTCTGGCACGAATTCTATTATCCAATCTAATGGAGAGGCGAATTAAGTCTTCGAGGGTAGCAGGTTCGTCGAGGGTTGCGAGCTCATCTTTTATGTGCTCGTTTAATGCCATGAAAAAGGCTCCCTTTAAAGCGCTTTGGTTCCATCCGGAAGCTGCCGCTTTAACCCGGAAGTTAATGGAAAATTCAGCCACCGAAGAGTTTCCCTGTTTAAGGTTGAAAAGAGCTCTAGAATCAATAGTTTGGTCAGTTTCTTGGTTGAATACCTGGGTAAATTCAGAGATGAAATCAGAGTAGTAGCAGTTTAAGCTATCGTCAGCGGCAAATCTTGCCTGAGCCCATTCCAAGGCTCTTCCTGTTAACTGCGAGAGAATGAAAGTTATCTTCTTGTGATCCGTGGAAAAACAGCCTGGGGAGTTCTGAAAAATCAACCGACATTGAAATAAAAATCCTTTGCAATCTTTCATGTTACCAGAAAATCTTTCTGGGAGACTAGGACGGAACTCAGATGACGTCACTGCAGGTGACCTCGGAGGTGGAACTGGACCCGGAAATGGTTGTGGTACAGCATTAGCGCTGTTCAGATAATTAGCACAGCTCTGTAGCATCTGGTTATGAGTGTCAACTAGACGGTATAACTCACGGAGCGTTTGGGTTTGTCCCTGAATTTGGGCATCCTGCTCCTCCAGTCGACGGGTGAGGTGATCTGCTGGGCCTTCAGTTTGGCTGCAGTGTTCTGTCATGATGGGTTCACTAAAAGCGACCCAAGAATGCAGAACACCACTGACGGACACAAGGATGAAAGTTTAACAGTTTATTTATGCACAACCACACAGTATACATACTGGTTCAGGTTCGGGGCCTGGATTCTGGTTCACCGGAGTCTGCGTGAGAGACAGTTCAGTTAGCGTTGCCAACAGAGGTTTGATTTCCTGAAGTCTACTGATTGTACCTTGAGGGTTCTTGAGCTTAGCTTTGGGAGAGTCTCTGTTGGTTCTGGAGATGAGTTCATCAGCAGAGTCCGTTTGCTGCTTCAGCGTCTCACGTCTTATTTGAACAGACCTTGGCTTTGGGTTTCCCAGCTCTAGTCCAGAGCTGCTTGAAAGTTCACTGTGAATCTTCAGGTTTGGCTCTGAGGGTCGGCTCGGCAGGTTAGCTCTTCCTGAGCTTACACAGAGGAGGCACAGGTTTCCTGGAAACAGAAACAAGGATTAGAATCCAAGCTGGATTCAAAAGTCATCGAATTACTCTGAGGATCTAGGCTTAAGCCCTGACCAACTGGAACAACACTGCGGCGTTGAGGCAAGGTCTGAAGACAGCTTAAGTAGTGGATCCTCTGATGATCTTGACGAGCTGCAGCTGTGCAGGAGGCTCCCTCAGAGGATCTACGGCGGACTCTGCTGGAGAAAGGTGGAATATCTCCAGCTCCCAACAATTTTAAGAAAATAAGAAGCTTCATAAAAAGGAAAAATTATTTTAATACAGACTTCACAAATGTAGTCATGCACCTTTAACCTATTCATATCTTAGTTTATAAGTAGCATTGCACCGATTCTGATACCAGTATCGGGCGGGGTCCCGATCCAGCACTAAAATGGTGATATTGGTATTGGTGAGTGCTGACTAATGGTGCACCGATATCATTTTGAGAGCCAAAAGACAACTATTGTCACCAGTTCCAGGTAGGCAATAAAAAGTTCTACTAGATTCACTTTGTTTTAGTATTTTTTTCCTGCTTCACAAAGGTAGGCAGCAGCTGGACAAAGCCATGATGGCAATTATTTTACATCCAAGTAGTATGCAGTTCTTCATATATATATATATACACACACACATACATATAAATTTCAAAGAGATGGTATCGGTATTGTGTCAAACAATACTGCACAGCCAGGTGTCAGGTATTTGGGACCAAAAAATGGCATGGGTGCAACACTATCTATAAGTCAGGAGTGGGGCCTGCTATCAGAGATGGCTTTGAGGCAGTTAGCTGGAGTTTGCAGAGTTGGAGCTGCCAAGAATTTAACTGAGAGAGAGCAGGATGGACAGGATTAGGAATAGAGATGCACCAATCCCATACTTGGATCAGATATTCACTCTGATATTAACTAATTAGTATGGGATAAATGACACCGATCCAGCACTCATTTCTATTTTTAAGGATATCATACATAGCAATACCAGAACAGCGATCTAGTGACTTCAGTTTTAGGATTGGAACGCTCATTACATCATCGCACAGATGGCACACAGCAGCTAGTGATTTATATCTGTTTTACCTTTTATGTAACAATGCTTATGTCAAGTAAGACGCATTTACTCGCATCGCAAAGTATATGCTTAATTCATTCACTGGTAATACTGGATTGAACTGTAAAGTGGGAATTGTTGTGAATTGGCACTATATAAATAAACAGAATTGAATTGGATATTGGCCTTATGCTCAGCTCATGTATAGGATAAGAGGAAAATGGATCGGTGCATCTCTGATTAGTAATGAGCAGGTGAGGATTAGGAATAAGCAGGTCAGAGGAAAAGCTGAGTATGGCCAGTTTAAAAAAAAAAGTAAAAAAAAAACAATATGACATCTGAAGACATTTAGTTGTACTGAATTTATGGGAAATAGAACAACACTGGAAAGGGGTTTACTAAAAACAATGTAAAAAACATCTTCATAATGGCCCATCACTTAATTTTCAGTGGAATACATTTACATTTATTGTTTTAAGTGACAAAATGGTAAAACAAAATACAAGGATATGAATACATTTACAAGGGACTGCACATAGAAAAAAACTGAAACATTAGTTTCAATAAACCACCTGATGTGGAGGATATATACAGCTGCTCATCACTCGTCTCGTCCTGTTGATTTGTGACCTATATTTATTAACAAAAAATAAAGTTTGTTATAAACTTTTTAGTGATCTCAAGAAAAGTGTTTAGAGGTTAATCGATAGCAAGTTAAAAAGAACTGTAAAACTAATCTTCCAGCATATTAACTGACCTCTTCTCCATCTTTAAAAGGCTTCAGAGCTTCTTCAATCAGTGTGTTAGTTGATAACACTCTGACGCCAAGTGCTAAAAAACAAGAGCAATCATATGAAAACACTGCATTTAAAGATTTTTAGTAAAGATGAAATCTAAAAAGCCAAAAACGCTTTAAATGTAGGAACATTTTTTTTCTCTAGTTCAGGTTATATAATGGAAATGTTACACCTTCAGCAATCTTGGCCAGACAGGTGGTTTTGCCTGAGCAAAACTTTCCCAGGACGCAGGCTTTGATACGGAATCGAGGAAATGAGGATGCTGACGATTCCACAATGGGAGGATGAGCAAGTGTTTGAAGTTGATGGACAACATGGGCCAGAGTGTTGTTGGGGCCTGGAGGTAATTTGGGGCCATGTCCATCTTTTGGCCACAACCATTCGCCGACCATATTCTTAAAAATAAAACAGATTCTTATATCTGACGAAAAACAAGCACAATGTCACACATGCTGTGCTTTTAAAGTATGCAGACAAATTTCTGACTTACAATGTATTCCTCATAATCCAGGTTGTTGAGTACCTCCAGTTTCTTAAGCTGTAAAGAGTCTAATGAAACAGAGAATCCAGGTTCTGGTTGAGAGGGGTTTTTTGGCTCATAAAAAGGAATACCTCTAAGGAACAATTCCTTCCACTCTTTATTCTTCTTATCCGTAGGGACACTGCAAACGAAATAATAACAAAGGTCAGGTGGGAACTTTAAATTGTGGGAAGAATTGGATCATAGACCAAGACCAGAAAATAGCTTCAAGTTCATCTATCACTCAACAATAACAGCACAGAATATATCTAATAGCATCTGAATACTCATTCATCAATGCTTTAAGAAAATAAAAAAACATAATATCGTGAACATGATTTAAAGGTATAATGCAGGGTTTTCGCAAATCCTCCATTATAATCCTCTCCACTTTAAACAAAAATGCACAAGCACAACCCTGTAAATGCTCTCGAGAGAGAATGCCTATTAAATGCAGTTGCGTGCATGCATGAGCCCATTTCTCCTCGTGCAAACTCTGTTTAAAAGTTGCTGCTTGCATCACTCATACAAGCTTACGTTCTAAAAGAAGATTTGCAATTTTTCCTCTATGTCAGACTCATCACCAGTAAGTGAAAATGGGGACAAACACATAGGACAACCTTATATAAACATATCACCAGAATGATTGACAATTAGGAGGACCACTTATTTTGATGATCCAAAATAGAACATCTTCCGCTAAACCTTTAAAAAGGAACAAATCTTAACTAACTAAATGACCAATTTGCTTTATTAAAAGCAGGAAGTGCATTACTATGAGCTGCTGCATTACTCTAGTTCAGAGGTCACCAAGGACCCTCAAGGACCACATGGGGTGCCCTCAGCATCTTCTGAAAACAGAACAACTCACCAGTGGACTGCTTGAAATGTTATTTTATGCTAATTCTCTTATTTTTTGTATTATTTATAGAGTATTTCATTATATCTATCATTTAGAACATTTAAGCATTTATAGGGATTTCAAAATGGCAGTATCAAGTAAATTAGAAATGAAAAGAAACAACAGAATTAATTTTATTATCTATGAAGTATAGATGAACACTGATTCTTCCAGTTCACAGGTCAGTATTAGTGGCCTGCCGTATGACTCAGTACCCATGAAGTAGCCCTAGGTCTTAAAAAGGTTGGTGACCTCTGCTCTAGCTTATTATAGCTGGAGAAACTTCTTGTCATTCAGAGTCTTTCTGTGGAGTAACTGGTCTATTCCTGATGTAGTATATGTTCATTGCTAATCACATTTCATTAAATCAAACAAACACCATAATGATCTCAATGTTTATTATGTTTATAAAAGTTAGCATGTTACGTACTTCCCTGTGAAGACGCGATATTCTCCAACTGTGGTTGCTAAGTCCACCATCTCTCCCAAAACATTCAAGCAGATGGCAAAATGCTCTTTGTGTCTGCTCTCAACACGCTCTGCACCCATCCTCTTACATAATTCCAGCTCCTTTTGGATTTCTTCTTCTCGAGCCAATTTAGCACACTGGGCCAGAACCTACACCAGACCCAGGCAGAAGCCAGGGATTAAAAAAGAAAGCAATTCAAAATCTTCCTGTTGCTGCTGGAACTAATTAAGAACACGGAATTCAATCAAATCCCCATGAAACCTCCCCTAGAAAGAGTGAATTTTGCCCTCACCGCCTTCCTGACCAGAGCTTCTTGAAAGTCTCTTTCTCTTTGCTGGTGGTACTGCTGGTCTCTGAAACGGCGATTCTCAATAATCACCTCCTTTTCCCTACGTATCTGCATCAGGTATTTCACCAAACACTTCTCTCGCTGCGACTGACGTGTCATACACCGTACCAGTTGCTCGTCGAATTGTTCCTCCTGAAAAGAATAAATTAGTTAACTAATTTAGGTTAAAAAAAGTAGACAGTATAAGTGGAGATAAGCGAGGATATCTCTATCTAACTGTATCTGTTGCTGTTAGGAACAAGTTTTACCAGCTGAGCTTGGAGAGCTTTCCCCTGCTCCACCAGAAATCGGTCTACTCTTTTTTGTCTCTCCTTTTGAGTCACAGCATCTTCCTTCATTCGCTGGCGGATCCTCTGTATATACTCTTTATTGGATTGTAACATCAGTTCATTGTTACTTTCAGAGACTCCACTGCCATGTTTGATGGCCCAAAGAGAGGTATCTACATGAGTGGGTTGATCGCTGTAACCAAAAACAATGAGTATGAAAGAGAAACGTCTACATAGACAGACACAACAATTTAAATAGAAGGGTATCAAATGAATACAGCATTGCCCTTCTTACCTTGGCAAGGAAGCAAAACCAGAAGTAACAGGCTTACGCTGTTTCTCCTCAAATTTAGCAATTTCTGCCTGGACCATCTGTCCAATCAAAGCAGTAGGAAAAGCAGAAAAATTTCATTTATTGCCTTAGATCGAATAAAATAAAAACAATGATGATGTAGGGATTTTTTATTTTGGTCAAACCTGTGTTTCCATTTCTTTGAGCTGCTGCTTCTTGTCCTTTCTGCTGAGATTTAAACTGAAGGAAGATTTCATTAGCAGCTCTGTAGGGTCTTCAGTGGAGTCATCGTGCCTCTGATGACAGACCTGTGACATCTCCACATAATGAGCACAATATAATCAAGCATCTAGGGTTATATGTGTATTTATTTTGGTACTAATGTTGGTTATTTTCTATACTTTTTTACCTTTCTAACCTTTTCCATCGTTTTTAATTCTGGGATTTTAATTTGCTTCTTTTGCTTCACTTGTCGGCCTTGATCTGTACAGTGCTGAGCAATTTTTGGAAGATTCTGATCTGCACTGGGTTTGACCAGCGGAGGAAGGCGCTGTACAAAAAGAAATATCCTTTTTACACATTTACCTCGCAATTTCCAAAATTTTTCTTATTTCAAATCAAGTCATACAAACAACTGACTTTTGGTAGAGAGTAAGACTTTTAAACATTTTGTCGACAAACATAAGCCTAAAAGCGCTGGTGGTGAAAATACTCAAACATCTATTGAGTGTTCTTACAATGGAGGATGATTCATGCCCTTCTTTGTGCAGCTGAACCCTGGCTATGGGCTGCATCGCTGCTCGGCCGCCTCCTGGACTCTTCTTCTCTTTAAACGCCACATAGAGCTGGTAAAGAAGGTTGGTGACAACATCCAGTTTCTCCTTCATCACGTCTTGAGCTATGTTGATATTATAGGAGACCCCCAGTAGCTTCAAACTTGGACGAAGTCGTGAGAAGTTATTGACTTTGGCGATGGAGGTGCTAAAACAAAAGATGTGATAAACTTTTAACATTTGCTGAACACTTTAAATGTGTTTTAAAAGCTTGGATTCAGCACTGGCTAAGGTCTATTTTAGTGTTTTTAAATACGCTAGACTACGGCTGATTATCCACTTAAAAATTATAAAACATGTAGAATGGTCAAACTTGGGCTGAATAATTCTACAGTGCGTTTTTTAATAAGTGCAGCCATCTTAGTAAAGGTCCTACGCACAAAAAGCATTTTAGAGAATACTTAAGGATTGAAAAATAATTAAGTCCAGGTCTGACATGACCATTTTGGCTACAAAAAGTATTTTGTAACGTTTCATAAGCAGAATACATGCTTCGCAGATTAGAAGTCACTTTCTAATCAATGTGCAACAATCCAATCTAGTTTGACAAGATTATTTATTTCAAAGTTTGCTGATAAAGATGTGATACAGTTTCTTTTACATATTTAAACTAACCTTTGAATGCTAAATTAGAATCTTTATGTGAAAAAGTACAATCAGACTTATTATAAACAGGATCATGGAGATAGATCAAGGAACATCAGACAGGTCAATGATAAAGTTGTGGAGTATACATGGGGTCAGGCGATAAATCAGTACTCCAACTTTGACCATTACACAAAACAGCCTTGTGCAACATTCAGAAAGGGAAAGCTTTATGAAAAACTGCAAACCTGTCTATGTAAAGTGCAAATGTTTTGCTGACTAAAGCTATAACAAAAATATTTAATCAGTTATTTAAACAAAAGAGAAAGATCTGAACTAAACTCAACTGAAATGCAAGGAAAAAATATATTAATGAGGGAAATAAATCCAATTATTTCTAATTCTAGTCATGGGAAAAGCTGAACTGAATTGAAAAAAAAAATAACACCATAAAACAACGTGACTAAGAAGAAAATAGTGCAGATGAAGTAGCTTCACAACAAATGTGGAGACACAGTAACCAGGAGAATGCACAGAGACATAAAATACAAACAAATCAGATTAAAATGTGTGGTTTTCTAGGGAAAATATTCAAATAAGGAACATTTGAAGGTCCCTGTAAAACAACCGGCATCACCATTAAGGGAGGAAACTTACCCCTTTTTCAAAAACATGTTAAAATCCTCCTGCATCTGATATTTATGAAGAATCTCTCCAAACAGGTACCCATCGGAGAAATACTTAGCAAAGTTTCTGGGCTCTGTAAATGTAGAGAGAGCGACCAGGTATAAAACTATCAAACAATGATATCCAAAGGAAATCTAAAGCGAATCATAAGCTAATCTACTGATGTGTCATCATTTAAACTACACACATACGTACATATACACACATATATAAATATAAAATAATATATCTATATCTATATCTATATCTATGTCTATATAAATATATATATATATATATATATATATATGGCAAGAATCAGAGTCGAATCCAGAACCTTCTTGCAATATATGTATATATTATTTTATATTTATATTTATATGTGTTATATGTGTTTATATAGTTAGAACATATATGCACACACAGATACATACGTATACAGTATATATACACATACAATATGTATACAATGTATGTACGTGATGTATATATTAAATATATATGTATATATTTAATATATACATATATTGTATACATTACATACATACATTATATATAATTCAAAGGAATTGTTTCCAGTTTTAATTATAACATGTATATGTAATTTTGTCATAAAGATATTTGATTTGAAAGTACTCCAGTTCTCCTTTTAATACTATTAAAGAGAAAAATTGTGTGGCAGGGAAGTACAAAGCAGTACACTTACCATCCAGCTTCATTTGGTATGCCGTGTTAGTGTTAGCCTGATCAAGCTAGCTGGAGGAGTCACACTTACCTACAGTTTGGGAGAGCCTAAGCTCGTCGTTCAGCCACCTGCACAAACTATCTAACATTGTCCTGATTAACTTCACTAGGAGGTATATTCGTTTTCTAGAGGATATTAACGGTACAAGCTGAAGCTCGACGGAGGGAAACTTCCGTTGTACCTCGTTGCCATGGTAATACATAAAAACGGCTAGCTGGCAGTTGTGATGATGACAGATCCAGGTTTTGTTTTCGTGTTTCACGTTAGAGGATTATAGACTGGTTGGCTGTTTGTTTGACTGGTTCTGCAGTCCTGGATGACTGTTCTGACAGCAGTGGTTTCTGTTAAGTGTTGATCAATGTTTGCCGCTATGATGTCTAATAGGAGCTTCCATGTTGTAGAAACTGTCCCCTTCTGGGAGTCTTTCTTTATAAGGAATGTTCAGCTCCCATTCCGCCATTAAGGCTATCTGAATTGTATGAAGTATGTGGATTTTCCTAACAATCTGAGAAGCAGTAGACCACATTTAAAAAAAAAAGTTAACTGATTTTAAAATTTTATTTCAGTTTAATATGGGAAAAAAGTCAGAATTCTGAGATTAAAGTCAGACTTCTGAGAAACAAGTCAGAATTCTGAGATTAGAGTCAGAATTAAGAGGAAAAAAAAGTCAGAATTCTGAAATTAAGGTCAGAATTCTGAGAAAAAAGTCAGAATTCTGAAGTTAAAGTCAGGACTCTGAGAAAAAAGTCAGAATTCCCCTCATATTATACTGAAATAAAATCTAAAAAACATAAAAAAAAAAAAAAAACTTTTTACATTTTTTTAAGTGGCCCCAATCCTAAATTCATGTTTTTTATTAATAAAAAAGAAAAACAAATAAAACCCCAGTGACTTTTGACACTCAGGAGCAGCATAAACACCCATGATCTGGGATAGAAGTCAAGCATGTGCTTGCAAAGACTTCTGAACCATCTGATACTATTTTCTCTTCATTCAATTAAAAATTTTAGTCTATTGTAAATACAAATTTAAATCAGTAACAACCTTTCTATAACCATTGTTCCCTTGCTTTTTGGAGAATGGAATACAAAATAAAAGCACATTTTTGTTGCCCTTTTGGGAAATTCCAAGAATTCAAACACAGATTTGTCATGAAACAGGTTTGGGTAACTTTAAAAAAGAAATCAGCAGAGAAAAATAACCAACAGATGTGGGTAGAGTACCCAAAAATTTTGTTAAAAGTAAGACCACTTCATCATAATTTAATCAAGTAAAGGTAAAAAAACAATAAAAACAAAAACAAAAAAACATCTAAAGTAACTGCTTAATAAAAGTTAAAAGTACAATGTTGTAAGTATTTTTTTTTTCAAAAAATTTTTCAAGTAAATGTAACTGAGTAACTGCAACTAATTACTCACATCCATCAATAATTCTGCAGATTTGTCCATTATTTATGCATCCAGCTTTTCACATTTCATTTCTGCTAAAACATCCAAAAATCCGAAGAGGACATACATGCTTATACTTTAAAAACAATAAAAGCACATGGAACTGTTTCACAATGGGAAAACAAACCTGCACACCTAATGAAAGCATGACCACAAAAAGTAATACACACTAAAAGAACTATAATAAAAAAACAACCAAATTTATAACATGCATATAGGCTATATAATTTGTTTTCGCACCAAAATCTGTGGTTTCATGCGTGGGCATGTTATGTAATGAATATCTGAGTCATACTGACATCTGTTGGTGAAGAAACACGTTCTAGCCGTGTGGTGTCATGTTAAAATTGGTTTCAGTCAAAGTATTTTTTTCTAGAAGTGTGTCCTTGGTTATGCCACGTTAGATAAAAAATATTGCAGAAGGTAATAGACTAAACATAAAAATCTTTAAAAATGAAAAATAAGATGTTACTTTAGACTCTCAAACCTTTAACGAAATTTACTTGAAATTGTAAAATTAAAAAACATGTGAATTTTGATTTAAATATTTTGACTGGACGGCCTGAAACTTTGTAAAAACATGAGCCTATTTATACCTCATGCTTAATAAATACAAAGCAAATAAAAAATAAAAACAGGGAGAGGCTGCTTTTATGTTGCCTTTGACACACACCCGGAAACGCAGCAGGGAGCGCGTTTCCTCAGGGGTGACAGATTTCAGCAGAACACCTGTAAACAATGTGGCGCAGGAGATGCGCCCTGCCTCTTTTTCACAGCCGTGCCTACTTCCTGGTGGACGAGCCTGCTCCTCGCCTGCTGCTGTCGTAGTAAAGGAGTAGAGGGGGCAGCTGAAGTCAAGGTAGGACAGATGTATCGAAAACAACCAGTTACTTGCTTAAGAAAATCGATCATTTTTGTTTTTCCTTTTATTTTTTAAACATCAAGAAGAAGAAAAATGGGAAGCACGTTGATGGAGTCCAGCAAAGGGAGCTCAAAAAAGATCCCAAAAAAGAGGAAAAGTCTGCGGATAAACATGCCAGTAAGTCGGGGAAGTTTTGCATTGCTGAAAACTTCCCGATAAACTTTTTTTTTTTTTTTTTTTTACTTTCAGTTGTTTTGCTTTTCTCTAGTGTCATTCCGTCCCTAATCATTACATGTTAATCAGTAGCTTTGACTAAGTGTGGCTCAGTTCATGCAGAAATGCATATAATGCATTAATAATTTTTATTTAATCTGCAAATTAAACGGTATGCATTTATTGTGATACAACTACAGGCAACATCCGCTATTGACCTTAGGTTGTTGACATGTGCAAAACAAAAAAACAAAAACAGGTTGTTTGTCAAATGTTTTCTGTTTTGTCACTAAACATGCATATGGAATTTTCCATGTGCATTTCCAATTTTCCAAGGGGTTAAATTAATTTCGTTTTTAAATATGAATTCAAGTAAAAATCAATATTTTCTTTTTCAATTTTGAGGTGAAAACCTTAAAAGTTATTTTTATTGTTATTTATTTATTTTGGGTAAAAACAAAAGTAGCTAAAAGAACATCCAAACCACTAAGAAAAAAAAAAAGCCTTTAATTCTTTTTTATTGTTTTGAAAGATCCTGTTTTTTGTTTTGTGTGCCTGATATTAACCCTTTATAGGGCAAGTTACCATTTTTTTTTTATCACTTGCCTTAGTAATGGAGTCCCTCCATCCCTTAGTGAAGTCTAGAAGCACTAGATCTATACCAGCTATTCAGCAAAGGTACTGCTACATGGCTGTACATCTTATTTTGGCATTTGACCAAATAGATGAGCCCTTGAATGATATATTACCTACTGGATATTAAGTTGAAAAGCAAAAGTTAACAATTCATGAAAAAAAAAAGATAAAAAGCTAATTAAAATGGTAAAAAGTTAATATGCCTAGTTAGCAATTATATTTAGGTTCATAAACTAAAAAATGTAAGTGCCAGTATTAATGCCTCTATGGTTATGTTGGACCAAAAAAATGTGATCCTTTCACTCTCAGAGTGTTTTTCATGAATTTTCTTATAGAAGAACTTTTGTTATTTTTCTTAATATATTGGGGCAAGTTGGTGTTTCCTGTTATCACGTTGACATTCATTTTTGCCATCAAAATATCCATATTTTTTTAATGCAACAAAGGTAATAAGGTCCGGTGCTGGATTTCAATAAAACTATTGGCTGGAAATTTAGATTTTCAAAGTATTTCACTGAAGGCCCTATAAAGGATTAAACACATCCCTGCTTACTGTGACCTATAGCCTCAGAGAATAAAGTGATTAATTAAGCTGAAGTGTGCACAGTGTCAGAAAATGTTTTCTCCTTCAGCGATTTTGAAATATGAACACAAATTCAAAACAAGGTTTAATTTCTCCTCAACCTTCTTGACTTAAAATGTGAAAAATGGCTGCTATTAATTGGTATATTTTATGTGATCAAAGCCCAAATAAAATTGTCTGTCACTGCTAGGCCATTTATTAGACACTAGATATGATCAATTAGAGGCACCTACCAAATATGACCAAATTATTTAGTTCAATGCCATTAGCTGCAAACTTTGTTTATTTTCATTAATTAGCAGGATTGATACACACCTATTCCATATCAGTTTTTACAGCCACTATTACAGATTGTGTCGATAAGGTGTTGTTCAAAAGTTTATATTTGAAGGGAAGACCTTCAGATCTGATGCAATGTTATGAATGTTGCACTTGACTGTGACATTAGAACCACACAGTACAGTGTGAACTTGAATGTGTCAGCTAGTTATAACTTGGTTACCAAACCTGATTTCTTTGCTACATTATTTCTCACATGTTGGAGAGTAGCAGCTAACCCTTGGAATGAAGGAAAGAACCAGGAGTGTTGTTTGCATTATGATTGTGTTACAAAGGTTTCTGCAGGGGTTACAAACACCCACAGCCTTCTGCAGAAAAGAAGCACAGTTTCCAGTGATGCGACGCCCGCAGACACACACCCTTTATTTACTCTGCTGTATTTTCAGAAAATTGACACACATATTTCTACTATGTGCAGGACTTTGGGGATTTAACTGCCCCTAAATTGGAGACCAGTGGCCAAACCAAAAGTGGCAGTCAGACGGTATTTAATCATTTTGTTTTCTTTCATACTTTGTAAATCATTTTCCAACTGTTTGCTCAAGCTTGCCCTTTTCCTGGCCCTCTCGATGAATTGTGGCATCTGTTTTGATGTGTTTCTTTGGCTTTGAATAAATTAAGATTAATTTTAGAACATTACAATAGGCTGTCTTTTTTTTTTTGCCAACTCAATTTGCCTTACAGTAACACACCCACAGAGTCCAGGCATAGCTGGAATGGCATACAGTGCATTGATTTTATTTATTATATTTTGGTAACAAAAGCAGCCCTATTCCTACCGTCTCTTCCTAGTGTTCTGAATAATCATCCACTGCAGCTGAAGATGCATATTTCAGTATTATCTAGGAAATATCTATGCAGTGCTGATAACACTCCGTCCTGGCTTGTGTTTAATGAATGCTGAGTGATATCCAGAGAAAACCCTGATATCTGCCTTGCTTGTCTTAACAAGCTCTTGCATAATATGTGATTGAGATTTGTTGGCAAATGGGGAAGATGGGTGTGTGCACTTTCATTCCTCCAGATTACCAAATGATTGGTTAAGGCTGAAATGTGCCAGAGAAAAAGGAAACCAAACAAAACACTCTTCCTTTTTTGATTTACATTGTAAAAAGAAAAAAAGAAAAGACTTTATGTTCTGCATTCTGAGTGTAGTAGTTTTTTTTTCTTTGCACCATTTAGTCTGTTTTTTTCATTTGTTTTCAAAATGTCAATGTTGCATTTCACTGTTTGGAGTGAAAACACTTCTTAGCTCCACAACCTTGTATACTTTAATTCGTCCGTG